CTGTTGTGACAACTCGATCATTTTGGATATTTTGTTTTTAAAATAACAAATTCATGTAATTGGCCGGAAAGCCAATACATTGGTGCACCACTTAGCCTAATATGATCGATCAATGATTAAAGTTACCTTTTATGCCAGTTTTCTATGGATGGTATGACCTCTGAAATTCCGGCCCTCTAGAGGTTAAAAAGATAAGGTTAATAAAAAAGGCAAGTACACTGTTGCTTGCCATTACAATATTTTCTTGTTTTAAGTAAGGCTGTTTTTGTCACTTGCAAAACTCCGACCGAGTGAGTGAAAACGAGCTCAGAGACTTCTGAAGTGTCACTTGGGCTAGCAGCTCTACCTTTTCAAGTTCAAGACGCACTTCAATACCCCCCTCCCTCTCTCTCTCATTTTTCTTGCTTACATCTTCTCCAATCTACTTTGGCTGGTGCGTAATGAACTAGCGGAAACTATTTTAGAACTTAGGATACCAGAATTGTTTTGTCTGAGCCTGCCGACGGTGTTAACCTTCATTTACCCCATTCTGTTTCATTCATTCGTGTTTGTATAATGGTACTGAAGCGTCTGCGCAGCTAAAGTTTTCCTCGAGTCCATTTTATAAGAAAATACGCGTGACTAGAATTTCGATCAAAGCAGATGGACAAACTTTACACTTACAAGTTGGAAAATGCAGTTAATCTGTTTCTTTGCAGCAAATTAACAAACTAATGATTACAGAAACAATACAGTGCAAGTCTCTTCTTCAAATGAGTGTATTAATAATCAAGACTAAGGACGTCGTTAGGTGTGGGAATTCACCCTCGCAAAAATATGCATCGTAAGCGCAGATAACGCGCTCACACAGTGACAGCAACGGTAGCATCCTCAATTGGAACAAAGGGAAATTTCGTAGGAATTACCTCGTTTCCCCTGGAGAGCGACGGTAAATCGAATGCGGCGCTACGCCTATAACAAAGTTCGCTTGGTTTAAGGGTCAAACACGCGCTGGTGAATGTGTATACATACGAGGTCGATTTCTGATGGCCCATGTATGCGAGTATGTAATCGTCGATTATCAGGCATCGCGCGAGTTTTGTGTGCGTCGCTGGTATTAGCCAACAACTAGCGAAGTTCAGGAATTAGGCTTAAAGTTTGGCTTGCTCTGACGCACGGATCGAGCACCGAAGTACCAACGATCCTCTCTGCATACGCACGCTTTTATTACGCAAAATTCTAAAAGCCCGTCAATTTTACTTTTTTTACTACAATTACTGTTTGCATAAATACTTTTTTAATTCCTCGGTGCTATATCTTGAGTACACTGTACAGTAAATTGATCCCACGTTCACGTTACTCGACAGGTGCTTGAGTTTTTCGTGTCGTCTTGGGAACGATAAAAATACTCGCTAAGGGTGGACGTGTAAAGATACAAAAAATACGCTCACACGTGAAAGGACAACAGTATTATATAGTCGAACGTTTATACGACGGACGCAAAGTGTGAATTTGATCAGTGGAAAATCGAATATCCTCTGTGAATTTTCTCGAAATGTTTTGCTAGAATGAGAATCTACGGAGCGCAATATTTTCCCGATGTTTGCTCGAGAATTATCGCGCATTGATGACTATTTATTTTGTCTCAGTCGTTTTTAAAAACAGCGCGAAAAAAATCAAACAGCGATTTCACGACGACGTTTTGACTTTTCACTTGCATTACATAAATGCAAGTAAAAAAAAAACATCCTTGTATGGAGTTCATCCACCCGGCTGTACTTTCTAGCATCGTTTTGCAATATCGTCCTCGGTGGCGGGATGATAAAAGTAAAAAAAACCGACGATCGAACGAAACTTTATGAGAGTATCGTAGTGGGACTCGGGCTGAACACGCAATAGTACGTACGTTTGGCTTCCAGCTACAGATATATATTTGCACGAAAGAAGAAACAAAAAATTTTTTTCCAACTTGACTTTTAATGCATTTTTATCACAACTTTTTTTCTATCTATCCTACGAGATATCCGAGGGGTTAGGGCACGAGACACGATAGGTCGCTCATCACAGTAAGCCCATTGTTTTCGCTAGTGTCATGTGTAAGCGCGCGGCCGAGCAGATTTGTGAAACGACGCGAAACGAAATTTTATGGTCTCAGTTGGCGTTGATTGATATTTCCTCGATATAGATAATAGATGTAGAGTCGTCGTAACTTTGTTCAACTTTTTTGCAGCTTATTTTTCTCGCGTGTATGATACTTTGGGAGGAAAGATTGCAGCGCGCTCCACAAAGTCCATTTTTCCGAGGGCTTGAAAATACCTATAGATAATCCTGATATCCTCGGAGCGTCAGTAACTCTATACGAGCTGAACGTCGCAATAGTGTGTGTGCGCGTGCGATAGGTACAATATAAGCTTCTTAGGTAAACGATAACACGCCGAGCGCGTAGAAGCAGAAATAGTCTTGAGACGAGATAACATCGGCCGTGCGTAGGTATATAGGCTCTGACGTTGTTATGTACGCACACGTGGATTTCTCCAGCTTATGTTTTGCCGATCAACAAACTGTATATTGGTCTTGTCCATGTTGGGTCTGCATATCTGTGTGTATGTTAGAATCCGACTAGATAGATATAAACTATATAGGTATATATACAATGTATAATACGTTCGTTGTGTTATGATTTGATTACTGCATTTACTTGTGCAGTATGCATAGCTACGCCTTCGACCTGTATTTAGTAAAACTACATTAAAACTGTTGGAGTATAAATTTGACTCTTATAATGAGCTTAGCAGAAGCTGCAAGCTTCAATTTAATGCAAGCAGAGTCGTAAATGTGCCTACCTTCACTGACACATATTCAAACTGTATTACGTACATACTTATTCAGTCAACCGTACCCGAGTACATTGCCGTAAAAGCTTTAAATGTCACTAAAGTCGAGCTTTTAAAACTAACGAGTCTTAACTATGTTGATTGATAATAACAAGTTCTTTCGTCGGCGTAGCGAAAAAAGCTCGATGAATAATCCAAGAGCTTGCGCAGTGTTTTGTATAGCTCATGTATATCTAGCTATGTGCCGCACGCAAAAACTGAGTCTGATCTTAACCGCCGTACATATAAGAAGATATTCCCAGGGCTCAGCGATTCAAGACAAAGACAAAGATACTCCATATTCGGAAAGAGGCAGAGAGGGGTGGCAGTGGAAAAGCAGAGAAAGCGAGAGAGAACTTGAAGTTTCGCGAGCTGCGACTGGCTGATAAGGGCGCACACGAAGCTTTAGTTGGCTCGCGACAGGAATACATAACGGCAAGACAGCTGGTGCCATCCCCTCAAAATGAATTCACAGGAATATTCACAGACGCGACAGTTGTGCGAAAGTGTCCTAGACAGACAGGTATACCAGTCGGGCGGTCGAGAAGCTGTGACCGCTGCTGATCGTTATTAGGACGCCACTGTTCAGCGACCGTCTTTTGGCTATTTGCAATGACAATTTGTTACGTAATTTGTACAAAATCTCGTTTTCAGAAGAATTGTAAATTGGACTATTGCTTTAGAATTGATTACGTATCGTTGAAAAATTTGAACAAACAAGAGATTATTTATGATCCGTTTCTGAAAAATTCATGTATTGAATTTTTTGATGAAAATGTCAAATCCAAATAGGTCAAAGCCTAATAGATAAAAATAAGGATGTTAATCTTCGAATTGTATAAAATTTTTGTCTCAATCTGTTATTTGCACAAACGTACGTAAAAAAATGAAGAAAAGCAGACATAGCAAATTAATCTGCTATGCAATTGCAGCCAAAATTCTGCCACGTTATGCACGTGTAATATCCATAGCAAGCATCGCAAAAATCTTGCGTAGAGTGTGTGCGTAAACAAAGTCAATGCCATCAAAAACTACCAACTAACGTTTAATTTATTTCATTCGAACTCAAGACTTCATTTCAAACAATTTACTACTGCGTTAGCTTAACATTAAAAAGTATTTAAATTTAAATTTTATGCTATCAGTGACTAATATTTGCGTGAACAATCAATAATTCTATTAAAGTAATGTTATTTGAATGAAAAATTTAATTAAAATTTAATTACACTGTAGGATGTAATGTAGAATGCTTAGATCACAAGGCTGATTATATGCTAAGTATTCTTACAAGATTTAGTTTTTCTTATCAACCGAATAAAACTAATTTCGGTTTCAGAAGCCCAAATAATGATAATTAAAGATGTAGTTGAAAAAGTGCTAAATTTTCTAATTTTCTAAATTAAAGCTTGAAACGCTTACATTTTATTGCTGAATTTAATAAGCAAATCAGATCTGTTGCAAAGTTTTACATGCAGACTAGGGTTAATTTTTAAACAGTCAGTGGATTTATTATACCGGCTAATTCTGATCACTATGATACCACCGATCGCGGAATTTTTTTTCTCGCACATATCAATCACTGAAAAAAAATATGCACGTCCGCATTTTTCTACATGCGTTGCAAGCAACAACATGACAAAACAAAACTTTCATCTCCTAAAGGTATACAAATTTTTGTCACGCGCTCACGCCAATCTTGATGGCACCTATGGCTGTGCTACAGAAATACGCGAAAACCTTTTTTCGTCGTTTTATTACACACGAAGTTTTGTATAAAACGAAACTCGAAGCGCGTGCGCTTTTTTATTTTCAGAGTTTCTTTTATTGCAGTCGAGTTATATCTCAACGTTTACCATGCATTCATACGCTGCTTCTAGTTTATCTATTGAATTTTTTATTTTTCTAAAATAGGCTTGAATTTTTCAAAATAACTCGCAGTTATATGGGGATATATTATACATGATGTCACGTAGAAAATATTCTGATTATACGGCGTGTTGCCTGTGAACATACAGAGTATGCAGGTCTGCACATTTTATGCATCATAATGAATCTGTTTTCCGAACCGATGTAGAATTATTTGAATGAAACTTTTCGTTACTCTTCCATTTTAAATGATGATTTTATTTTTCACTTTTATTATTTCAGACCGAACTTTCGCAAAATCTTCAACAGTTGTCAGAAAGAGCGCGTTCGACAACGGAGTTCATTCAGAGACTTAAAAGAATGACAGATAAAGTGCACGTGAGTATTGTTCTTTCTTTCTTACTTTTTTAAATTACTCTCCGCAAAACTTTCTGTTCTGTGTGTTACATTCAATGTTAACTAGAAAAAACCAACTTATAAGATTCTCATTCTAAAACTATACATCAAGTGATATTGTAATTATACAAAAAAATAAATCTCGAATATCTTGATGAATTCGATAAATTTTTATTGCTCCCAAGAAAAGGTTTTGTAATAATTGCGATGTAACAGTTAATATCTTTGTTACGATATGATTGTTTAAAAAAACTTTTATGATGATATTTTTACCGTCTGGTTTTTACCTCTCAAATAGAAAAGGTTGGTTATACATAAAGAGGTAGGATTTTATAAGAGCACTTTGGGCAATGAAGAAGGGTAATTAATGCTTCAGGTTAAATGGATAGTCCTCGGTCAAGGGATTACCGAGCTGACGATCAAAAAATTGATGAATTAGATGGATGAGAGGAAATTGAACTTCTTAGTAGGATCGAGAAATATTGCCTCTATAAGCAATTCGTTGGTAATTAATCATTGTAGAATCTCAAGGTTTTTTTCTGCTTGTATTCGCAGGAAGAGTGCATCTCTCTGGAAGAAGACGTAGAGGAACGCATAAATGCTCTGATAACTCAGCTACAATCGCGGAAAATGCGCTTGGTCGAGGCGGCGCGGCAGACTCGCGAGGCCCGAGTGCGTCTTCTACGAGAGCAAGTGTCGCGCTGCGCCAGCCATCTACAAACCACCACGGGTTTGCTGACCTTCTGCATCGAGGCGCTGAAGGAGACGGACAGCGCAGCTTTCTTACAGATCGGCGGTATGCTGGCGATGCGCGCCGCCGCGGCCGCCGGCTCCTGGGGTGGCGCCGAGGGTGTTCAGGAAATTGCCAGACTGCCGCTGCTCGATCTGACGCTCGACGACAAGCCCGTCAGAAGAGCCATCGATCAGCTGACTTTTGTACAGATGAAACGTAAGTATGTTGCTTGACTTTGCTTTCCCACATTGGAGAGAGGCCATTGTATAAGGATTAACCCGATGGAGTTGTGTAGAGTTGAGTTGAGTTGAGTTGGGTTTGACAAAGCTAATCAATTATACTAATGTATCGCTAATCTCAAAGGTCTTTTGTTCTATAAGAGATTCGAATCGTATGTCGGCTTTGTTTAACCTAATGCTCGGACAATTTGTAACGCTCGATACTGTCGGCTGACTCGAATTTCTCAAGAACAAAAGCACGTAATCACTCGTCATGTTGTCATCAACAAACCTGCTTTATAATCCAAAACATACTAACACGACGTACATGCTAATGTAAAAACTTAAGAATCGATGATGACTGATCGAACGGGCTTCATTTTTGCAACTACTACGGACGCAGCAGCGATGGAAGGAGAGGAACCTTATCCTACAACAGGTAAACAATAACAAAAAACCAACGGACCAAACTGCATCTCATCCTGAAAATTTTGTTCGTTTCTAATGTTATTTCGTAGACGTGGCACGTTGTCTGTCGCGTGCCGTACATACATCAGCCGGCACGTTAATCGTCAACAACATGACGGATTTTCGCCCGCGAGTGTGCACGCGTGTATACATGGCCCAAAGGATTAATTAGATTCACACTCGCGCGCGAACGTCGTCGTGTTAAGAGCTTTCGTCATGGTTATAAGAGCTTTAAAGCTTGCTACGCGCGAAACTACGAGCGAGAGATGTGTCATCCGGAAATTAGGCTCTTAAAAATTTTCGAGGATTAACCATCGCTAAGATGTAACGAAATCTCGTACCTTTTTTTGCTCGTTCACGTGGTTGTTAAAAATTCCATTTGATTCTGCTTTTACGTTTCAACGTTGTACAAATGACGAATGGACAATTTGCGGACGTAATAAAAAAGAAGTCACATGCACACTTCGGTTTGTTCAATGACGGTTTGTTCGGTTTGTTTAATTAGCTAAAAAGCTCGCTGCGCTCATCGTTTACCTGAGTTTGATTATGTTCATGAATGTTCGTATATAAATGAGTGTTTTAATTAATTGCTTCTGCGTAAAAATATTTTTTATTATAGTCGTAGCTTTTGCTTTTCCGTAACTTCATTTGCTTTGTAATGAGTAGACATTTCATTATTCTCCTATTCTTAACTAACATTATTTTATTTCACATTTCATACATATTATATAATTATGAGTCTCGATTCGTTAGCGTCGATACCGTCAACTCGGTTTAACAGTTACTCCTTAAAATAATGAGAAATCACTCATATGACGCCACTCCCACAATCTGTATGTACTCATAAAAGCAATGGATAGGATGGGTCTGTTCTTGGCCGAGTACTTCTATATAAATAGAGTAGATTCGCAAAGATCCAATCAATTTGCTTTTGCCATCGACGACGACGACGACGAGCTTGTCTCTCTCCTCCCGAATAAGCTACATCATCCCTGTAGGCGCGCGCCTCTTGCTCGCGCTACACCCTTGACTTTTACGAGTGCAATGCTCTTTGGCTTATCGATCGTTTTGCCTACTGCGTGCATATATACCCCCTTCCCTGTTCTCAACGCTTATATTACTCGTAATTCAATATACTCCTTCTATAAATGCATCCGAAATGTGCACGCTCGTTCGCAATATTGGCAAAAATTGATACTTCAACTTTTAACCCAAATTCGTACACACGTTTTGCTTGACGCCAGATGCTTTATTCCTTCGAAAACTATTACAAAGCTTCAACAGTTTGCTGACGTGCATACGTGTGGTACGAAAGGATAGACGTACATGCGGGACGAACACAACTCGCGACTCGAAGAGTAAGCGAAAACCGCGTGGCTTCGGAATGTCCCAGTGGTCGAGAGAGACTTATTACGTATACGAACTTTATCGTGCTGGTCAATAATGTAAGGTCATGCCTTAGGAGCGTTTATTTCACCGAATAAATGTCCGGCTGAATAGATTTATTATTTTCTTTTCATTTCGAATCGAGACTCGACAAAAAAAAGTGGGCGTACAAAAAAATAATTCTGAATCTTTGTCTTTCGTTGAACGAAAAAAAAACAGCTCCAGGAGCACCATTGCTCATAGCCGAGGAATGCAGTGCCGAGAACAACAGCGTTACCGTAGCATGGCAAGCTCCACACGTACCGGGACAGCGGGGACCTGCTATCGAAGGTTATTTGCTCGAACTTGACGATGGATGCGGGGGAGAATTTAGGGTAAGTTAATGAAACTTTTTTAATGTAAGTTAATGAAATATTTTCAAGAAATTATAATTTTTACGTGGGAGATAAAATTGTGATTGTTGATTTTATCGAATCGAAATATCTTAGTGAACGATGCTTTTTTACTATACTACACATCATGTGGATGTATGAATTATATAAACATTGAAATTCAAAGAAAACAAAAAAAATTCGAACCAGCCATTGCGGTGAAGCCACAAAGTAAAATCAAGTGACTGTCTTTTTTCACGTCTACTCGGTTTAGCCTCCTCTACTCCTAATTCCACGACGGTATTACACATGCAACGGAGAAATTTATAGATCCTATATAAGCGGGAGTGACGGCTACGATGCGTAAGAGCCTCGACTCTCACTCGCGCGCATCAGCCAAGAGTCCATTGAGCAAACTATACAGACTATATACAGTCATCTTGATAGCAAAGTGTCTCTAGCTCTTTAACGTTAATAAATCAGATGGAATTGAGAGAGGGAAGAGAGGGCGGTGAAAGGCCTGGAAAAGGGAGTAAGGGAGAGAGTAAGAGCAAGCGGGAGAGAGCGACTATACGTAAGAATTTATTTACGACACTGGCGCCAGTTTATGAATTCATAAAGCGTGCGTATACATTATATACACGTACTGCAAGACTTTTTTAAAATCATTATTAAATTTTTCCCTTTTAGCTGCTATATACATATACATATACATTCGAGTATTAAAAATTACATCTTATTTGCAAGGGTGTCTGCTTGCAAGATGCGCCGCGCGTCTTTATACTAGCGATGTGATATTAAATTCAAAGAAGTCATAAAAAAAGGAGATATCTCGTTGTTTGCTCATATTATACAAGCACGAGCGTCTCGCCAACAAGAAAGAGTATTTACCCAGGCGCAGAGTGCATTAAAAGCCGCACGTGTATATTTTATATGTACTTTTAAGGCGCGCGGCTTGTTTATAAGCGAGAAAAAAACGCCCGAAATGTTTTCAGGAAGTCTACTGCGGCAGAGAGACCATCTGCACGGTCGACGGTCTGCACTTCAATTCGCTGTACAACGCCAGGGTACGGGCCTTCAACAGCGCCGGCGAGGGTGAATATTCCGAGCTCATCGGCCTGCAGACGGCCGAAGGTAAGCTATCGCACCGTAAATTCGCATCTACGCCTATGGCTTCGCATGTATAAATGATGGTTTTGCTCGTTCATGCGCAGTGGCTTGGTTCTCGTGGGCACTGAGCGCGCCGGGTGTACCTCAAGAGATCTCTATGTCGGAAGACTGCATGAGCGCGGCCTGCGAGGGCTACGAGCATCGGGTCGTCCTGTCGAACGTTGGATTTTCTCGAGGCATTCATTACTGGGAGATCAGCATCGATCGCTATCACAGCGATACCGATCCGGCCTTTGGGATCGCGCGAGCCGACGTGTCTCGCGATCAGATGCTCGGTGAGTATTTACTTTCATTTTGCTGATCGAGCAGCCGCATCGGCAAGCGACATTGGCCCTTCGATCACTATAAAATGCCATTTTTCCAGGCAAAGACGATCGCGGCTGGAGCATGTATATCGATCGTCAGCGCTCGTGGTTCATGCACGCTGGTATGCACGCTCAACGCACAGACGGTGGCATACAGCAAGGCGCCACCGTGGGCCTTCTGTTGGACCTCGAGCACACGCATACCTTGCGATTTTTCGTCAACGATCAAGCCCAGGGTGGTATAGCCTTTCGCGACCTCTACGGGGTCTTTTATCCGGCTTGCAGCTTGAACCGCGGCGTCACCGTCACTCTGCACACGGCCTTGGAGGTACCGCGACACCTGCTCATTCAGACCAGCAACGGAATCGAGCATCAGATCGACGACTCTTATGTGGTCGGCGACGTGCTTCAGAGCTAGGGGTACCTCAACGTGCTGAGGAAGGGATTGATTTTTCAACAGGAATTACTGCAGATACCCATCTCTTTTGTAAGTACTTCTGTTGTGCCGCTTACGTGGATAAATATATCGACGAGTATGCACGATTTTAAGACGGTGAATATTTTATTAGCGAGGGACGATGCACTGACTCCACCATTCATTTCGCAGCCGCGTACGCGCATATTTTGCACGTAAAACTATTGATTAACGAGTTTCCATTTTAATTTGCCTCCGCAGGGTCACGAACGTTTCAAGGAGCTGAGTGAATTGGCCCAGGTACAGACTCTCGAAAGAATTGTAGAGGAGAACGATATCTGCGCCTAGTCTGTGTTTCAGCGAAACCCGTCAAATCTTCGGTCTCGTATATTGCCATAATGAAGAACGTGATTATTAATGAATTATAAGTAAAGCGTATAAACCACCGATTGACTATTTTTCACATTTCCTGTACTTATACTTATGAGTGTCTTAAACGGAAATTACTTAGATGTTACTTATTAAAATAATATACATTAGCGATAATCCCAAGTATTATAGACGCAAGATTAATATATAAACTTATATTTAACTGATGTTTTTTGATGTGTATCGATAGGAAGGTTCATGCGAATTACGAGCTTTTATAGTATAAGAACATGTGAGAAAAAAGTATTTATTAGATAGACGATGTATCGACTTTAAACTTTTATTCGTCGTTAAAGAGTTGAAGAATCGATACTACTGTGCAAGTACATACCCTTCATAGAATTTATACAATGGAAATTATATTAAATATATTAACGAATTGAAAATTAATATCGAAAGATATCATATCGACTGTCGTAAATGTCATTTTTCATGTAAGTATTAAATTTCCACGATAAAGTAATGGTGAAACCCTTGCCTTTTTCTAAAATCTACTCACAATAAAAAGTCAAAGTATATCGAATAAGTTTTACAATTTGATATGCATTTTTCTATACGGAAAAAACCTTTAATTTAGATTCTGAACGAAAGTTAACGCTTTATATTTGAGATGTTTTGGGGAAGTATGAATGAAACTGTGTGCGAAACGTGATATATCATTTATTGTGATATTAAAAATGTTTTGCATTATATGAAATCTGCCTGTAGAGTTATAATAAAGCTGAAGATACACTACGTCGAAATTTTTGTAATCATTCAATGAGAAATGTAAGTCATTATCATATAAAAATTAAATTAAATTATGAATAATGTAAATAGAGAGCTTGATGCAAACCTATAAAATTTTCTTCCAAAAACCGTAAATTTAAATCTTGCCAATATCGAGCACCCACGAGCACATATCACGAGAAAAAAGTACCCGCACACAAGAGTAAATGTAATAAGCGAATAAAATACGAAACCTTGGTACGTATATATTATATAGCGTAGAGTGTAGTATATGCAATATATTTAAGTGTAACTATGTGTAGCAACGCGCAGCGAGAAGTCTCATCTTACGCACATACGCATACTCATACGCATTTATGTTTAAGGGATGATGATACGAGCTTACTGCATCAATGCTCTTATGAACACATTGTACATAAATGTAAATATATATATATTTATAAATACGTTATACCGATCGTTTGAATGTCCTGAGTGCAAGAGCCTATGAGCGCGTGTATAACGTTTCGTACATTGTATACATATAACACATACTGTATTCTGTATCCGACCAATAAAACGTATGATTATACGCCTCTATATGTACTTATGTTTTATTTACTATTGTTATTGTTGAACGAGAGAACTAGATGCAGACAATAAGTTTCTAGCTGACTATACCAATTGCTTGGAGGATATATCTCGAGCGACGTGCTTTTGTTGAGCCCCGAAGATTGCGCTGTTAAGAAACTCATATACACACTTGCAAGAGTGTCTATAACTGTTTATTGCGCAACTACCTGCGTTTGGCTCTTATCATTTTCATTGTTTCGTAAATAATACGCATGTATCATCCTTTTTACTTTCCTTCCCTCTTTCTATTCTCGAGATTCTTATTTTACACGAAAAAATAAATTTTAAAGACAGTTTCGATATGCTTTTTTTCTATCAGTACGTAACAAGTCATTAATTGGACCTAAGGCAAGTTAATTTCAGCATTGATTTTTGCCCGTTTGCGTGTGAAAATAATCAAAAACTCGGATAGTTGGTAAAACAGGAGAATCGCGCGCGTGCGGCCTTCAGGACTTTGTACGCGTCAAAAGTTTAGATCCCGGAGGTGTGTATAATTGCTATACCTTTGCACGTGCGCCTCCTCGTACGTGTTCGCCAAGTTCATTAGAATGTAACAACGAATTTTGGGAAAGGGCTAAAGGGAAGGGCCGAATGTAATTTAAACATAAATTTTTGTTAATTTTTTCTTTTGCAAGAAAAACACTCGAGTTTGGATGGGTTGAAGGAGCCCGGCTGACGCCGCTGGCGTTTCTGCGAGATACCGAGGGGTATCGCACGCGCGGGCACTTAACCCTGGGGCTCAGCTGTACACGCCATAGCTAGCATATATATCGGGGTAAGTATATAGGCAGGTAGGAAGGGAAAGTTTGCGGACTTGCGTATACATTATGTGCGCGAGTGAGCGTGATCATTGCGATTATATAGAGAGACGCGTCGCTACTGGCATGCGAGCATTATCTATATACAAAGGTGAGATCAAAGCGGAAACTCATGTAACGATCGGTTACGCGTCATTATCGCCATTAAAAAAGCCGAAAAGTTTCAGAAAGCTGCTTGGAAAAGTTTTGAGCTAGCGTCGAGTGTACATCGTGCCGGCGCGCTTAGACAGGCGCGAGGGTGTATCGTGGCTCGAGTTTAGCATGAGTCTGTAGCAAAGTGTCGCAGGACCCGATCATCGCCTATAACGTTTGCGTTGACGTTTAAGCATATACGAGTTAACGAAGCGCAGCTCTTGGCTGGCAGCTCTCATCTCTATGTTCTCTCTCTCTCTCTCTCTCTCTCTGCTTCTGATGTTTTGATTAAAAGCCTTTGCAGCTCTGCAATCGCACCAGTACGTTCACGCGTACCTACGTTCCTCTGCACACATTGCTTGCGATGACGTTTGACTGAACTTTCGAGTGACTCCCTTGCGCGCTATTTATTAATTAAGAAAAATCAGCCAGTAGCTCGGGCCGAGCTTCGTTAAGCATAACCGATTCACCGCGTAAATAGTCCAATTGTCGGTCGGCGACTCGCTTAAGTCTTTCTAGACAATGGCACTTGTATAAAACAGGCCCACCCCAGGTGAAAAATATGACAAAAGATCTTAAATAAGTTCCTATACGAGATCACACATATGATCGTACACAAGATCTTGTGCAAGATCTGGCCTACGATAATCGACACAAGATCTTATATAAGTTCTTGTGTCAGATCGTATGTTAGAACTTATATGCTTTGATATTTCAGAATCCTAATGATTTTCATACCTGACGGAGGAGGTGTACCAAGAATTACTTTAAGATGGTTCATTAAGTAATAAAGTATGGAAATGTATATTAAATAATAACAAATTATCAGATTTTTAATCGAGGAATTATTTTATTTTCAAGTTTCAAAAATGATTACATTTTTAAGTGCAACCTAACATAGATAGGTTTATTATTAAACATTTTCTACATCTAATTGACCAAGAAAACTCTAGGTTTTTTACGAATCAACTTACAGCTGGTTTTCACAAAATACACTTAAAAAACATATTTGATCTGATGATAGTCGAAGATGAAAAATAACCTAAGAACGGGTGTAGCACCTGAAACATGAATTTTATGACAAATTACCACTTTCTTGGTGAATTCGTGTATGTGTATTTATGTATCTATTATATTAGTATTAGAATAATAAGGTTATTTTGTTTATTAACTACATTACAAATCACTCATCTTATAAAGATGCTACAATCCGGCTCTGCTGCGACACTGCTTCTGTTGCAACTGCTTCTGCTGTTTCTTCAATTTTTTCACGAAAATCACTTGCTACGGTCGACGCCACGCAGGTTAGCGTGCGCCGTACGCAGCAGCGCTCTGTCTCTCGTTTGTAACCGACAATTACCAAATTATTCACGCCAATAACAGCATAACAGCGATCTTAAAAGTGTTTCCAAATATAAATAATATATTTCACATCAATTTTTAACTGGTTTAGAATATATATTCTAGTGTGAATAGTTTGGTATTTATCGGTCACTGACCAGAGATAGAACGCTGTCATCTGCGTGGCGTCGACCGTAGCAAGTGATTTTCGTGAAAAAATTGAAGAAACAGCAGAAGCAGTTGCAACAGAAGCAGTGTCGCAGCAGAGCCGGATTGTAGCATCTTTATAAGATAAGTGATTTGTAATGTAGTTAATAAACAAAATAACTTTATTATTCTAATACTAATATAATACATGCATAAATACACATACATGAATTCACCAAGAAAGTGGTAATTTTTCATAAAATTCATGTTTCAGGTGCTACTACACCCGTTCTTAGGTTATTTTTCATCTTCGACTATCATCAGATCAAATATGTTTTTTAAGTGTATTTTGTGAAAACCAGCTGTAAGTTGATTCGTAAAAAAACCTAGAGTTTTCTTGGTCAATTAGACGTAGAAAATGTTTAATAATAAACCTATCTATGTTAGGTCGCACTTAAAAATGTAATCATTTTTGAAACTTGAAAATAAAATAATTCCTCGATTAAAAATCTGATAATTTGTTATTATTTAATATACATTTCCATACTTTATTACTTAATGAACAATCTTAAAGTAATTCTTGGTACACCTCCTCCGTCAGGTATGAAAATTATTAGGATTCTTAAATATCAAAGTATATAAGTTCTAACATACGATCTGACACAAGAACTTATATAAGATCTTGTGTCGATTATCGTAGGCCAGATCTTGCACAAGATCTTGCGTACGATCATATGTGTGATCTCGTATAGGTACTTATTTAAGATCTTTTGTCATATTCTTCACCTGGGACGCGCGTGCAAGCTCACTTCTCTATGAATAGATTTCCATAAAGGATCAAAAGCTCCCGGGCAGACATCGTGCGTATATAAGTTCGAGCCCCGAGAGTCTATGGTATTAATCAAAGCCAACGACAAGTGAGCCAACGTTGACTAACCAAGTTCTAACTGTATTTATGCCGTATACTTCTATAATAATAACACAATTCACTCATATCTTTATGAATGAGATAATACGACTAAAGCTGTTGAATTAATCCATAATATATTGACTAAAACAATCGACTACTTCCTCGGCCGAACGAGTGGCGTCGAAGCTCATTTTTGCAACAAGCTGCCGCTCGCAAGATTCTCTATTATATTATTTGCTCTCGTGACTTCTCCGATTTAACTCGCCCTTAACAGACTATAACGATTATTTTTTCTCATAAAAGCTCCGATTGTACGTGGCAATTAAAAAATAACATTTAGTCTTCTCCAATCTTGCTAATTCAATCTCTTTCTTTCTTTCTCCCTTCCTTCGTCGGATTGCGGGCAATTTTTCCTCTCCAACTACCAGAGTTCGACAACGTTTACTTTTCCAATATTTTTTTACCCTTTTTTCCTGTCTCGAGAAATAATAAACTTGTCGAGTGCTGCACTTAAAAATAGACCACGTACATACTGTAACCGACTTATCTCGCTTATTGATTATCGATAAAAAAAAATAATAAGACATTTATACTTAATCGCAAGGCTCGAATAAAAAAGAGGTGCACAAATGTACGGTTGAGGTTTGAACAAAACAGAGGACTCATTTTCGAGCACTTAGTCGGCTGTCGGGATGTTTGTGCGCAAGACGACGTATAGGATGTCTTTTATGCTATATTAATGTGTCTGGCGCACCATAGACACATAACGCGTACAAGAGCCCATCAGTCTGATGGCTTCTACTTAGCTGACTTGCTTTTCATTACACCCATATAATACACGTTGTCCTGAACACCGTAATATCGTGCGGGTCCAAGACAGCTATATACGTCATAATTAAAATTTTTCGAATTATTACAAAGCTTTATGCGTAATTATGCAAACTTTTAACGGATAAAATTAGAAAAGAAGGAAGATTTAATAATTTCGTTTGTGCACTCGAGCGGGCCTGTTCGACGAGTCTCGACGCGAAACGATGCAACTCGCTTTGACTGCCGCAAGGCGCATTATGCTTAGCTGTTAAACCACTTGCAAGGTAAACTTCGCAGGAAGAAGCCTTGAGGTCTCTTCTGTACATAGTCGAGTCTCTGTTATGATTTTTCACTTCAAGTCTTGTCACTGTTGTTAAGTATCAAGTTATGCTCAAACGCAAGCGTTTATAGTAAACATATATATTTTACGAAAGATAAATACAGTATTTTGAATCATAATAAAAACAAAGCTACAGTGTGAATAACAGAAAAAATGGATGCGTTCTTAAGATATTACATTTCTTCGTCTAGCAGTTGAAATTTGTTTTCCCACTTAGGTGCGATTTCTTCCTCATCGGATGATTCGTCTTTAGAGTCACCTGAGTTATCTTTTTCGGATGTTTCTTGTTCTTCGTTTGTCTCGGCATCATCTTCGTCGGATTCTGAAAGAGAATCGAGCTTTTCCTGATAATAATGATCTTCTTCCGTGCGCATTCGCGCTTGAATCCATTGAACGATTTCAACATCCGGATGAGTTTCCCAGGTTTCTGCGGATTATATAGATGCAAATTAATATACAAAAATTTAATGATTGACAAAAAAGTAGTTACGAAAAAATAAAATTACTTTGTTCTTTTGACCATTTTGGTGGATAAGCCAAAACGCAAATCTTCCCTTCTAATGTCATTCTGAGTAAATTATTTGCAGCTCGATAAGAATCCAAACGAGCTGCTTTTGCGGTACGGAAATTTCTTTTAGCTGCCCAGCTGTCACAAATGTCCATGGCTGACCAAATTTCTTCACCATCCACAAAATCGTCGTCTTCGTGATGGAGTTTAAGAAGTTTCGGTAAATCTATTCTTTCGGCAATGAACTTGATTGTTGAGTACGGCTCGCGAACTTGAGCAATTGGAAATGAACCCATGAGTATTTGAAAGGGTTTGGGAACCGTTGATGGAAATACCAGACCAGGACAATCACAAAGACAAACGTTTTTGGTTAGATAAATTGTTTGAAAATGTTTGGTATGACCCGGGGTTCGAGATACACTAACAACTTTTTTTCCTATAAAAATGTTAACAAGATTAGATTGATTGCTTAAGTTTGCGTTTTTTAAATGAAATTTGTTATAATTTACCCATTAATGCATTTATGAGAGATGATTTTCCTACATTTGGTGTACCAACACATCCTATTGATAAGACTCCATTTTTATATTTTTCACGCACACAATATCCAGTATCTTTCTTCTCAACTGTAACATTTTCTTTTCTATCAATTTCTTCCATATCCATATCATATTCCAAATGCATTTCTTCTTGAATTTTATTGTGCCAACTGGTTAGATCTACTTGACCATCAACAATTTCTTTGCATTTTTCCATAATTTTTTGAGCTCCTTCAGCTGACATCTTTAGTTTACCTCTTCTCCTTCTTGACTTTAACTTTTTATCTTCATTATTGTCAGTCTGTCTGACATTATATGTTGGAAAAGATGTAAATACTAAAATGTGAAGTTTTGGATATTTTGTTTGGAAATAATGCTGCCAAGCAACAACCAGTGGTGCCGGAGCCAAATCAACTTTGTTAAGAATTAAAATCATATCTTTGCCCAAGTCGTCAGTTATATACTTATATAAGTAAGGCGGAAACATCATAACGGGATATCTGATATCAACAATAATTAATAATATATCTGTAATTTCAATAACTCTCCATAACTGTCTCCAAGTTTCAAGATTCAATTCAAAGTAGCTTACATCAGCTAAGTCTTCCATACTTTTTAAATACTCCTATAAAAATTTATAAAAATTAGAAAAAGTTGTAAAGAAAGTTTTTATAATTATTACAAAAAACTGACTCAACTGTGAAATACTTTTGCTCTCTCATATCTAATTCTTCTTTACTCATACTGAAATCCCATGCAGGGCGTTTCGGCATATCAATACCTTCAGGAAAGTAGTCATCTGAAATTTCTTGCTCCTCAATTGTTTTCACAGTGACTGGCTCCAAAGCTTGTTCCTTACGCTTTTTAAGTTCCAACTGCGACTCTTGGAAAAATTGCAAAGCGTATTTACCTTTGTTTCCTGTATTATCACATGGTTGTTTATTGATTTTTTTAATGCCAGGACCACCAAACTCTGAGGTAAAAGCATTTTCATCATCATCTTGATCTTTACGTTGAGAATCTGAAGAATTCCATTATAAACATTAGTAAATTATATTAAAATGAATGAAAGGACTAATTTTGTTATTCAAAAAAATTACTCAATAAAACGTGAGTTTTTCTCTGCTTTCGAGCTTGTAATTGTTGCTTTTTAGCTTTAGTACTAAAAGGAGTTTTTCTTCTTGCCTGTGGCATCTTTTACGATTTATTGCTATTATCAAATTACTGAAATTTTGATATAGACTCTCCAAAGAACTTCAACTTGATCAACGAACATAAACTATATTTGTTTCTAGAAGCTACGCCCGGCAAACATTCCAAATTCGTTTACATGAAACAGCTGGGCTTTAACCACCAAGTAAAGGGCAGGCTCAATTTACGACACAACACAAGTCACAAATGCAAAATAGCGAGCAGTCTACGCATATATATGTTTCGTACTCTTAACCTTAAATTGGCAGAGTTTTAGTTTTATAAACATGGCGGACGCAGCTGGAAATTGGTGTCTTATCGAAAGTGATCCCGGTGTTTTTACCGAGTTAATCAAAGAATTTGGTAATTTTTTCGTTATTATGAAAACTAAAATTTTATTTTATTATATTCTCATCGGTCTTAGTAGCGTAGATTTTGCATTAACTTGTCTTTAGACATTGACCAGAATGACATGACAAAAAGCTCAGATTGGCTCTAGCAGCGTTTTATTTGTCATTGTTTTTTAAATTAATTTTTTCCCAATTACAGGAGTAAAAGGAGTTCAAGTTGAGGAGTTATATAGTCTTGATGATGAGCAATTTCAAAATCTAAAGTAAGCAAAAAAGTCTTGTTTATAACTCGTTATTGACACCAAGCATTATGTATTAACTCATTACTTTTTAGACCTATTCATGGACTTATATTTTTGTTCAAATGGGTACAAGATGACGAACCGTCTGGTCCAATTGTCACAGACAATAGGCTGGACAAAATATTTTTTGCTAAACAGGTTGGTTAAAAAATTTAAAAAACTTGTAGAAAAAAAATAACTAAAATCTTTTTAGGTAATAAACAATGCCTGTGCCACACAAGCAATCATCAGCGTATTGATGAATACTAAACACGATGATATTCAACTTGGTCCAAATTTGGAAGAATTCAAATCTTTTTGCCAAGCCTTTGATTCAAACATGAGAGGGTTAGCTTTAAGTAATTCTGATCTTATAAGAAAAGTTCATAATTCATTTGCCAGGTAAAATATTTATTTTTATAATGGTATAAATTTAAAAAATAAAAATATTAAAATTAATGTAATTTTTGTAGGCAAACTTTGTTTGAACTCGACAATAAACAAGCTTCAAAAGATGATGATGTTTTCCATTTTGTGAGTTATGTTCCTATTGATGGACGGTTATATGAATTGGATGGATTGAAAGAAGGCCCTATTGATCTTGGACCATGCCCGGCAGGAGAAGATTGGGTACAAGCAGCTAAACCTACAATTGAAAAGCGTATTAAAAAGTAAGATAAGAGTCTTTACTAAAAAGTAAAAGAGCCTACTATAATTGATTTTTGTTTTAGGTACAGTGAAGGTGAAATTCATTTCAACTTAATGGCATTGGTTAGCGATCGAAAAATGCTATATGAGAGAGAAAAAAGTTTGACAACAGATCCTGGTGAAATTGCAAGATTACAAGCCCTCATAGATACAGAAATATGGAAAACAAAAAAATACAGGGTAGAGAATATTAGGAGAAAGCACAACTATCTTCCTCTCATTATGGAATTATTGAAAGTTTTGGCAAAAGAAGGTAAACTTGTACCTCTATACCAAAAAGCAAAAGAAAAGGTTGATGCAAAAGAAGCAAAAAAAAATAAACCTTCAACAGCAGCAACAACAACAACATAAATTAAATATAAATTTTTTGTCAATTCATTAACATAAGTTTATTTATAAAAAATATTACTGCATTTGAATTTGTAATAACTACATAAATATTTTGTAAAAAAACTTTAATTTTAACAAAGTATTAAACATTCATCTCCCAAAATGTCTTGCAAATTTGTCATTCTTCTTCAACGTCAGACTCTATTTCGTATGCACTCATTTCAATCAAATCTTCCTCTACATATTCAACTTTTCCTTCTTGAAACCTAAGTCTGGGCAACATTCGGTTATAAGGACTATTCTTGATCGTTGGAATATACACTGTATATAAATATTCTAGGCTTTCTAAAAAAAATTAAGAGATGAAATGATTGAATATTTTGAAAGTTTATAGTAATTTACCTTCAGCTGTGGAACAATTTTTCTTAGCTATTTTCATTAGCGATCTATATATTTCACCTAACTTAAGAGTTGTGTAACCATCAAAGTATGCTGCAATTTTTGACCATTTGCCTTTGGGATCAAAAATTTTGTTATCGTACATGCTATAACAAAAACATAAAAATATTAAAAATTTTAAAATGATTAATTTTATGATTAATATTACATACAATCTGATTAATTTAATTCTAAGATCATTTGAACGAATAGGATCAGGGCAGAAAAACTGCATGTGCAATTGAGATCTCCACATTTCTTTCAAAATATCAGCATCTTCATCCATAACTTTTTCCATCTCTACCCATACACACTGAGGTAGTATGTGATTTTTTAATTCTGAAACATTTTTGCATACAGTGATGTTCATGAAATGCTTCATGAACAATTCAATTTTTGTAAGAGGCCAGCTCTTTAAAAAATGAAAAGCTGAAAAAAAATTTGGTTTTTAGGAAAAAATATCATAATTTAACATTTAGTGGAAGTAGTAAAAATTCCTTACGTGGAAGTCCAGGTACTGTTATAAGACCCATTATATTTTTTGTTTTTGAATTGAAAGTAATAAAAAAATAAGATGCAACACGTGTCTTCGCCAAACAACAAAATTTGAAAGTTATAAAATGTTGACAATTTAAAAGTCGGGATTTACTTTCAAGGACACCGGTTCGAGTTTAATTCTGCATCAGCGAAAAAAATGTAAACATAGCAAAAGTCGGGTCTCCGTCTTCTTTTCTTCTTTATTTGGCCTTGGAGTGAGTGAGATTCACTACCGTACTGCCACTGTTTCGGGTCTTCGTCTCTGCCTATGCTAGTAGCTAGCCCGTATATACTATTATTATTATTGCCGCGTACTTTCAAACAGGGACAGAACTCGCTTTTGTTTTAAATTGGGATATTTTTTACTTATTAAAATGTCAATATTAGTGTCCACGAAAGTTAATAGTGATAGTTAAAAAAATGATCTTGATATTTCAAGAATCCTCTTTGATTTGGAACTTATAAACTAGTAATAAAACAACAATATTTTGATATACCTCTTGAAAAATATATTTTTATTTTTCCGCAAATTAAAATTAACTATGTATTTAATATTTAATCTATTAAATAAAAATTTCACAAAACCATTTATTTACATTTGTTGATATTTTGTAGTAAAATATCTTTAATAATAATTTTTATCTTTACTCTTCAAGCACTGTGTTGATAAAAGGATCATGTGTTGTGTTTCCATCAATTTTTTCGGCTCCTATCATTACAGAAACTATTTTACCATTTTTACAGTGTAAAGCCGGCAATACAACGTCAGTTATATTATCTTCAAGTTCAATAACATATTTAGTATAAAGATAGTTTAAAAGTTCTGAAAATATATCATATCATAAATTTATACACATAATTAATAATTTTCTAAAATATGAATTATGAATATTACCTTGGAAATTGTCTGAGTTGATTTTTGTTAAAGCTTGTTGAATCAAGCTATCGAATAGTTTAGATAAGAATAATGCAGTTGAACCTTCAAATTTTAAACAAATTTCATCCCAAACTATATCATTTATGTTTTTTATATTTAAATCATGTAAGCTGAAAAATTAAATATTACTTTTATTAATATACTAAAGGTAAAATGTTTGTAAATGTACTCACAGTTCAATCAAGTTTATTTGAATCTGGCTCAAATGCACTGGAGTTGGTGAAAATAGTTGTAGGTGAAGTCGTAAGTACCAAAATTCCTGAAGCGCTAACTTTGAAATACGCATGGAACATTGAATTTTTAGCCAAACATCCTCGGGCACAGTTTTATTTTTTAAAGTATTCAAATTGGATGATGTGTATTGTAATAAGTGATCAATAAAAGTTTGTACTAAATTTAAATCCCAATCAACACTTGTTCTAACTACAATCAAAAATTTGTATGTTATAAATTAATTTTTAATTAAATTTGTCATAATAAAATTCTCACTTTTATTATTTCTTGATTTGTTTCTAGATTCAAAAGAATTTGGAAAATAATTATAATCTCTTTCAGCATTATCATCTATTTCTGTATTACAAACTGCTTGTGCATCATCATCATTATTTAAGGGATCTGCTGAAATTAATCCAGGGATTTCTTTTTCAGTTCCTTTATCTAACAAAATTAAATTATTTTTTTTATAATAAAGCAGAGGTAAAAATGCTTCTGTTGTATTTTTTCTAATTTCAGAGATGTGCATTAAATATAAATAATTGACAAGATCTGCAATTGTAAATGAAACTGTTAATATAAAAAAGTTGATATAATTTAAAATTGTGCAGAAGTCATGTACCATTATAGTCCGGTGATGTTATTTTTGTTTGAGCATATCCTAGTAAATAATTCCATAATTTTTTCAGAAAGTGAACAGTTATTCCATCAAAATGTTCACAAACTCTTTTCCATTTTATATCTCCAAAGTTATTGAAATCTGATTGATGAAAACTAAAATTTTGATAAAATTATTTAAACATGAATTACAATATTTTATCAATATTTTTGAAAATAATCTTACAATTGAATTAAGGCAATTTTAAGATCATCCAAGTAAATTGGAGTAGAAGAAAATAATTGCATGTGGAGACGTAAATTCCAAAAATTTTCAAGAACTTTTTTATCTATTTTCATTAATTTTTCTAGTTCTGACCACACTTCATTGTGAATTTCAACATTTTTCAATTTTCTCAAATCTTCAACCGCAGATACTTTCAATAAATTGTCAATAAAAATGGTGACTAATTGAGGACTCCATGTGACAAATTTTTCAACTGAAAATTGGAGTAGTCAAAATTGTTGTATATTATTAGTATGGTATTTAAAAAATAACAAAAACGAGCCCAAACCTGTATTCTCTTTAAACTTCTTTAAATTTGGGGCATTTTTTGTTATAATTATGCTACTTTTTGATAACTTTTTATCTTTTCTTGAATGAAAGGAGCTTGAAGAACTGCAATGTATTTTTGTAGCTTTTTTATTAGCCATTTTTTTTAACCTTACATATCGCTTAGCAATTGATTTTGGATCTCTACACATTTTTTCTCCCAATTGTACCCACTTAAGTTCCTTATCCATTTTTTTATTTCCATCTATAAAAGCCAAAATCTGCTCATCTTCTATAGAACTGTATGTACTGAAAATTATGAACCAAGATGTAAAATGCCACACAATTTATCATTATTTTATAATTAATTTACCCATTTTTACGCTTGTGGAATAAAGACCTAAATCTTGAAAATACACTGAACAAGCTTCTCCATGGCAAACCATTAGCTAAAAATCGTACAAAATTTTGACGCTGTTCTTTATTTTTTATGTAAAATTTACCACCGTATTTTGTTCTCAAAAAAGGTTCAACTACATCCTCATCCCATTCATGAACCTAAGATAATCAAAAATAAAATGCTTAGCAACAAATTTTATCAAAAAAGTAATTTATAAAATACCTGACAAAACATTTTCCAATTTTTGATAATTATTGAATCTTCAACCGTAGAAAAAGCTCCTTTTTTCATTTTGCAATATTTTTCAAATTCTATCATTTTACTTCGCGGGGTACAGCGGCTTATAGTACGTTGTTTAATTAAATGCTGAGGAGGTACTACGTGCTGCAACTGTATAGTCAAATTTTCCAGCTTCTAAAATAAAAGAAATAAAAGAATTACTTAAATACATTAGATTGAAAAATTGTATTAAATGAATGTATTAAAAAGATACGTTTAACTGAAGTTGAGATAAGGGTATTTCGTCATTTTCCGTAGTATCGGAAACTTCTCCATATTCTTCATCTTCTTCTTCATCTATTTCATCCTCTTCTTCCTGTTTATTTCCTTTTTCAAGACAAACATTTTCAGAGGTTACCTGCTGCCTCGTCTTCATGGATAAATTAAAAAAATTAATTAAACAACAAATATTCTTATATCTAAGACTTTTTGTAAAAGATTATTTTTCCCCTATTTTTGAAATTTAACGACACAAGTCTAAAACCTTGCTACCCGCTTTGTAAAAAAAGCCAAATTGTACTATCACTAATTGATAAGCTACATGTAACAACAGTCTGTTTTAGATTGTCATAAATCGATCACTCTGCGGTTTAAGCATGGAAATAAACAAACGTGTGCCTCCGCATGCTCGAGTTTCGACAGTGCTTGCTGCAAATTGATTTATGATAATCTGAATTTGCGTCCTACATGTAGTCAAGCCAACTGCATAAACCTTAAATAAGGGTTTGAAAAAATTCGCGCGATTTTACGAAACGTCAAAGTTAGTGATGCTAGAAAATGACATCAATCTTACCGTGAATGAGTTTGAAGGTTCGTTGAAATTGTGTTTTTCTTCGTCTTCGATTTGACCAATAAACAAAGGATCTTTTTCGTCTTCTTGGTCGTCTTCATTGTATTCTAAACACGGTTGTTCTTGAATAAAATCGTAGTTTAACACCGTATTGGTCGCTTGACCGTTTACTAAAACTTCACAAATATTGTGCGGCATTGGATTAGATTTTTCTTCGATATAATGATCATCTATTATATCCAGTTCTTCTTTTATTATGTTACTACTATTTATTAGCGATATATCAGTAAAGGCCTCCCGAACACCACAGGAAATTGGTATTTTGACATTCTGAGGAGTAGATGTTTGGGGTTGATATTTTTTTGTGAACATATTTTCTTTTTTCGTCTTCCAATTTGAACAATTTTCTTAATTCAAAAAAGATTTTGTTTATAAGATTCTTGATAAATTTTTATCCTGTTTGAATAATTGTAGAGATTGTCTGTTCGATAATCAAAAGCAGCAAAGTCGAATTATTAATAACTATTTAAAACGATGGTCAATAATGCAACTGTCAGGCCGAATCGAAATCCTTTTTGAAGAATGAAAAATAGAAACTTCTTAGTTGAGTGAAGAACACTGTTAGTACACCTTTTAAAGTTAAAATAATACTTTTCTACATGAGTTGTTCCATGCTTTTCCATTTCTAACCAAAAAATGGAATTATAATTATGTTTTTAAAATGAATTAAAAGAGAAAACTACACATGTCACAGGATCAAATAAAAGTTTATGGTCTTATTTCCTCGTAATTTCACCAAAGCTGTAATGACACTAAATTTTCAAGTGTTAAGGACCAAAATACTTTATGTTCACGGAATTAAATCCATGTGAGATTAGAATGTAGCAGACAGCAGCAAAGCAATAATTATATCATATATGAAGCATCAAAAATGCGACAAAAGCTCGAAGTAATCCGATATAGTAGGTACCTGTTTCTGGGAGATCCAAAATTTTTTTTCAATTATATACAGGGATGTACTAGTAAACATATTATAAATTGTACCGAAATGAGAATATTTATTGGATAGAAATTTCCATAGCAATATCACCAGTATATTGCTTTACACACTTGTCTATATTTACAGTTTTTTACAATGAGCAGATAAATTATTCACGTGATTATTTAAGTATAAGAAAAATTATTAGCATATAAGATATTGATAAAATTAATTTCATTATTAAGCATACAAGCATACAACACTCAAGTTAACGATTTACTCTTCATGGAAAATCACAGTTCCAAATTTTTCCATCTAATACATTTGTACATGCAGTTCAATTTTCATAGAAAATACAAATCAGCATGATTCATTTTGGGTAAAAATGTAACAACATTAAATTTTAACTATTCAGCATTTTTAAGGCGCTGTTTTTCTTTTCTTAAATTATACTGATTTACTGCATTATAAACCATGCCTATTGATATAGTACCAACAACCATGGCTTGAGCACCAACTCGAAGTTGCATTAAAAATAAGGAAGTCGAATGTAGAACTCCTCTTGTTTTATAACGCATGTATCCATAAGAACAAGCACCAACCATTCCAAGTAGACCTAATAAGATTAATTAGTAATAGTTAACAACAGAGCATATATTGATATTGATAAAATATAACTTAATGAAAAGTATGAATTTACCAATATAAGCCAAAGGTTTTTGTTGCATACTACGAAGCAATCCTGATCCAATACTTTCTTCATTATAAGAACTTTCAAATTCAGTAGGTTTGCGGTCCATGATTGAGCTTTTCTGAATATCTGCTAAAACTGTGAAATCAATTTTGGATAGTAATTATCATTGGAAAATAATTTTTTTTTATATGTAGTTAATATAATTGAGTATTGCATCAGTATGACAACAAGGGAAATTTGATGCAAAATTTAACGCTTTATCTAAAAATGATCCTAAGTAGTTAAATTGTACAAAGACTGTTCAAACTATTGGTATAGGTCATCATTGAACAAACCCTATTGAGAATTTTAACAAAATACATGCACATAGGAAAAGCCTTGATGCTTGAACTCAAGATTTCAAGGTCAAAGATTTTCAATCTTATAATAACAATCAAAAATACATCGTAGTGCCAGTTATAAATATCGAACATTAGAAAAATAATTAGAGACTCATAGTTACGAAGCATTATTGATGCTTTATGATTGTTATCGATTCATATTTGCACCTTACCGTTTTTTTCAATAGCAGTGATCTACAAGCGTCAAAAGTTGATGAGCAATCGACAACAATAGAAACTCGCGTAGATTTTGTTCAACAGATCAGACACAGTGACAGGGTCCAAATTGATCTGTTAATGATGATAAATCTGTACTTATAATTCTCACGACTCGATGGAGGTCCAACGGTGAATATAATGGGTATACTATACTTGCGCGGACTTGACTCGCGCTCGCGACTTGGTAATTCAGAGTTCTGCTGCTTTAGGACTTCTGCTAAGCCACATGACGATTTGCGAACTGGGGTTCGTCGTTGCCCCTCTCTTCTTCGTACACGCGATGCGCGTGCGATCATGACTGACGACGATCGACTCGGAAAAAAATGTATTGCAAATGACGTAACATCTGTGCGCGCACACATAATAATTTTTACTACATAGAAAGATACCTAGTTAAACAATATTTTCGATTTTTAAAATGAAATTCAAATAATTCGGGCGTAGTGGAAATACTCCACCAAGATGATGATAATTTATCATATAACTCTTTACCATCTGTATTTAGGGATAAAAAGTACTATATAAATTCATTTTATTTCCCGAAAATTAATGGCTGGCAAACCTAATGTTATAATTGAAAAAAACTAAATTTTTTCTCATTACTTAAAGCTTGGTGTAAGCAAAATTTCTTGATTTTGCTCAGTATTACGCACATTCTGTAATTCTCACGATGACTTATCAAGTATATAGTACATTCGTGCGAAAGTGAAAGAGCGCGGCCGTGTCGCTGGTGGTCTCTCAGAGTCGAGGCTCAGTCGTGTGGTGTGTCAGTTCGTGGGGAGATCTCACAGCTCACACGTCGCACGTAAAAACTCTTGCTTTTTCCTGTATTTTAATTTTTTTCATGAAATCTTATCACGATCGTGCATGCATGTGCAATGGGGCACCATTAGTTTCTCATGTCTTTATCTTCAAATCAATGCAGGAGTCAAAAACACGTCACGATATAAGTGCAACGATCGAGAAATCAGTCAAGACTAGACAGTTTTTGACTCACCGATAATCCGAATTCGATTGAATAGCCGCCTTATTTCTTACGCAGCAACGCATTTTTATGGACTTTTAAATTACTTCATTTGTAAGTCTATCAGTCAGTTTTTCTCCTAAATACATAAGGAACTCATGGCCGTCACATGTGATATTTCTCCTCACATCGCGTTAGAGGCACGTACGTGTTAAGACTATTGAGTTCGCGAGGTTAAAGGGATCGAGGAGAAAGTTACACAAATATTGGCATATTATTAGCATTCGGATCATTTTATTTTTTATCCTAGTATAATCCACTCGTTGCGTGAAAGTAATGGAAAATAAAATTAACTTTCAATTAGTAAGTACCGTTGATTATCTGATTTTGATAATCATTTAACCTTGCGATTTCACTAATTCTTATCATTTTTTCTATTAATAAACAAACGTCATTGAAATGAGTTGATTATTTTTTCGCGACAGTTTGGTGCATTGCAAAATACTCACGATACAGCCATATTGTATATAATTATAACGAAGTGGTTTCGTAACTCTCGCGGTTTATGCCTTCACTTTTGCGTTCTCTTGTCATTATCTTTCTGAAACAATTATACTTATTCACGTCTTATTTTTTTATTAACAGTTATGAGCTCCTGTTCTGGAAATATCATCAGCAGTAATGGAGCCAAAAACCTACAAAATTGGATCGCGAAAAAGCGAACTAGCGCTTATTCAGACCAAACATGTCAAAAAACTTTTGGAAGAACTCAATCCAGATGTAACTTTTGAAATTGTCACTATGGACACAAAAGGTGACAAAATACTCAATATTTCACTGCCGAAAATAGGTGAAAAATCTCTTTTCACAGCTGAATTGGAAAGTGCTCTTGAAATGCGCAACGTTGACTTTTTGGTACATTCGTTAAAAGACCTACCAACAACATTGAAAGATGGGCTGATTATCGGTGCAATATTACAGAGAGAAGATCCTGAAGATGCTGTTGTCATGTCTAAAGCTCATAGCCAGTACACTTTAAAAACATTACCACCTGGTAGCGTGATTGGTACTAGTTCATTACGAAGATCTGCCTATTTATCTAGAAATATGAAGCACTTAAAAGTTGAAACAATAAGGGGAAATCTGAACACAAGATTTAAAAAACTGGATGATGAAAAAACTAATTTTGCGGCTATAATATTAGCAGTTGCAGGTCTTAAAAGAATAGGATTTGAAGATAGAATAACGGAACGTATGAATTGCAAAGAATCATTATATGCTGTTGGTCAAGGTGCCCTAGGTATAGAATGCAGAGAAGGAGACGAGGCAGTATTGTCATTATTAGAACCTCTAACGCATTTGGAGTCAACGATATGTTGTGTAGCCGAACGCTCGTTCTTAAAAACTTTAGGAGGTGGCTGTTCAGCACCTGTGGGTGTATGCTCAGAGTTAAAAGAAAAAAATTTGACTTTAACTGGTGCTGTTTTATCCTTAGATGGGAAAGAACTTATTGAAAATACTTTAGAAAAGAAATTATTTATACCAGATGAAGATGCTGAACCTGTAAGAAAACATGCTTACATAGAACCAAAGACTTTTTGCAGTGTATGGCCAGGAAAAGTCAGTTCTATTAGCCTATCTGAGGCTGAAAAATTAGGAAAAGATATTGCCGAAAGTTTAATAGAAAAAAATGCTTTGGAAGTTATGGCTGATGCTCGAAGTCAAATTTCAAACACACCGTAAATTGTTTAATAAATGGGTGAAGGGATAACAGATATATATATAATTGTTATATATAAATGCTGTTTTGTAATATAATTGTTAATACAATTTTTATAATTGTAATGTAAAAAAATATATGACTAATAGAATCTTTTATGTAATTACAATATTGTTTATATTTATTTAAAACTATGTTGAACCGCACTGTGTATAGTTAAAGCAATGAAATAATAAAATTGATTTTTATAAAAAAAAATACTTGCCGTTTTCTTTAATTTTTTGCATGATGATAATATTGTAGAGTTCATGATTTGGGCGTAGTAATAAAGTGCGCAAGTGCATAATTTATTTCATGTTTTTTTTGCGATTACCAACATAACATTGCCTCCTGTTTGATCATTCTTTATTATATTATTGATAATTGAGTAATGACAGAATGGTACCGAATAAAATCCATACCCCAAACGATGTATACAATGTTGAATGTACTTTATCGAGGTTTTTAAGGTGTCCGCTAAAGAGAGATTTCACTGTATGTTATCTGACCTGCAGCTTGCAGCAGTCAGTACTTTATACCAAACTATAGCGCTTGTTTCATATATCTACTGCTAATAGTAAATAAGTATATAGATAGCAGTGCAGTGAAAAACACACAGACCCAAGCTGAATACTACTAACATAACCGACTAGCTGACAAGGAGTCTTCAGAAGCAATTACGCTTCTGTTTCAGCAGCATTGGTTGTAGACTGTATGTTTCAAAGGCTTAATCGAAGCGTCGCTCATCAGCTAGTCCTTTTCAATAAATATTGTTATAAAATAATTATCGATCCGAGCACTTTTTAACATGGGCGATTCCAAATCATTTTTGCATCAATGGTGCAGCAAAAACTCAACTGAGCCACAATTTGAAGTTCGACCAACTGGTAAGTTATACATGTATGACGTTTGTGTTTTGGTTAAGTTGCATTGGTTGAGAAATGCATAATACCAAATATTACCATGTTTTTAGGCCCAAAACATAGGCAACGTTTTCTCTGCGAACTTCGAGTGGGTGGATTTGACTATGTAGCCGCTGGAAATTCAACCAACAAGAAAGACTCCCAAGCTAATGCTTGTCGAGATTTCATTAATTATTTGGTTCGTGTTGGCAAAGTCAATCCAACCGATGTTCCTGCTGATGCAAATTTACCAACTACTGCAAATGAATCATTTACTCAAGCTAATGTTAGCACACCTACTAGACCTGTGTTTCAAGGTGGTATGGGCCCCAATGATTTTGGCCAAGCCTACAGATCTTACAATGACAGGGGGGAAAATAATTACACTTATATGGATCGGTTGGCTGAACAAAAAAAAGTTGAAGAAGCTGAGGACCTTGACGTCAACGCTGGTATACATGGAAATTGGACTATTGAAAATGCCAAATCTAAACTTCATCAATTTATGCAAATCAATAAAATTAATGCTGACTATAAATATACTGTTGTAGGGCCAGATCACACAAGGTTTGTTCAATGTTCTAAATGTTTTTCTTATCATTTAGTTTCATTAATCATAAATTGAAACAAATATAGTTTGAAAAGTTTTCAATGAATGGTAGATTTAATTCAAGGTGAACTTTTCAAACTCTAAATATAATTTGAATTTATACTTTATGATCAAAAGTAGTTCTTTGGTTGTTTTGTATTATATAAACAAGACCACTTTGGAGTACAATAATAAAATATAAAAGTAGAGTATTTTTACTAATGCTGTACATTTAATACTGAATAAATGAAATTCAAACAGCATTGAGATCTACTGGAAGGATTGATTTTCCAGTAAATTTCAATGATAAATATTCTTATTTGAATTTAAAAAATATCACTGGTACAACCAAAACTTTAATTGAACTAAATGATTCAATCATAGTTTTGGTGCTACTACTTGTAGATATACACTTTGTGTGCTCCAATTTGGTCTTGGATGATGATTACCTGAGGTGAGTACTCATTATAAACCACATGTAACAAAATTTATTATAAATTTGACAATATTTGCATCAAAATGTATACATTGCAGGAGTTTTATGGCTGAAATGACTTTTTATGTGAAACAGTTGGGAAGATGTAAGTCTTATTTATTTTAGATGACTTGTGCTAGTTTTTTTTTTACTATTTATCATCAAAATAGATTACTTATGTTAAAAATTGGTTGCAGCTGTTACTGGACGTGAAACTGGCTCTAATAAGCAAACTGCATCAAAAAGCTGTGCTCTCTCCTTGGTTAGACAATTGTATCACTTAGGAGTAATTGAAGCATTTAGTGGTTCCTTGAAAACTAAAAAAGAGATTAACCAAATGCCTCCATACCCAGTGAAAATAGCTCCAGAACTTGTTGATGAAATAAACAATCTTTTGAGAGGTTTAGAGATCAAGCCAATTGATTTAAATGGGGTAAGGTGTTAATTAAGATTAATATTATTGTTTTTAAGTCTGAGCCTGAAGCTTTCATCAAAACTGCAACAAGCAATTCAAATATAATCTTGATAGAAAATTTTTGGTTTCACATGCTCCCTTCAAGATTTAAAATATTGATAACTCCTAATATTGAATATTGAAAACAACTAATGAATATTTAAAATTTTTTGTAGCCACCTCCACCTCCCAGGATTGAAGAAAATGGAGAGTGCAGCTCTCAAGGTATTTCTCTTGTAACTGACCATGTTCTTGAAGATTTTATTTCATCAAAACCTCAAGCTGCTGGTGTTGTAAGTTGGTCACCACCTCAACAAAACTGGAACCCATGGAGTGGTTGCAATATAGATGAAGGACCATTAGCCTCTGTAAATCTGGACGATTATTCACAAGATTTAGAAAGAGAGGCGCGAGACTTTATGCAGAAGTCCGAAAATCTTCAACTAAGCTATAAAAATCGCTCAAAGCTTCCAGTATTTTCAATGAAAACCGAAATCATGGATGCCATAAATGATAATCCAGTAGTCCTTATTAGAGGCAATACAGGTTGCGGTAAAACAACGCAAGTGTGTCAATTTATTCTGGACGACTACATTTCTACTGGTCAAGGTGCTTACTGCTCTATTGCTGTAACTCAGCCCAGAAGAATATCAGCAGTTTCTGTTGCTGATCGAATCGCAATGGAACGGTGTGAACAGCTTGGACAAAGTGTTGGTTATTCAGTTCGATTCGAATCTTGCTTACCAAGACCTTATGGTAGCATTATGTTCTGTACTGTTGGAGTGCTCTTAAGAAAGCTTGGTTAGTATCATTTGTTTAGTTAAATGATTGTAAACTAGAATTTTCATATTTGTATAACAGGAAGCTCATTAATTTTCAGAGGGTGGTCTTAGAGGTGTTTCGCATGTGATCGTCGATGAAATTCATGAACGCGATGTTAATACCGATTTCATCATGGTAGTCCTTCGAGATATGATTCATACATATCCTGACTTACGAGTAATTCTCATGTCTGCTACCATAGATACTACTCTGTTCAGCAAATATTTCAACGATTGTCCAGTAATTGAGATTACAGGGCGAGCCTTCCCAGTGCAGCAATACTTTTTGGAAGACTGTATCGAAATGACTAAATTTATGCCAACACCAGAATCGAGGAAACGCAAAAGCCGCGATACCGACGAGTTACCACTTGAGGGAGAATCTGATGACAACCTCAACAAAGTCGTTCCCGAGCATTACAGGTAATGAGAGGGTTCATGGCATGGTGAATACCAGAAATATTATAAATCATTAGCATTTTTCTCTTACAGCGCTCACACGAAAACTGCTATGTCTCAAATGTCTGAAAAAGAAATCAGTTTTGAGCTTCTCGAAGCCTTACTCAGGTATATTCGCGACCAAAATGTTCCCGGAGCCGTATTGGTTTTCTTACCTGGGTGGAATTTGATCTTTGCTATAATGAAGTATTTGCAACAACACCCACTCTTTGGTGGTCAAGATTACGTGATAATTCCGCTTCACTCTCAGCTACCGCGAGAAGATCAACGTCGTGTATTCGATCCAGTGCCACCAACAAAAACCAAGATTATTCTTGCTACAAATATTGCTGAAACGTCAATAACTATCGACGATGTTGTATATGTTATCGATTCTTGCAAAGCTAAGATGAAACTTTTCACATCTCACAATAATATGACGAACTATGCCACTGTTTGGGCAAGTAGAACAAATCTTGAACAAAGAAAAGGGCGTGCTGGACGCGTGAGACCTGGATTTTGTTTCCATCTTTGTTCTCGGGCAAGATACGATAAAATGGATGAGTACATGACGCCAGAAATGTTCCGTACTCCTCTGCACGAGTTGGCTTTATCAATCAAGTTGCTTAGATTAGGCAGTATTGGTCAGTTCTTGTCCAAGGCTCTCGAACCTCCACCCATTGATGCCGTCATCGAAGCCGAAGTTTTGTTGAGAGGTGTGAATTTAATAATAATACCTTAGAAGTTTCTATCAATATTGAGAAATTAGTAAGTATATATAAGAATAATTTTTTTTCAGAAATGAAATGCCTTGACAAAAATGACGAACTTACACCCCTTGGTAAGATACTCGCTCGCCTTCCCATCGAACCACGTTTAGGCAAAATGATGATACTTGGCAGTATGTTTCGTGTTGGCGACGCTTTATCGACAATGGCCGCTAATAGTTCGACTTTTCCTGAGGTATATAATATGGGTCCGGATATGAGACGTTTGTCAAACCAGCAGAAATGGTTTGCTGGTGCGCGTTACAGTGATCACGTTGCTATGGTTCACGTTTTCGAATGTTGGGAAGAAGCTCGGGCTAGTGGAGAGTACGCCGAAAACGCATTTTGCGAATCAAAGAATGTTAGCTTACCAACTTTACGAGTTACGTGGGAGGCTAAGGTGAATACATTTTTCTTTTCAGTTTTATTTAAAATTTCAAACATTTAAATTAAATCCACCAAATTTTTAGAATCAACTGAAATCCCTTCTGGTCAGTGCTGGTTTTCCTGAAGAAACAATGTGCCCAATACCTCTGAATTATCAAGCTGGCTGTGATACACGCTTGGATATTATCACAGCTTTACTTTGCATGGGTCTCTATCCAAATGTTTGTTATCACAAAGAAAAACGTAAGGTTCTTACCACCGAGTCGAAAGCGGCTCTCATTCATAAAACGTCAGTAAACTGCAGTAATTTCGAACAAACTTTCCCATTTCCATTCTTTGTTTTTGGAGAAAAAATTCGTACCCGTGCAGTATCGTGTAAACAGATGACGATGGTTTCCCCATTGCATTTGCTGCTTTTTGGATCCCGAAAAGTTGAATTCATCGATGGTGTAATAAAATTAGACAATTGGATTAATCTTGATATTGATCCAAAAGTCGCAGCTTCAATTGTGGCCCTTAGACCCGCACTTGAGAGTTTAGTAGTTAAAGCCGCTAAAGATCCAGAGACTATTTTGGAACTTAGTCCTATGGACGAAAAAATTTTAGCCGTTGTAAAGAATCTTTGTTCGATGAATGCCTGCCGATATGAAATGGAAGCTATTACCGGAGGTGGTTTTGCATCGCGTCGTCCACCTCGTGGACACATGACCGGCCGAGACCGATTCGATGATAGTGACCGCTCACCCCCTGCAAAGTTGATGCATTCAAACTTTGGAGGAGATCGCCGAGGTGGAGGCAACTTTAATAATTACAGAGGAGGCTACAGTTTTACTAGAGGTGGTGGTTTTGGAGGAAGTAGCAACCGTGGTGGATATCGCGGACGCAGCAGCGGATTTGGTGGCGGTGGATTCAGAGGAAATGGTGGAGCTTACGGGAGTGGCAGTTCTTTCCGTGGTAGAGGAGGTGGTAATAATTATCAAGGAGGCTTTTAAACAGTTTATTAACAATTGTATTGTATTATATTATTTTATGTATAAATAGCTAGAGCTATAGATGTATTTTTAATTAGATGGATGGTTGAATTAATCAATTATTCTTTGTCTTCTTAAGTGCTGATGAATTTCTGGAAAATGTAACAATAAATTTCATTACACAAAGAAAAATCTGAATGAAAATTGTATTCTCTATCCTGGTTTCAGGATTTATAAATGTGACTTTAAATGTTTTTATTTATCTAGCCATAATAAATCTAGATAAGTTTTGTAAAAAAAACTATAAGTATTATTAGCATCAAATATGTGTGACTTCTATATACCTATCAGTGTAAAATTGTTTTTTCTCTAATAAACTTTGAGAAACCTGTATAATTTTGATTGTTATATTGTTTAAACTCCATATATATGATTTTCTATGTACGGATTTCGTTGAATAATAAGACAGCACTCAAGATCAAAAAAAGTGAAATCTGTGTAATTCTAGTGAGAATTTGAACCTACATTGATAACGAAAAGGTATACGATTCTCAAGTGTAAAGTCAATAAAAATTAAACCAAATTTCAAATTTTTCAGGTAACATAGAACTGTAGACTTACACTTATTATTTGAGATTGGGCATAATTTAACACTATTTCAAAAAAATGGTCTCCAATTCCAGCTGTGGTTACTTCAATTTTAGTTTCATTATACGTTTTGTCGTTGCAGCCTCAAAAATCATCCCCTGTGCCGCAAAATTTTCAATGGACTACTTTTAAGGGATTTTTCCGTAAGCATCGAAAGGTGCATGCTGCAAGAATTGAAATATTTTAAAATAATTTCGTGAAAAAAATTTATATTAATTAGACATTTTACTTGCCGCATCTTATTTCATAATTATATTATATCTAATTTCATTATAACGTATCTTATATCAGATTCTCTTTTCAAGGAAAAAGTTTAAAAAAAAATCAGTTTTAATATTATATTTCGATGGTTTTGACTTGACAGCTAGCAGCCGACACTATGAAGCAGCAAAATAAATTCAATTAATTATTACGGTAGGATGTGACAGTTATTTATGGACAAACATTTTTTCACTTAAACTTATGCACATAAGACTGCTTTTGATCAGTTAAAAGGCCTGAAATAATTTTTCATATATATTTTAACATTTATTTATTAGTGGATTTTTGAGATGAGCTTGTATAGGGCTAAAAATAAAGCTGCACAGCTTTAATAAAACTCAAACAGAAATTGAAATAATAAAATAAAAAGCACATGCTTATATTTTCTATTTTCTGGGCTTGAAGTTTTTGGAAAGTTTGGTTGTCTGTAAAATAACTGCATGCGTTTTGCCAATACCTCCAACGCTTCAACTCATCATAATCAAATAGTTTGTAATAAGTTGTGGGTTTTAGCACTGCTACATCTACGTCGCTATTCGCTCCACTACCTTAGGATAGTATATTAGTAGATTTTAGCTACTGCTGTTCTGTTCTGCTGCTGCTGATTCTATCGCGATCCATAACCTCAAAAACGAGAATCGCGTGTATCACTCGTTCACTCTGCCGCTGCTTGCAAGCGGCAATTGCGATTCTCGGGTGGCGATTATATAAATAACGTGGTTGACGCTTCTCATTTAACGTAGCATCGGGTCGTTAATCGAAAATTCGCCTTCGATCCAAGGACCATTGAAGTCCATGACAATGTTAAAGCTCAGTGCAAAAATCGTTCAGCCACGGCCTAGCTGGTGGGTTGCTGCTAGTCAATACTGCTTTGCTAGCTCCGTTGCTGCTGACACGAATCCGCAATTGGATGCCGCTGCTACGAGCAAAGTTCGCACCGATGACAATCATCTGGTGGAAAAGGTATGTTTCCTCATTACAGTTTGATGATGGATAGTACATTCAGTTGCCAGAAAGTATAGTCAATTTTGTGGATTTTGAAGAAATAAATTGGTAGTTGACTAGGTCATCATTTACATTTGAGTACTTATGTATTCGTCTCTTTCAGATTGAGAAAGTTACCAGAATTCCATTTAATCAGAGGGATGGTCGAAGAAAACGCATTGAAGAACGACTATTTGATACTAATTCTCTAAGAAATATGATGAAAAATACATCAGTCGAGGAAAATCGTCCTGCCAATGAGCAAATAATAGGTCAAATAAATCAAGCTCAAAGTATAGATGACATACTGAGTCTTACAGAGAATCCTGGATTCAATCAGAAGACAGCAACAACTGCTGTTTTGGTTTTATCTGAGTGGGTGTCAACTGGTAAAATTCGTATGACTCAGTTGCATCAAGATTCTCGTTATAAAAAGTTGTGCTCTATGGTAGGAATCAATCAAAGAATTCTTCCAACACTACCAAAGAAAGATGAAAATATTGCTAACAACTTCTCATCGTTGTATGGATTACTGCAAACTGAAAAGTTTAAACAACAAATCAGGAACTTGAAAATTGTAGAAATGATTAAAGTAAGTTATTTTCTATCAAAATTGTGTAGAAGTATAATTTTGTTTAACTAATTGATGTTTCTTTCTAATCAATATTGGTGAAAATATGAGAAAGAATATGTACATATATATTTTATAAAAACAAAGTTTTGGTATAGCCTCATATTTATAAACCTATTTTTTCAACTGTCTAATTGAAAGGTTCTATCAACATTGGCTAGTAAAGGAAAGCGAAATACTCCAGTTCTACAGACTTTAGCATTCAGTATTGCTACATCACAAGAGCCACTGAACATAAAACAGTTGGGAGATATTTTATATAGTATGGCTGTATTGAATTTTTATGATGAGGTAAAATATTATTTAAATTTTTCATTGATTCAAAATTGAAATCAATAATTCAACTGCAAATTTAAACTTTGCTTAATTCTTTTCAGATGTTAATCAAAAAAGTTTGCATTAATTTGCTACAAGAAGTACCTACAAGTACAAATACAGCAGTTGTAGGGTCAATATTTACATCTTTAGGAATGCTGAGGTACAGAGATGAGAAATTACTTGGTGTACTAACATCATGGGTTATAAAAAATTCTGAATCTGTCAGACCTCAAGATGTGTGCAGATTATTATTAACATTAGCACATGTAGGATACAAACCAGAGGAATTTGATGAATTAGTTCAGGTAATGCACAATTTTCAAAGAAAATTAAATTTCATTGTAATTTCAAAAACTTGATAAATTTATTTAACATATATTTTACAACAGAAAGTTGTTGCACCATTAACTGAAAGTGATATGTGTCAAAGTAGTGAATGGTTAGATGTTGTTTGGGCTCTGACTGTTTTAGATGCTACAAAAGTAGAACATTATGAATCAGTGTTGAATAAAGGCTTTTTAAACAGGATATTTGGTGGTATGTACTTATACAAGTTATTAAAGCAATAAATTTTACATGTAAATTAATATTAACACATGCTCATTAGATGAAGCAGAACTAAAATCAGCAAAAATCCTTAAAATTTTGAATATCAATGCTGCAGCACGATTGATTACATCCAGTTACAAAGGTAAGCATTGTTTTGTTTTATTAATTTGACATATAGATAAATTTTCTACAAGAAGATCTTAAAACAATTGCAGGACCAACTATTCCAACTGATTCTGACATATTAACCACACAAGTAAACAGGACAAAAGAAAAAACTGAACTTGCAAATGCAATTGTAGCAGCTTTGAAAATATTATTACCTTCAGATTCTGCTTATCTGAATACCAACATTAATACAAAGATGGGATTTCTATTAGGTAACTAATTTGTGAAAAATTTGATTTATTTTTATTTGAATAAGCTTTTAAATTAAATTTATTTTCAGATGCTGATTTTTGTGTGGATAGCAAATGCACCCCTATCGCATTAAATACTACTAGTGCAAAAAACAAAAGTTTTTATAGAATAGCATTACTAACTTGTGCTTATCAAGAGTTCTGTAGAGGAACAAACAGTATTGTCGGTCTTGTGCAACTGTACAAAAAATTATTGGAGGCAGAAGGTTACACAGTCATGTTAATACCATATAATGAAGTTAATTTCAAAGACAAACTTGTTACGCGGGTGAAATATATAAATGATAATCTTAAATCTTTGTTAAATGAAACTCCAAAGGAATGAATAATATCAAAATGAAAAGGTATTTTTTAAAGTGAATTTGTGACATCTATGCTGATGGTAATTGTACATGTTATCATGTATACAATAATTCATATGTTAGAACCTACTTCTATGCATAAAAATTTGTATACTAGTAGCTGGTAAAATTCATTTATTTGTAGATAGTGAACATTGAAAAAATGATCGATTCACGTTTCAACTGTGGAAGATAAACAATTTTTTAACAGCTGAAAGTTTTCATTGATTTTTGGTTTTTCATTAGTTTGACACACTTCCTTGAAAAATATTTTCGATATTTTTAAAGTCATAACTCTCTCTAGTTGTCTTTTAATCAACACATTTATACACATGTAAATTGAAATAATTGTTGTTATTAACAGCAGTGATTTTTTGTAGTATAAAACCAAAAAGCATTGAGAAAACCTACTTGAAATTTTGTAAAAATCATTGTTAGAAAAAAAATAAATATTGGATGAAATTCAAAACCTTTCTTTTGATTTCTTCTAGAAAGAGAATTTCTGCAATGAATTAAGTAAAAAGAGGCTTGAGTCAACTTTCAACGATTTATTTAGAAATAATATAAAATTTCTGAAAAATGTGTTGCAGTATGAAGATCATTTGAAACTACTTTGATTTGAACTGGGCTAGTTATTAGGTCACGAATTATTATTGCTGCATCACTTATTTCCAAAGTTATGCTTTTTTTCAATTTTAAAAACTTTGGAAATTTCTTTTTAAAATGTAAAGTACCGTAATTTCTATATAAATGTGACTAAAAAATAATTTACTGTATCAAAATATACTAATAAGCAATCATTATTCGTTAGAGGAAGATGATTGTTATTAATGTATTGACAGTGATTTTTAAACTTTGACAGATGGTAATAATAAGTGGGATCGATGACCACTGAATAGCGAATGCTGATGCAGCGCCGCCTCCCATATAGGTTAGTTTACCTGTGCAGCGGTCGAAATGAGGTCTCCACTCATTTCGCTACAGATCAATAAAAAGACAAGTCACACACTTGTGATCGATTCTCTAGTACACGCCACGATAAGTTGTCTTTTTTATTAATTAAATAAAAGCCTCGAGAAGAATGAAAGTATTTCGAGTATCGTGAATGCGGGTTTCAGTGATTAAATTCGCTCATTAAGATAAAAAACAGTCCAACGTTAAATCAAAACACATCCAAAACTTTGTAACGTCCAACCACTGAGTGTTTGTTTACAAGTTTAATATGGCAGCCTTACCACCGCCCGAAAAGGTTTCCGGACCTCACTATGCAATTTTCGATGCATATTTTAATTATGTCGATGCTAAAAAGACTGGACAAATTGGAGCTTTGGATGCTGCTAAATTCCTTAAAAAGTCCAATTTAAGTGACATTATACTTGGAAAAATTTGGGATATGGCAGATCCAAACTCCCGAGGATATTTAGATAAGCCAGGAATGTTTGTCGCATTAAAACTATGTGCTTTGTCTCAAAATGGACACAGCCTGAATATGGCTAACATTTTCATGGATGTACCTCCACCTAAAATGGGGGACATTAAAATCCAACCACCTAAGTGTCCTCAGTCTATATCACCAGTTCCTGGTGCTACTAATTGGTCGATTAATCCTCAAGAGAGAGCTAAATATGAAAAACTCTTTCATAGTTTAGAACCAACGTCTGGATATATACCAGGTAACAAGGTCAAAAGTGTTCTAATGGATAGTAAACTACCGTTAGAAACTTTGGGCAAGATATGGGACTTAGCAGATATGGATAAAGATGGCAAATTAAATTTACACGAATTTACAATTGCAATGCATTTAGTATATAAGGCATTGGAAAAAAATGCTGTACCTAATGTTTTACCTTCTGAATTATTAGAAAATAGAGCTGCTCCTCCTATTGTACCAGTACAGGACCCAATAACTTTTGAACCAAAACCAATCAAGCCTCCTATGCCTGCTGCTCCTGCTATTCCTCCGATAGCCTCAATACCTGCCATACCTATAATTCCTCCTGTACCTACCAAAAGTGATTGGATTATATCAGCAGAAGAACAAAGAGCAGCCAATGAGTTATTTTCTAAAGCTGATAGAGATATGGATGGATTCGTTTCTGGAGCAGAAATTAAAGATGTTTTTTTGCAGAGTGGACTTCCTCAAACAGTGCTTGCTCATATTTGGGGTCTTTGTGACATGTCTCAAAGTGGAAAATTGAACAAAGAACAATTTGCTTTATCGATATATTTAATTAAGCAAAAACTCAGTGGTAAAGATTTACCTAATCAATTGCTACCCAACATGATTCCACCATCTCAAAGAAGAAAATCTCAAGAAGCACCTATAGAAAATAATAATGTTTGCACTTACTCAAACCCAGAACTAAATATGATAGCCCAAGAGATCAATGAAATCATTAGAGAAAAATTGACCATTGAACAAGATATATCTCAAAAAGAAGCAGATATAAAAATTAAAAATGGTGAGATGAAGAGCCTTCAAAGCGAACTTGATACTCTTGCAGCAACTCTCAGACAATTGGATAATCAGAAAGGTGAAGCCCAAAAACGATTAAATGATCTTAGATTACAAGTTGACAAACTTCAACAACAAGCAACTGACCAAGAAGCAACTCTCAAAGCACAAGAAGATGAATTAAACAGTAAAAGGCAAGAAATTGAAGCTTTCCGACAAACTGAACAAAAATTAGAAACTCAACAAACAGAATTTAAAAACAAACTCAATGATTTGACAAAACAACTTGCATCTATACAACTTCAAATAAGTCAAACTAAAGCTGGAATGACGCAGTTAAATGAACAGAAGCGCCAAATTACTGATGCTATAGCTCAATTTGATTCCGCACTTGCAATGCAAGATGCGACAATGGTTCCAGATTCAGCACTTTTATTTAAAGCACTTCTGGATCCATCTATGTATAATCTAAATGGTAATGCACCACCAGAAACAACTGCTCCAACAGAAGAGATAAAAAGAGACGCTTACAATAATAACCAACAAGCCACTGATGCATGGGGCACACCATCCTTTCCATCAGATACCCAAGATCCTTTTGCTGAGAAATTTCAAGAACTCCAGGAAAGTGTTAAAGATCCCTTTGGAGACGATCCATTTGCAGCTCTTCATGCACCAGTTCGAGGCCAAAGTCCTAGTCCAGCTTTGCCACCCAAGAAAAGTAAACAACCACCCCCACGTCCTGCACCTCCAAGACCAACTCATGGACCTACATTACAAGCTCAATCTTCACCTGTTCCACCATCTAGTAGTCCAGATCCATTTGGCGACAAAGCTTTTGGTATTAGTAGTAGTGCCGCTATGGATGGTTTTGCTGATTTTGCAAATTTTGATGGAAATTAAGGAATTTCAGATAATATAATCATCATTATCAAATATCATTATAAAATTGAGATTATTATACACACATAGTAGACCGTTGTTGCAGAGCTTTGATTAAACTCATCATTGCATGTGCCATTGATTACTATTTGTTTCGTGGAGCGTATTTTGAAACAAATTGTGACAGGATTTTTTGTGGAATGCAAGATGATTTGATTAACATATCTCTATAAAAATCGTAAATAATCGTCTTATAGTATTGGCTAAATAGGAAAATTATTAATATTCACCTGCACAACTGTGAGAATATAGATGTTGTTTCATGATTATGTATGAAAAATTAACTGTTATTCAAAAATGACGTTAATATATATTGAACTATTTCAGCGATTTCATGGATTCCCTTTACAGAATTATATGTATACTCTAAATATTAATATTTGAACTCAAAGTTGAGTTTAATAACTTTTTTCAAATGCTACACTTACGTCAATGTATGTACGTATGTAAGGCAACGTAAAACTAGATTGATTTTACGGGTTAATCTGTTAATGTATATTAATTACGTTTATATGTAAATATGGAAGAAATTTCGTTTTATTCGTTTTTAGGCTTGAATTGTTAAGTGGTGATTCCTATGATTACTGTTAGTATACGTCGACGTATTTATATTTTATTATTATTGTGCATGAATCTTATAAGTTTTATGTATGATGACAAAAATAACGTTTTGTTTTCAAAAGATATTTATGTACACACCAAAGCGTATGAATATCAATAATAATGTAATATCATGCTTAAACCTCATTATCGTTTATTCCAATTCTTATATAATATGTGGTTGTAATAATGAAGAAAGTGTGAAATTGTCAGAACAAATAAAAAACCAAAATACAAATTTTAAGGATTTTATTCTATTACACTATTTCAACCTTTGAGAACTTGTATATTTTGGGAACATTGTAAAAATTAAAATGTTTTCTCAACTAATGCTTCGAATAGAAAGAAGATGATTAAATTGAAAGTGATTTGAAAATAAGATTTCAATTCTCATCGTCCTGATACGAGAAAGGAGACAAGTCGCGCTAAGGAAGAGGTGGAAGATTGACAACAAGGATTTGGGTTGAATATTCATTCATTGCGGTGTGATGATAGGAGCCTGTTGAAGCCGGTTAATTCAGAAATTCGCGGCTATTTGCCGCCACACTCTCGCAAGTGTGTTTTTGTACTTCGCGCCCTACTTCATCGTTTGACACAGAATATCGTGACGTGCTGTTGCTCGCCATAACATCGCTTGGTTGACGACATTTCCGTGCCTAGTTCATAAAAGCCAAAGCAAAGCCCGTAACGAAAGCGCTGCTGTGCTGATAAATAGTCGCGACTCGTCACTCGCGGTTTATATTAGCGACGATGCTGCCTTCATAAGTGTACTACTACATATACCAAGTGCTAAAGCCAGTTGTCTGTTGTGACTTGTGGTCGTAAAAAAAATTGCTTTCGTGGCAGTGTAGCCAGAGCTTATTGACATTTCTATCTAGCAGGTGGCTAGATACGCAAAATATTTGTACCAACATCCGTAGACAAAGTATAAAATCCCGAAAAAATGGTAAAGTTTTTATATTAAAAAACATGCTACTTTCCATCTTAAAGATTTCCATAATCACTCATGTTATACATGTTCCTTGATTTTTAGATGCAATTTATGCTGCTTTTCAGTCGTCAAGGCAAATTGCGTTTACAAAAATGGTATGTTGCACATCCAGATAAACTGAAAAAAAAGATTACTCGTGAACTGATCACGACAATACTTGCTAGAAAGCCAAAAATGTCCAGCTTTCTTGAATGGAAGGATGTCAAGGTTGTTTACAAAAGGTAAGTGTATTCATTGTTGTTTCTTTTAGTAGGTAAGTTTATTCGTTATTGTTTTACAGTTAACTGTTAATTTTTTCTTTTATAGATATGCAAGCTTATACTTTTGCTGTGCGATAGAGCAAAATGACAATGAGCTATTAACTTTAGAAATTATTCATCGTTATGTAGAACTTTTGGATAAATACTTTGGAAGTGTAAGTACCAATAATTTAAACTATTTTAAACAATTTTATGTATACTTTGTATATTTTTTATATTTTGTGTTATTTTTTCAAACAGGTTTGTGAATTAGATATTATATTCAATTTTGAAAAAGCATACTTTATTCTTGATGAGCTGTTAGTCGGTGGTGAAATCCAAGAAACTAGCAAGAAAAATGTCCTCAAAGCCATTGCAGCTCAAGATCTTCTACAAGAGGTATGTAATGGAAACACTCCAATTGAACTGTAATCTGTTCTTAGATAAATGTCACTGTGTTTGTCTTATATGTCTTTGTATCATCCCCTGTACATAATCGGATCATTCTGACTTGACATTAGTTTAATTAATTAGTACTAAATTTTAATGTACGTTTGCGTGTTTGAAAATATAATGTGATAAAATTGTTAGATTCAAGTATAGAACGTATCTTGCCTTGGAAAAAAGATTGCTTTTTTATATACTTATATTGTATATATGAACTGAAAAATTAAGAGCTTTTTTCAGAAATATTTAATATTTAATTAATAACTTAAGAAAAGATTTTACGTACAATTAAAATATGCTTTAGTACAAAATATACTAATCTCTAACAGTGTTTGTACTTAAAACAAGTAATTAATTAGAAACTTAGAATAATAAAAATCTTAAATAATTTGTGTGAGCAAGCCAAAGTGATCCAAATTCAAGTTAGATTTGTAAACCTTTATGTTTATCTCATAAACTCAACACAAACAAAACATCACAACACTCGCTAGGCATACTTTTATTTAAATTTACAAAGAATATTATGCATGACAAACTCTTTTCCATAACAAACTACTGTAACCAGAGTATATGTTGATAAGTTGAATTGGTATCTTTTTATTACACTTTGTTTTTAACAGTGTTCTTTATGTTTTAATAATTCATTCTATGATTGGCACAAGTTATCAATAACTGATAGTATTTGGTGAAATATTCAGTTTTTTGAAAATTGCTAGACATCATTCAACTTTCAATTCAATTAAATGAAACAGAAAGTATTGCCCAATATTTAAAATTTTTTGTGACCCTTTATTTATGTCAATAATGTATACTTTGAATAATTGCAAAAAATGTTTATTGTGTTTTTAAGTATAATTCATTGTTATGTTGTGCATAATAGTTCAGTTCAATATAAGCATATGATGATAAAATAATGTTCAGCTATAATAATAAGGTTAACACCTTAAAGTACAATTAACCATTTCCACCCAAATATAAGTCAGTTAGTGCACCTAAGACAATGTTAAATATTTTTAAATATATATATTTATTAAGTTCATTCAGTGACTTTTGAATGACATTTGTCTTGTTGAACCGGTATTAGTTAAAATCTTACAAATTTATTTGCTACTTTAAATGAATTAACATTCTTCTTATTGTTGAATACTATTAACTGCAAATGATATTTTTTATTGTAAAAGTAATTGCTGTTTTTTAATCTATTATTAGAGTAATAATAATATGCAGAAAAAAAAAATCATAATGTATATGGAATTATAGTTTACTGTGATACAAGAACTTAGCTACAATTATTTCTAATTCGAACAGAAAAACACAGAAATTTATTTATTGAAATTCTTTTGAGAAAGTTTGATAGTTTTACTTCTTGTTAGAGTATTTGCATGTTTGAAACTACTCAAATTTATCCAAAGAGAGCAAGCTGCTGTTGTTGAAAATTTGCCATTTTATTGAGATTTTACAATATCATAGAGCTAATTTTTATAGATTCCACCATAACTGACAATTCATATTTTAAATACCGTCGAAATTTTCATAGTTAGCTACAAGGATTTTAATGAATGCCAATGTTAGCCAATGTATTGATTCGTACCTTGTAATTGTAGCAGTAGATATCATTGTTTAAAAATATTTATGCAAATCGAATTAAGATTTATATAAACATTTATTACATACTTACCAAGTAATAATATTTTTGCTCATTGAAATGTTGCGATTTAAAAAAAAATCAAATCATATTGCGATCTACTTAAAAAGTAGTGAATTACCAACTTTAAACGATTTTTTAGCGTTATGAAAAACTAACTATAATGAATGTAATAGTTATTTGGGGGCTTTTTGACTATTACAAACAATAATTCACGTGTCAGTATATAGTTATGATTATTTTCAACTCTTTGGCATAAATTCTTCATATTTTAACAATGGGATAGATATTTTCAATTCAAAAATTTGAAACGCTGTATACAGACACAATAGTTGCAATAAAAGCATGGAACTATGTGTTCGGAGACTTTATGTGAATGAAATTTAAAACAAATCCAAATTTGAATTTTATCTTGAATTTTGCATGTCTTCATACTTTTCTACAATTACAGTTAATATAATTTACATTTCTGAAACAAAAATTTTGAAGGAATTTATTGCGCATTATATTGACCAGCAATCGTTTCTATTTCTTTTAAATTGAATTTTCTATCTCGTTCATACTAATAATGATTTATGGTCATAATAATAATTTATGGTCAAATAATTTCAATAAACCACTTCAAATGAATCATCGTTTCAAAAATAAAAATCAATAATAGTTGGAAACAATAAAACTTACCATAACACGGGGACGAATATATGATCTGGTAAACCCAATAACAAACGCGATTAAAAATAAATTGATTGCAAATGAAAATGTAACAATTTGCTTGATCTCTTATGGATACGCACATAACTTTTATATTAGAAATATCGATCTAATGATATTATGACAGGGCTTGCTAGATCTTGCCATGGAGGTCAATTTTTAAGCAAAGAAATCAAAATAATTTAGTAATGTATATTGTTTAGTTTAAAGAGATCCTGTACTATCCCCCAAAGTGTCCTGTACCTAGATAAATTAGTTATTTCTAGTCTAATTTGTAATCATTTAAATGTGTTTTTCGTAACTTGAAATTGTAGATGGGTGAAGTCGAAAAATTCTTAGCAATCTAAAATTATATTTGTATTTTGACGAGTTTGTCTAGAACGACTGCTAAGAAATTAAATTTGTATGTAAACTTTGTTATTTTTCATAAATAAATCACACTCTTAGTTACAGTTGAAATTGAAATTGAAAATTTGTGTATTATGTACTTAGTAATTCAAGATTTATGTGCTATAATGGAGCTTCATTAATTTCTCGTGTACAGTTTTATTTGTCATTATCTGTTTCATTCACACGTTTTTTTTTCTCGTAAATTTTTTCCTAATATTTCTTTCTGATCAATCTTAAATAGAATAAATGTGCTCATGTTGAGGATCCCGAGCCAGAAAAGTGGTATTGAATAATTCAAACTCTCAGTGTTGTGAATCAAGAATGAATTGATAGTCCATACCAAGTTGAATAAATTAATGTTCCAAGTAATGAACAAATCAGAAGGTCAAGTTTCGAAATTGTAATCATAGAGCATAACATTTATTCAATTTGAGATGAATAATGGTTTCACGAACCAGGACTGCTGTGATTTAACTCAAGTTTCAATTATATATTTAAAAACGCTTCAATAATATTTGAAACTGTTGCTTGTTAAATTTCTCAGTCCTGCGGACTCAATTACTCAACCAATTATATGACAAATCCACATCCCATCTAAAATCCAAGTTGTATTTATATTTCTGGTAAAGGATGAAGCTGTTGAAGGTGCTCTGCGAGAAATAGGTCTGTTGTAAAATGTTGAATGAGTTTGAAACTACAAGATTTTACAATATATTACCAGCCAAAGAAATCATCAACTTGTAATTCGTCAACACCAATCAACTGTCGTCGTAACAACTCAGGAATTGTGCACTTAGTTTGTACATATAACTTTATATGCGTCCAAATGTTTACATTTTAACGTACATTTATAGCACATATATAAATATATTTAACAATTTGTGTAATTATTCAAAGGCGATAATTAATTTAGTGATAAGAGTAGCATATGACGATTGTTCATGAAAGTTATTAATTTCATGTCAAATTCCTTATTCAGTTTTACTATTCAATATTAATTTATAACATTTTTTATGCAGATTTTTATACAATTTATAACTTAGTTCCCTGCGATTGCTTTTATATGTCTTATATACATTATTTTAATTCTGGACCAAACTTACAAAGTTGTCGAAGGTAATTTTAATAATTTTAAATTGTGTAAGAATCCGTTTAAAAACTAGCCATTTGCTATACTCCAATTAACTTTTTCTTTGTCGAAAGTAGTCTTTCCTGCCAGAATCTTCCTGAAGTGCCATCAAACGTGAGATTTTCTAGACTTCTTTTACTTTCGACTGTTTTTGGTCTAAGTAAAAAAATTAATTAATCGAAAAGAAAAAATTAATTACAAAGTAGGTACATTTTAGCTACAATTCACATAAAATCCGTTGAAGACTTCAACAAATTCTGGGTGGCATCAACTTTGTTGATAAGAAAAATACCAATAAAAAATTCCTTGACTAAATTATAACTTGTCTTATGCTGTGAAAAAACTTAATTCCGATACTTTAATAAAATATATTTTATAAAAAAAGTCAAAAAATGTATTTACCATTTCATATCAACAACATGAAATTTAGCTCGTAATTTTAATAATAAAAATTTTATATTAATTTATTGCAATGAACAAAACTTTACTGTAATATAGTTCTTCGTCAAATACAATTCTAGCAAAAGCCTTTTCGTGAATCATGTACATTAAATTTTGAAAAAGAAAATAATTATTGTAATGTTTTATAAAAGGCAATCAAGGATATTGATAGTAATCTAATATAAAATTGTCTAGGCAATCAATGTAACTTTTACATGAAAAAATTTTTTCAAATACATATCACAGAAACACAATTCTACGATTTTAATAAAGCAATACTGAAAACTACAATAATATTTTTTGTTACTTGTCATAATGAATTTTTTTTTAACACACCTTTTAAATTTATACTGTACTGTATGAGAATTTTTAAGATACAAATTACACAAAATGTAGTTTACTTAAAACTCTATAGTTTTGATTTAGAAATCATTTCTTTGATATTGTGATTGATATTTAAAATAATAATTATTTATTTATAAAAAGCTTAACTTAATGATGCGAGCAAAAAGGTTTCATGTGTGAATGTGTGCGTGTGACCTTAAATGAAAATGGGGTTCAGTTCATCATTTGAAGCTGCAACGAGAAGACTACATTAGTCTGAAGTTTTTCCAATTGAACTGAAATGCATAGGTATGTTAGTTTTTATATAGTTTTATCATGGTGTGCTTAAAACTAATGAACAAAAAAACTCATTGCAGAAAAATGTAAGTGCAGCATCAAAGTTTAATTGATCCCTATTATTCATGTAACACCATACCTTTTGCACTTGACAAAAAAAACGTACTTTTTTGGACAAAAGAATTTTAATGAACACTAATAAAACGATTCTTTCATCTAAAAAGTAATTCATTTTTTAATCACCGCAACACATTAATTAAAAACATTTAAATGCACTAAACATTCAAAAAAACAAAATATATTAATTATTGTATCATTCAATGTTACAGGAAGAAACTCCTCAGGGCTTCTTTGAAGATCATGGACTTGGCTAACTAGCATGGTTCGTTCCCAAGAGTTAAATTCTTTTTGAAAAATAAGGTCAAAATTCGCATAGAATGCCACTGGTTTCAAAATATGTTTTTTTTAAAATTGATTCACTTCAAGTGTTGTGCATTAAGGTTCTTTTAAATAAGTAGTACATATCAAATATATTTTAAATTAAATTTTATTCAATTTCGTTTAGGTTTAACCCGAATTTTATGTAAATATTTTTATATTAATTGCATGGATTTTTTTCGATACATAGATGACTTTCAGTTTTAAACCGAAGCATGATATATATCAAATACCATTTCAATTAATTCATTCAAAACTAATGAGACAGTTGTTTGACTGAAAATCACGAACAATTTTCGATATAACTACTGTCCATCGTAAGACTTAGGTACTTTTATGTAACGTTTCTTAAATTTTTCTATACTCTCTACTGGTTTTGAAAATTTAAAGTGCAATGTTTAAAATAACTATAACATTTTAGCATAAAAACTTTCTCGCTACTATTAGAGTGATAATAAAAATGAATAAATTACGAAGTTCCTATTAAAGGTTTCATTATGTTTTATATCGAGAAAAATGTAAGAATTAAAACTGAAGAGTACCATATTTTGGAACAACACGACTACTGTCATGTTACTAATGTAAACTATACATTCTCCATTATTTCATTATTGATAATTAAATAATAATTTTCATAAATAATCAAAGTTCATGAATAAAAATGAGTTTTTTTCTAAAATATCAGAAGTAAAAAACAAAAAAAATGGACGAAGAGCACATTGTTTTATGCGAGCGTAAGCACGCACAAACGTTAATAATTAAAAAATTAACATTCCTAGATGGAAAATTCACTGCTGATATAACAAATATTATGATTTGATATGTATGATATGTTTGTATAAAACTTGTTGATGAGTATTATAATCAAACCTTAAAAGTATTATAAAAAAAAGTGTACCCAATTTTTGCACAATATTGAACGACGCAATTTAAAGAATTTCCTGTGTTTAAAGGGAGGCGTAATATCAATTTAAATGAATGTTGATTAAGATTGCAATCGTTTTTATTAACATACAGTCCATTAAAATGAGGTAACTTTCATAAGTGCTAGTAGACAAATGTTTTTTTTTGTCAGTATGCACGTACTTTTAATACGAAAAGGTTGCCAAATATATGTGTATGTTACATAATTATCTGTAGCGTTGTATTACCGGTATAAATTTGAAAATTAATTCTATGAAAATATAAAGTCTTGATTATCCTGTTGTGCGTATGATAAGCTATGTTACAATATACTTTCAGCTCCGTCCACAGAAATTATACGAATTGTTTTATCTTCCACATCTGTCATTTGATGTCTAATGTTTAATCAATCTAATTTTATTTAAAATATAAATTTTTATCATGTATAAAAATCAATATTGTCTAAAATAAAAAGTTTGAAAAATAAAATAAAACTAAGTTGTTTTTTCATAGAAACTCAGACGAAAAAATTAATAAACTGGGATTAGTTGGAAGGTATGAAGTTCATTAAAACGCATCTTAAACGTAGCACATACATTTATTTATTATACGTAGATTGTTCTTAGCTTATTTATTCCTCCGCTTATTATTTTTTGTTTGTTGCTTCTTTTTTTTCATTTATTTTGTCGACTTCTATAATAGATCGTGTAATATATATTCATTTTGACGCAACAGTAATATATATTCATCGTTACAGTATTACAGCTTGGTCAGAATAACAAACGTTTTTCTTTTCTCATTCTCTTTAGATTCGTTCAGCGTTCATTTTTCCACATTCAATTAGATCTTTTGAGTTTTACTACGCATTGGTCGCGAAATTCCGCCAAAGATGCGTCGCTCGAATCATTTGAAACCTGTTTTTCTATAATCGCTGGATCTCGATTTTTCGCGCGTATTGATCGGTGTAAACGACTCGAGCGACTGAGCCCTGTGCATCTGCATGGCGCATTCGCGATCGAGAGATCACGACATAATTTTTTTTTTTCAGTAACGGTCCAGCAATTAGTTATCGACCTCTCGACTCTTTTTTTCCATGGATACAGCTCTCATACGCATACGCATCTCATTTATATCTTGAAAATCGAACGCTAGCTGTAATATCTATTAAAAATTATTTTCCGTACTGTAAGTTTATAATTAATGAGACTCGCATATATCATTCACTCGTTTAGATTCAATATTTCACAATTTTGTAATTCGCTCTTGCGCAGGCACACACACACACAAATATATTCTCGTGTGCATTTATTGAGACACCATCCCTTTTTAATTTATCACTGCAACAGGGCGTGTATTATTTGAATCAATTTCTCATATTTTTATTTGCGCTTCAATTACGTATATTATTCGTCTTCTTTTTTAATTATGCGTGTGCGTGTGTGTATATTTTTATATTGTATTATTATTAAACTTCCATCATTCAGTTCATCATATTCAAAACTAAATGTGTATATCATATGCCTCGCTTTTTAATAATTTTTTTATACTATTAAATATTATAATAATAATATCGTAAAGTTATTAATTGGTTTTTATGCGCGTCTTTCTTTATTAATATTATATACTTTAATGTTTTTCGATCGTTTCGATTTTATAATACTTTTTTGTTTACTGCGATGTTAACTCTTGAACGCAATGAAAATGTAGATGTGAGTTAGTTACGTCGATGCGCTCTTAAATATTTAATCAGTTTCTCTTTATTCGCTCGTACAATAATGAGAAACGAAATTTTTATGTATGCAATGTGTAAGTGTATCAATATATCCATTAATCTATGTAAATATCGTAGTAATTAGAATTTTCGTCTTTTCATCGCAAAAGAGTTGGTTTTTTTTGGTGGGACAATCGGTGTATAAGATGGAGTTTTCATTTAATTAGTATTTCTTTTTTTTCGTTTGTGTGTATAAAGACTATTCATACTTATAGTTATGTATAAGAGCCATTCGCGCGCACGACAAGAGAACTATATGCGTAACTCGTATCTTTTTGATCGAATATTTTCTTCATTATTTCGTTATAAGATCCATCGTTATCCTCATCATTCGTCATTTTTTTATTGACTAGATTATATCGTAAATACGTGTATTGTGTTTATTGACTGACGCTAAAATGTTTTTTTCTAGTATTTAATGTTCAAATGAATAAATTTCAGTCCCCACGATTAAGGAATCTAGTAAAGTCACGAAATGAGAAACGATGGGGAATTACGATAGGTCGAAACGAACGAAAAGTATTTCCAATACCTTGAATATGACATTTTTCTTTACATTAATCACTGTATTTACAGAATTCATGTTTTTGTTATTTTCTCTTTGGCACCTTTTTTTTAACGATCCTCTATAAACCTCATTGGTGAATGCAAACAATTTTTTTTCTTCTATGATTACTCTCACTACATAACGTTTAATTATTCCTTAGTGACATTATGCGTACACTAACACATGCTGATTTGTAAGGACTAGATTGTTTGATACGATTTGATTTTTATCATCAATTCCGCGCTCATAAAAAAATTAAGTTGTACTTGTTCCTTCATGATTAGTGAAAAGAGTCGAAAATATAGAGAGATCAAAGATTTTTGAATGAAAATTAAAAGCGTCATAATAACTTGATACTGGCATTTTTATCTTTTGTGCTATTTTGATACAATAGATCAAGTACCATGTTTTCTAATGATTTCAACTAAACTCTACAATTCCATATCGATCGACTATAACAATCTTACTGCCCGGCAGTTAGATTCAAAACTACGAAAAGATATGATACATTTTTATTCATTTCTTTTAAAAGCATCTATACCATGTAATAAAACAGATAAAAAAGATAATAATTAAAATCATCAGTGTGACAGTGCACAATATATCCACAGAATAAAATTTCTTTTTCAACAATCTTTATATACACATACTAATATAAGTTTGTGTATCGACTTTTAGTTTCTTATTAAAAAGGTCAATTCTCTTTAGCGTACGAGTCGTCCTTTTTTGTTTGTTAAATTTAAATTTTTTTTATAATTTATATAATATTTTTATAATATAATATAATATGTGTATGTATTTTTTTGAAATTATTTTACATCGCTGAAGTTACGACTCGCGCACTGTTACGATAAGATACATACTATAATACGTTAATTGCGATATTTTTTAAAATCTTTCATTTTATAATTTAGTTTGTAGTTATGTGGATTTCCACCCACTACATAGTCGCTTTTATTTTTTCACTTTATTTTATATGAAGTGTAAACATTTTGTGACTATATCAATCAATTATTTACTATACATGCTTTTGTGTTAATATAAAAACATATACGCGACAAATAAAAAAAGTCTATTATAATCGCTCGAGGATTTGCATGTCGCGCCAAATTCTCTTGGCCGTGCGCGCGCGATCAGCTTCATTTCATCTTACAATTTTTTTTTAAAGCGTATTTTTGTTTTGTTAAGTGTTAATATCCGTTAATCATTTATCTATAATAATTATTAGTAGTCATAGAGCATACTTTTCGAATATCTATGCTAATTTTCATTTTGCATCAGTGGTGTATAATATATATATATATATTTTTTCATTTATGACATTATGTGCGAGAGACGGCGTTTTTTATTTACGTTGATACATCATTAATATATAATATTTATATGATAATTATTGAATGTAATAGGAAAATGAAGAAAATTGCGATGTCTTAGTCTTATCTTCCAATTTATACATCATTATAAATCGTGTACATTCGGTTCTTATTTTTTGGTATATATTGTACTCGCTGCTAAGCCGATTTTTCAACTAACTTTCCTTCAACAAAAAAATTGATAAAATTCGAGATGGTTTTAAAAGAATTATAAAAATTCTTGTATTTCTTGTGTCTTAAGTGTACTCGTGGCTTGTAGCATAAAGTCATTGATTCATTGATCATAAAGCATAAAAGTCATTGATTGCGAGATGAAATTATTATTAACTTTGACGAAGACCGCCAAATAATGTTCACAATCAGTTTAGCTAAGAAAAAGCGCTTTCATTTGTACTTATCATTAATTTGAAAAAATCATGCTTATTGTTAGCGCAATAAATTTTTATCGACGATTAATGAGCATATAGAAATGTGTGTTTGTTTATAATTTAAAACTAATTCATAATGAGAATAATAAATCGGAGCAGCGTTAAGCTTAGTCGTCGTCGTCGAGCTCGGGTGTTTGGCTGGGACTGCTGCTTAAACCGGCTGCAGGTCCAGGCAACGATAGCTGCGCTTGCTGCTGAGCAAAGGAGCCGGAAGACATCGGCTCCGGAAGCCTTCGTCATTTGCTCTTTGGCTTCCTCAGCATTGTCGCCTGCGTTTTTTATTGTTATTCGTATTTTTTCATTTTTTGAATATTTCAAAGATATTTTATAGATTCAGGTTTGTGAATTTTTCGGTACTTTGTGGATAATTATAAACATCTAAATATATAAAAAATCTCTACTACATACAATAAATTTGATCATTCATAATATAAAATAACATCTTACACAATAACAATTAAAATATTTTGCATAGCAGGAAGTATTTTTTTTTACTTTTATAAGCAAATTATTCCGTTTGCGATATAGCTTCCATAAAATTTGCCAAAATAAAAACTGAAATAACATCATTCTCAACGAACATAATTCAATCTCTTTACAAAGTCTACTCATTCGCACCTAAAAAATAAATTTTGCTTTTCTAATTATGTAAATATTTATACAAACTAATTTAAATAATAATTTTTAATGATGTGAAATTAGTTTCATATGAATTCATGTTAAAAATGAAAAGTATTGAAAAGTGATTGCAGGATGAACGATCGGAAACCATTCTAGGAGTCGTCGATGTGTATACATTAACATTTAATAAATATTTAATAAATAAAAGTGAAGTATGACATATAATAAAATCTAGTTCTGTGACATGTTGATGAAATAAAAAAAAATTACAAAATATAGTTTATTCAATGAAAAATATTTTTGTGCGTATTTAAAAGGGAAGACACGACCATTTTAAGTTGTGGTCCTTGCATAAGTACTAATTGAATTTACATTGCGATTTGTCCGAAAATTTGTGCAAATCTCTAAAAACTAAAGTCACTCGTACCGGTGTCATTATGGTTCTCGTCTCGTTAGCCTTCACATATGACTAATAATAACTATTCACAGTAGCCATGATAGTATGACTAATATTAACAAAATTAAAAAGTTGCCTTACTTTACATTATTCAATACAAGGGTCCGTTTGTACTTATTGAAATTGTCGACAATTACATACCATACGCATAGGCTTAGTTGAACTATCTTTATATCATTAGCTTATTTATGTATCTATACATTATACTTTTTTATAGAAATACGCGCAATAATTTATTATTTATTGGATTTACTTTAGATTTAAGTTCTAAATTGCTTAAGTAAATCTTTACTTAAAAATTATCGTAATGTTTATTAGAACTAAGACTACGATTTCAACTGAGCTGTATAACATATATGGCATCAATTTATCTATGATTAATTAACTTTAATATTTTCTGCCGCAATGTACATCTTTAATGAGGTGTTGCACAAATTACTGTCGCTTCGGTTCAATTATAAGAATTTTTTTGGCAAAAATATTTCCCTCAATCATCAGCTGTACTTCTGTCTCCGTTAGCAGCTAGGATCCAAGGTTCTGTATTCCGACGTTTTACCTTATTTTTCTTCAGCATCGTAGCCTAATTCATATAAAAGAAAACAAAAGTAAAGCGACTCAAAAGAGCGTATTCTCATCGGTAAAGATAAAATAATTTTCAATGCTTTTATTTGTCAAATAGGCGAACACATTTCTCTGACAAAAAATTTGAAAGTCGCGGAATGATGATTTTTTTTTTATATACATTATTCATAGTATATTATAGTCGAAGAAGCTCGCCTTCCTGCCCCCAATCGATTCATGTATTTTCATTCGTACAATATGGCATGTCCAATGAAAACTTCATACGACTCTAGAGAAACAGTTTTGTAAAGTTTTTTATCGGCTTGAAAACTTGCTACTACTGATATTATTATTATTGTTGTTGTTGTTGTTGTTGTTTTTTAATTTTTCTTGAAGATACAACGCATGTGTCGAACGTTCAAGTCGTGAGTGTACGCAGTAATTGAAAACATGTCAAAGAGCAAAATAACGAAATGTGAAGAGTTGTCGAAGGAATGAAAAGCGAACGTCATTCATGAATAATTATTTCTACTGGTAAATGAAAATTCGTACTTTTTGTTTTAATACATAAAAATGATAACGTGCAACATTAATATTGCTGAGGTAGATTTTCGTAGTTATTACACTTTTGCTCATCGGTCAAACGAAAAATAAAATGTTGCAGAGTAAGAACCGTAAAAGATGCTTAAAAGAAAGTGAAATATTACCTTCAGTGCAGATCTCAGTACAACGACGTCACCCGGGCTTTGGACCCATGGCTCTCCGTCTACTTGAACCGGAATGTCCGAGTGCAAGTGAATCTTTATGTGTCCACCCTAAAGGCAAATGCGACGAATATGTATTTTTCATCCGCTCAATAGAAAAGTACGAGAACAAAAAAGTTTGTTTACCTGAGCTATCCGCATTCCGTTGCGAAGGCCCGATTGAATTTGTCCTAAATGTATTACTCCGGTCACACCGACAACCTCGAGTATGCCGTCCCAGTGATTGGGTTTATTAAATTGATCTTCTTTATCGGGACCCCATGGATTGGCTCCGGAACCCCAACTGCAATCGAAGCCGAAGAAGTAGAGAAAAAAAGTTTAGAAGGATCGCGAGGCAATATTGTGCACGTCAAAGAAAAGAGTCGTGTCACTGACCTGAGGATATTGAGTATGATGATTCCCTCGACTTGGGGCAAATCGACGTGTTTGCCGTCGACCTCGAGCCTGATTTCCCGATGAAGATCTTTGCAGGGTTTGCGCCCGACCATTTTGCGCAGACCCATCTTGACGTAGACGCTCTTGTTGTGCAGGCGACTGTTGAATTTGTTCGGGTTCTCCTCCCGAGCGTTGTGGAAGTCCAAGCATAAAGCAGCATCGAGGCCGATGCCGAAGTAATTGTTCATTACGAATATCTGCGTGTTGTCTTCGCTCGTCGAACCAGCGACTGCGAAATTGCGAAACACAAGATACGATTCGATTAGCCAATTGCTTCGCTTCGCACTCGTTGCGCTCAGTTCGAAGGCAAAATTTACACGATGCGCAACGAAACGGCAGTGATACTCTTAGGATTTTCAATTTTGTCTCTCTCCGTGGCCGCTTACATACTATATGTGGAACTCTACCGGGTCCCCGACCAGAGCCAGTTACCTTTCGTATTCGAAGCTCGACTCAACGAGACGATTCCGAGGAAGGAACACGAGCAAGCGATTCGCCAATTGAACCATAATCTCGAATCTTTGAAGACTTGGCTCAACGATACAATATCGAAAAAGGAGCACGAGATGAAACAAATGAAAGGAGATCTCGACATTTTGACTAAAAATAAAACATTTGGGTAATAAAACTCACGGTGTAATTGTGCAGTAAATATGCTGGCTAAATAACTATTTTGTCATCTAATAAACCTGTTAGATATTTACGTATTGGTAAATAAGTAAATTTTTATCCGTATTGTTTTACGAGTGGTGCCATCTCAATCTAAATTGAATTCAATATTTTCATTTTTAACCACTTCTTAACATATTTTCAGGCATCCATAGCGAACATTTCATTATTTAATAGTATTTAATATAATAACTATCCAAAAGTAAAAAGTGCAGACGCAAAATTGTGGTTTCGTATGAAGATAAAAAATTATTTAAAATCATCTTTTAAAACTTAATTACTAAATATTGCAATCAGAATTGAAGAAAATAGAAATTTCAAATATTTCTGGTTCGAATGAGAAATTTTTCCAGTTGAAATTGCGTTATCGTTCCCCACAAGAGTTAATTAATGTTACACCAATGCAAGAATCAAATCAAAAGAGAATAAATATTTTAAATAGAATTTAAGGTAACGAATAATTTCAGCCGACTGAACAGTGATCACACAAAAGCCAATTTCCTTTTGAGTTGAAAGTTTTAAACACAATGTAGAAATAGCATGTATTTTTCGATTATCATTTCAATCGATTAATTTCAAATGGGTCAAAAATGTGAACAAAGTCTATCTCATTTCTGATGAACCCGAAATTTTTTTATCTGCCGTAGTTAGTCGAATAAAATCCAAACAAACATGTTTTATTCGTCATATAAATTGGTTTACGGACCTATTAGTAGAAAACCGCGCACTAATTTCGACGGTACAGTTTATACGGCTTTGATATTTATGACGAGAAATGAATTGTTATCGTTTAGTGCATGAAAAGTATGAACAAAATAATGAGCTTGAGTTCGAGCTCAAGTTTCTCTAATGAAGCGGTTTTAATTTTTAAGTACTTGCCATCTCGATATATTGAATTTTTAAAGAAAATTTTCAGCAACATCAAAAGTAGGAAAAAGAAAATATGGCATTATCGCTCGAATAAACATTTATTAACTCCAAATGAAAAGGGTTTATGCAAATTCAAGTTCTTTGTCTTATCAAGTGGCTCATCAGACTAGGTTATTTTTGAAAAATTAATTCAAACGAACGAATTGTTTACATTACGCATTGAGGGGGAGAAAATCGCTTAAAACGTAACATGTATGCTCAAATAAACGTTATCTAAAATTCGGACAATCATCTACAGCAAATCAGAGAATTAAGTGCAGTTGAATGTGAGAGAGAATGGCGTCATAAGAGCAGAATTACATGTAGCGGTCGAACTGTCTACACGGATAAGCTACTAATACATATTTTTTCAGTATTGACACGTCATTATATGATAACACTTTTGGTAATATCAAGTACGTAAAACACGTATATGAATAATTTTTGGTTTAAATATTGAAAAATCAAATTTTCATAAAATTGTCATAAAATTCAAAGTCTCGATGCAATACTCGCATTAGCAATGCTATCTATAAATTATTTTTTAATGAAAAATTGGTAGATAAGTAAAAAAAAGCTCGGGTAAGTAAAAGAACATTTTTTCAGTGATTTTTCAAACTAAATTAAAGTTTATACATTTTTTGCACTCTTTTGAAATTAATTATTATCATTTTTTTTTATTGATGAAATTACACTATGATCTAACTTATTCGAAGTAAATACAGTAACATTAAAAAAAAAATATCTTATTAATACGTATTGATGCATTTCACAATTATACAAAACACAGGAAATTTCAAACTAATATTGCTACAGAAGCAGATTAATTCTCCCTTATTAATGATATTGCGTGCAGGAAATGTATAAATAAGTTGAGTTTTTATTTATTTGCTTCAGTAGCGACTCTAAGATCATCATGTCTTTGTCGAAAGTAGCTATTGCACTTTTTATATTAACTCTTGTAGTTACAGCTAATACTAAACCTATATTACCAGGCATTCCAATTCATCAAGAATTTTCGACAAAATTTGATTCAATATTTGAAGATTTTAAAAAAAATTCAGAAGTTAATCAAATGAATTTAGAAAAATTGAATAAATCAGTGAATGAAATAAAAAAAATTGTATTAAATTTAGATGCAAAACTCAATTACATTGGAAAATCTATTAAATTATTGGAGCATCATGCTACATCTTACGATACAAAATATAACTGATTTAAATTAAGTTTTGGAGATGTAATAATCAAAAATACTCATTTGATCTTAAATTAATATGTATAATTTAAGTAATCACCGTTAATTATTTTAATTACAAAAATGTTGAATGTGTACATAAAGTGAAAGTAACAAAAAAATAAATAAAAAGACGTTATAACTAATTGAGCCCAACGAGTGTTTTATTTGAGAGCTTTGAGCGGTAAAATAAGAAAAGCAACTGACCAGCATTACTCGGCACGACGTTGGTCTTGTCGTCCTTGTCCTCGGGATGAAAAACGACGGTCCAACGGTCGAGTCTGATTTCCTCGGCGTCGATGACGTCTCTGAGGAGATTGAGGGGGTCCTCGCCGCCCGTGTAGCCACTGCCCCATCTGAGCACCCGAGCCAGATCGTTGCCCGTGCCGAGGGGCACAATGGCGCAGGCCGGCGAGGAGCACTCGCTGTCCTGGCCGACGTTGTCGAGGCACTGAAGCACCCAGCCGACGGTGCCGTCGCCGCCGCACACGAGGATCTTGTAGTTCTTGATGTGCCGGAAGACGTAGAGGCCCGGCAGAGGGCCGCCGTTGTCGAGGTCGAACACCTGGTACGGATTGAGCAGCTTGCGGAAGTTGGAGATGAGATCGAGGCCCTGGCAGCCGCCCGACTTGACGTTCACGAAGACGAGCAGAGGCTGCACGCCGGCCGGTACCATGCTCGGCTCGATGCTCGGCAGCAGCATCACTGCAGCGTAATTATAGACACGACGAGTTTGCGTGAATTTATTTATTTATTTTTCCGACTCGGCCCAATCGATCATCCCAGTTGACTCACCGAGAAGATGCTTGTCCTCGTACTTGGACTCCCTGAGGGCGTACAAAGCTCGCACGGCCGTTATCGAGTCCTCGTAGGTGATGACCATCGAACCGTACTCGTAGTAAATCGGACCGATCGACGAGAATCTGTTCTCCTTGCCGAGAAAGTCCATGAGCATGTTCTCGTATTGGCGCTCCGACAGTCCAGGTGGCAAGTTGCCCACGAAGAGAGCAATGTTGGGCCCGTGCGGGTCCTGCTTCAGCTGGAGATAGAAGCGCATCAGCTCCATTTGCCTAATGGAATCCTTGCCGAGGAGCTTGTAAATTTCCAGCGGCTGCTCGTCACGTTCGAGCACCCGCTCGGTCACCGCTGCACATGGTAAACATAGTAATCATAGTAAACATTTTCTTGGTCCGCCTGGTTTATTCATCTCATTTAAAAAGTTAAAAAGTACCTCCTCGGTCCAGCAGTATCTCGCTGCAGCGATAATTTTCGCAGTTGTCGCTCTCGAGCTGGAAGCGCGTGATGGCCTCCTGGATGAGATCGCTGACGCTCGTGTCCCTGGTCACGGGCACCGTGCAAAAGGCCTCGGACACGGGCAGCTTACCCGGGTAGACGCGCACCTCGCTGCTCTCGACGTCCTTGAAGCGCAGAAAAATGGCGGGTCGCTTGCCCTCCTTGTGGTTGAGGTTCAGCACCGGCGTCGGATCGCACAGCGGCGTTTCCTCGTTCGTGTACAAGTCGGTCAGGTAAAAATTGCCTGGCAAAAGCGTTAACGAATGCTCGAAATTAGCAGAGAACCCATCGGCTCTTATTCACTACATATACGGACTACTTACTCGGATCTTTGGTAATGTGGAATGCTTGCAGGGCCATAACGAGTAACTGCTCGACCGTCGCTTGACGCGGTACGCTTATTACCCGGAACAGTCGCCGTCGCAGGGAATTGTTGCCGTCGTAGACTTTGATCGTTTCTGCGCCATGGAACAATTTTTGTTATTTTTGCCACTTCGAGCATGATAATATTCCGTTGAATATTATTATCGGGCGAATTGGGCGTACCTTCGTCGCGCTCCTTGTCGTCTTTATTCGGGCGATTGTGGGTGCCGGAGCCGGTGCTGGCCTGGGACGTGCCGGTCGTCGATCCAGGCTCCTCGCTCTCGCGACATCGCGTGTCGCCGCTGCTGAACTCCTCCGAGATGCTCCGAGCTGCGAGACGCGCCAACACCAATAAAATATACACATTCATGAGTCGTCTTTTTTCTCGAGCAGCCACTTAACATAGAGCTTTGCTTGATTGTATGCGGGATTATGAAAAAAAATTACTGCTTTATCGCATTAGTTATGAATTTTTCGGGCAATTTTGCTTCCTTTTTTTATGAGACTTTATGTTTTAAGACGATTACGGCTTTGTACGGACACAGGATGCACATGAAAAGTAAATGATAAATCTAAAACTACGCTCAACTCGACGTTTAACAACAGCGCACAGAACAAAACTATGTACTAAAATGTTATCATGCAACGTAAAGTACTCACTAAAAACTAAAAGCTCCAATACAAACAACGAGTATCTTGGCTGTTTTCGCGAGTTAATAATCATTTAGTAGTTATGAAAAAGGGATTTTCAGGATTTGTTGCTGTTCTTTTTTTCGCACCTCTTACCCATGGCCATGGATCGTTATTTGCATGAAGACTTATAGCGAAGCACAATGTACAAAGCGGATACATTCCAGCGCTGCAGACTGCTTCTATATTGTGTGTTCATATTCATACATGTGAGTGTGAATATATTATATTGTAAGATATGTGTATAGATGACTGATTCTCTTTCAAGGATTAACATTTTTTTCTTCTGCCTGACACGATGGAAATATTTTTCAAATCATGACAAATCATGATTTTTTTCAGCATTTTTTTACCCTTACGTAGCACTTTTTGGAGCTTTGCAAAAACTTGAACTGAAATATGCTGTAATAAAAAAATAATTTTGAGACATTCGATTTGACAGAGAATCGGCCATATACATATATATATATTTTATATGTATAGAATGTGGAATCATAATGCACCATGTGCTCGTGTATGTTTGATAATAGTTTTCAGAGAAGAAAAGAGAAGTAGATATTATTGACACGAGCCGTTGTCCCATATTGTTGTCGACAGATTTTCGATCAGTTACATTGTCATAATGTTCCATATACGTGTTAGTTTTTTCATATTATCGACGCACACCGGTTGTAATGTTTTATGTACAAGTCGTTGTTGTCGGCGTCGTTCGTGGGTGCATCTTTTTTTTGCATGCATCGAGCCGTAATACACAACACAACACACACACACCCACACATGCCAAGTTATAGAGAAAAAAAGACTAGCGGAGAAAAGCCAATTCAAAATGCCTATTAAAATCGCCAAATGCTTTGAGCTGCGATGAAAAAAATAAGCGAATTTTCGTTCGACTAAACCAAAATAGCGCATCGATGAGCTACAAACTCGATGATAAATAGATGAGGGCGTTAGAGTTTCCGGTTCAAGTGCGTACTTCATGCAACCAATTTCTTGTCATTTTCGGCTAAAATAAATCGAATAAAGTTCCGATTACGTACTCGACAAAATTCATAACTTTTCGGGTATAAACGAGCTCTTAATATGCATTAATAATACACAGAGTGCATCTGCACGTCATCGAAAGAAATTTGCAATTTTTCCTATATTTTCCCAAAAAATAAAAGTGCATCGCTTTCAAAGCAGGTGAAAAGTTAAAAGAAAAAATGGACACCATTACTGGCTTTTTTATCAAGAGTTTTAGAGTTATACATTTTAAAGTTTTATTATTAAAGGTATGAGAAATATTCTTTTTTTTCACAGGTCATTAAAGAGGAAGCATGAAATTTAATACGGCAAATACGTATCAGTTTTTGCCTATATACACTGTAAAGCAGTATAATGTTGTGTGTGGTAAATTTAAAATGAAAAAAATGAAAAGAAAAAAATACGCAGTACAAAGCGCAAATGTCGGTTACTTCGCTTTTTTCACATTTTTTGTTTAGTTAATCATTATTATATTGGTTTCTTATTTATTCATTGAATAACAATGTTTAGAGATAGCGAGCCAGGGATAAAAAAGAGCAATATCTATGTAACCAAAACGCCAACAATTTCGCTTGTTTTCTGAACTGGAATCCATTCTCGTATCGTAAGACATTTTTTTCGTAAGAATGGATCCTTACAAATATATATAAATCGCTAAAACGGTACACGAAGAGAGAAAAAAAACCAAAAATAAGACCTACAAATAACATTTCATTCTGTTTTTAAGTGCAGATAATAATTGGTACATAAGTGCAACATTTTGACTTTTTTGTAGCTGTGTTAGAGTATAGAACGTTAATTTATCAATTAATTGAAGATATGAAGTGTTTATAATTGTTAGTATTACATGTAAATTATGATGTCAATCAGCTATTACAATAATTAAAAAATTAATAAGCTAAACACGAAAAACATATTTTATTGCGTTTTTACTTGTTTTTAATGAGCACAGTTAAAAAAACGTGAAATTCGCGAGATTCGCTGAAATGCAAATATACAAGTCATTAGCAAAATCTCGACGAATTCGTTGCAACGTCAGTTAATTTATTCAATCGGTTCAATCATTACATATTGCAGCGCAATTCACAATGCTTAATACCATATCCACCATTACACACGCGCACACCAAGATAAAAAAAAAGAAAAAAGAAAAGAAAGGAAAAGAAAATTGCGTCGATCCGTCGATGTGTGGATACCTGGAGCGTAGGGAGGATACGTGTGACATGGTCCCTGGCAGGTGCGCGGCAGTACGAGCGACAGTCTCCGGAGCGCAGCGAAAATAAGGCCGCGACTCTGCTGCGTCTTTGCCGAGGCCGCATCGGCATGATAACGACGGCGACGCGCCATCATCCGCCGCCGCCGCCGACGACGACGCATACGACGACAGTACCTCGCCCGTTCGCCCTCTTCGGCGTTTGGCGGCGCCTCGTCCTCCTCCTCGTCTTCGTCCTCGTCGTCGTTCTCATCCTCCATTTCCTCGTCGTCGTTTGAATCGTCATCATCCTCTTCGCCAATGTACTCGTCGCTATTTCCCGCTAGACACATTTTTCCTTTGTTCTTTTATGGCAGTCTTTTTGTCTTTTGTCGTTGTTTCCGGCAAGCATTAACTTATAAAGAATCGTCCACGCTCGAGATCGATTTCGAAAAATTTCATTTCCGAGTGGGCAACTATCAAAGTGGAATCCGTTTTTTATTCACGATAATAATAATTATGATATGTTCTTTGCGCGCTCAAATCGAGTGCAGCAGAACTTACAAGAGGCCATTCAAACGTCATTTGTGTACCTTATAAGGTACATCATTAGATACAGAGCATATAAGAGAGAAAGAGCGAGGCTTTTTTCTGGCGTGTTCAAGTCAAGTCTCACTAGAATCAAGTATATGTGCATACACACACTCTCTCACACACACACACACACTCCAATTATATGGTACAGTTAAGCTAATATAATTTCTGCTATTAAACATTTGTACTGCGGAAGCTGTCGAGTTTTTTGAAACTCAACACTGCGGCGAGAAAAAAAGGGTGTAATTTTATTTCGGGGACGGATAAATTCGCAGCGGCGCGACCAGTCGAGGCGAGCTGCGCGCGAGTCAGCACATTTCAAGTAGTAACGAGCAGTTATTAGTCAGCCTGTGCGCGAATCGCTGCAGTTGCACAAAATGTATTACAGTCTAGTTTACGAATTTGAGTCTGACAATTTGTCATACAAATGTCTATACATGGTCACACATATACATTTCCCGACCTTTTATATAACGTGCACCAAGCTGCTTTTCGTCTTATTTATTTTTTCTTTTTTCCTTTTTTTGTGCTCAATTAAAAAAATGATATAAAGGAACGGTACAGAAAGACAGAGAAAAGTAAATAAGAAAAGATTTATTGTTTTTTATTAGTATGGCGTAGGCTGAATTGTCGCCGGCGGCGGGGGCGGTGGCGTCACACATTGTGTAAAAGTGCGAAGTAACGACACTTGATCGCGCTTAGCGCTTCGTTATTATATACATATTTATATTCATAATGCACATGTATGCAAAAAAAAAAAATTATTTATCGCATCGGATGAGAACAAGAAAGGAAAGAGAGGCGCAAAAAATATATATGATATGCATACACGTCGCGCTTGTAAAAAAAGAAAGGTACAAGGCGTTACTATCTCGTCGTCGTCGTCGTCGCGCGCGCGCAAGGATATACGTATACATAAATATAAAAAAAAGGGGGAAAAAAAGAAAGTGTAGGAATGAAAGAGAGAAGAAAAAGCATATATTATATATATGTGTATAAAAATATAAATACATATACAGCATTAACGCAGCGCCAGTATATACGTAGCAGCTTAGCAGCAGCAACAACAACGTGACCCAGTTGGCAAGAATATTTCTATACCTTTAATCGGAGTCATGTACATGTATGTGAGTGAGTGTATCTGCGTGCGTATGTGCACGAACCAGTGTACGTGTAAATAAACTTGCAGTATACGTACGACTCTATACACGCATATACATATATACTATGTATATAGATTAGACTCGACGACGCTAAGGTGCGAGAGAGAGAGAGAGAGAGAGAGAGAGAGAGAGAGAGAGAAAGAGAGAAAGGAAAACGCGCCGATATAAGCGACGCGTTCGAGCCATATAAAAGTGCAATGCTTCGACAAAAAGCTCGTCTCAACATGCACGCGCTCGAGCTTTTATTTATCGTGGATTATTATATGCATTTTATGCCCATATGCGCACGCGCGCCTTCTCCTGCGCCTCTTTCTTTCTCTCTCAGCTCTCGCTCCTCTCTCTCTCTCTCTCTCTCTCTCTCTCTCTCTTTCTCTCTATAAAAGTGTGTGCGTGTGTGATTCCCTTTATAAACTAGGCTCATCTTTTCCACATACCCGTGCGGTTAATACATTATTATGCGAGAGCTTTTATTTGCCCTGCAATTTTGATTACTAATTATGAATTCAATCTGCTCCGAATATTTCTGAAGCTTTGATCTCGGAAATTCGTATCTAGATGACATTTGCATGTTTTTTCCGAATCGATTGAGAGACCTGCCTTTTTACCGTCCCGATCAAAAGAAAAGTATATAAATCGGGTATGCTTTCATTTTCTATGGAATCAAAAAAAAAGAAAGAAAAGAAAAGGAAGGTAAGAGAGAAAAACTCGGCATTCACAAAGCTCAAAGAAATTTTCGTACGTACATACGAGCTAATATTAAATCGAACCTATTTATTAGCATTGGAACGTTTTGGTGTGCACGCTAGAAAATACTACAATAATATTCTTCGAGTGGCTTAAAGAATTTTCTCAGTCTCTCGTGAGTACATGTAAAATAACGACTGTATCTACAAAAAAGTAACGGCAAGTATGTACAGTTTATGTACAGTAACGAATAGAAATGAAAAAGCTGCTGCTGCTGCTAATCATTTATCAATAAATGAAGCATCACAAAGTTCATAACTGACTTGGTACTAATAAAAAAAAGAAGAAAAGAAAAGAAAAGAAAAAGAAGGATAGGAACGTTTATTAAAAATGAAGAAGTCTGTTTATAGTATCGATAATAATCTAGAGAGAAAAAAGTGTGCTAAGTAGGGTGTATAAATACTTACGTGCGAGCACTTCTTTTCTGCGGACTTGCACACCGATTATGGCCTCCATGGGTACTTCGGTGCGCGGTATGCTGACGCCGTGCGGCGGCAGATAAATCGGCTCCAGCATACCAAAGGTACATTCCGCCGGAATGTCTCGATAGCACGACGCATGCGACTGTAATCATTGTTATTTTTTTTTTTTTTTTTTGGTCATCAATGAGAGACATAGATCAACAAGAGACCGAATACGATAAATGCAGATGAGCGCGTACATCCGTGTGTGTACACGAATCCGACTGCGACGCGTGGAAGCTGGAGAAAAAGAGCGTGCATAAATAAAGCTCGAAAAGACGGACTTTTATAGTATCAATGTATACGCTTGTTAGGCGAAAAGCTCTCGGTGTCGAGAAAAAAGGAACGAGACACGCGTGCTCGTTTGAATAAAGTACGAATTGGTGAAGAGCTCAAAGGCAGCTCGGCGAGGAGAGCTCAAAAATTGTAGCGCGCAGGTGTGCATCTGGCTGAACGCGCGACCGAGCGAAAGGCCGAAAGAGGAAAAAGAAAAAGACAAAGGGCGAGAGCGCGTTCAAAGAACGAGAAAAGTGCGGAAATTGCGCCGAAAATTATTCAAACGGCGCCGCGCGTCGGGGAGAATTAAAAAAACAGCCGCTGGATGGGCGTTCGCAACGAGCGCGCGCTATAATACAGTCGGGCTTGAAAAAATAAGCCATCTCGGGCTTTGGTCATGAATACTGACCGTCATGCCGCACCACTCGCAGCGATAGCCAGCCAGGCACTCGGTCGAGAAGCAGGTCTTTTTGCAGAGCGCGCACTTGGAATTGCTCGGCAGGTTTCCCTCGCGCCAGTGGTGCGTGTGCCGCACCGAGGACAGATCTTTGCCGGGCAGGTAGGTCGCGTTCTCCTTGCAGTCGGCCACCGCAAAGTCCTGGCATTCCGTGTGTACGTAGTACTCGCATACTGCAAAACACCAACAATATACGTTTGTTTGGTTGGTTGTTTTTGTTGTTGTTATACGAGGCTGATCTTTTTTGTCGAGAGAAAGACTCACTTTCGCAGTGCAGGGAGAGGTTGTCGTCGAGGCGCTTTCTGCAGACGTTGCAAAACTTCTTCCTCTGATGCACCAATTCGGACCAGCAGTGCGCCACTGGATTCTGCGTGCGCAACCAAAACATGGCAAACAACGTCACGGACTCGTGAATATAAGTACATATTGACACGCATAATGAATTTTCTCAATACGGCTTACCTTGATGAGGTTCACAGCTATGCTTGAGCAGGGCGAAACGACAGTCTTGAGACATCTCTCGTGCACGACGAAGTTACAAACTGCAAAAAGCAAAACGCGTTCGTTGGCTGATTATACATATTATTAGATACAAAACGAGTGGCTTGCTCGATTCTCATTCAGGCGCACGCACAAACGAACGTACAAACACGTGCAGACTATATATATACGCAAAAGCATCGAGCACACAAATGAGACTCTGCAATTTTCCATTTCACGCTTGCTTTAATTTTAGCCTCAGCTGCAGTTGTTGTTGTTGTTGTTGTTGTAGTTGTTGCTGTTGTGCTCGCAGGTCGGGTGTACACCTCACCCCCCTGGCAGCAGCCTGAGCTCTGGCACTAGTACTACAAACACGGCAGCAACTCGCGGAACTACATGTCTGTTAACTATAATAATTGCTGCCAAGCCGACACTGTAGATTTAGCGCGGCAAGAGACAGCTCGCTGGGGCTGTAGGATGGGCGCGCGGGGCCGCGAGATTCACTCGAGCCGAGCCGTATATAATACTGATTTACCGGAGCGCAGCTTCCAGCCAGCCGCGGAAAATTGATTCGGAAAGATAATACCTATGAAATTTGCACGCGCACGTGGCGATCTGTTTGCGCATTAATTAAAACATTTCTCGCTCGGCGCTGCTCCAGCTACACATTAATAAATTTGACGCTCGTATTTGACGAGTTGCATTACGCAATATATCCCGGATAATTTGAAATGGTCGATGTGGACGCACGTATGTAGCACCGCGCCACGTATATAATAGGTCGATGTGGACGCACGTGCCCGACAACCTTTGCGCGAGCCCGCGACTATCTTCAACTGCGAATCAAAACTGAGAAAAAAGTATAGCATTTCATGCGTTTGTGTCTCTCTGCCTGCGAGCCTTTATCATCGTAGGCTACACACGCGACTCGCCGACCTGCCAACTTCATTGTCCGCGCGCGGCGTACTTTTATTCATGAAGCGCGCATACGTGTGGCAGCGCTGTGTAAGTTAACCCCGCTCGCGGTAGTCAGCTCCCTTTTTGCAAAATTCTCTCGCACACGCTTACTTGGCTACACGTTCGCCTGTGTATAAGAGATGCGAAAGATTCCGGCGGAAATGTCAGAGTGAGAATATGAGCGCCAATGAATGGGACGACTGAATGGGCTCGCGCTCCGAGCGTCTGTGTGCGAGCTCGTGTACGTGTGCGCGCGCCTATACGTATGTCTGCATCATTGACAATGCCGATGTAGGCCTTGCCCGACAATACCGCACTAGCTCGGCTCGGTGCTCGCGATGAAATTCTACTCCCTACCATTTTTCTCCTTTTTTTTTCATTTTCCTTTCTTATCCGTATGCTGTGCGCGCGAGAAGCTATCGAGAGCTTTTTTGTTGCCAACGCGTCCGAGCGACGATCGACGCGGGTGTAAAGTATAAGTCGTTGGACATTTTCAATTATCGTCGAATCGGCTGGCGGAGCTTCTAAGCTTCAACTTCTCCAAGTCATCTAAATTTCAACGGTACGCTACAGAAGCCAGAGAAAGGATTTAGTTGGCGCGTAAAAGGAGAGCTGCGAAACTTTGACTCGCCTATCAAGCAAGCCGCCGCGGAGGAGCTCTCATTAAGTGCGGGCGCAATTTACTCCAACGGAGCTGCGCACTGCTCTGTACATATAATCTGTTTGTGTATCTTACAGAATCACGATTCGTTAAGCTTTTCGGCCAAGAGAAAAAGGGAGGCAGCGAGTTCAGGAAAATGGTACTTAATTTTTCGACCAGTACAGCTACTGCTGCATTGAACGCATGGCCGAGCGGACGCGTGCGAGCGACGCGTATCCCTCGTGACACTGATCGCGCGGAGAGCTAAATTTTAATTAATTTCCGAGGTTCGCTCGCTCGAGAATTATTATATGAAATGTAAATATAAGACGCGAGCAAACCTTAATACAGCCGCGCGCGTGTGTGCGCGAAACAGAGAAAACATTATATATACTAGCCGACGAGTTTCCAAAACCATATCTCGAAGCTCCACGCGCGGCGCTCTTTTGCAGATTATAATTAATTATGCGAAACTTGGCTTCAACTGCGCGCCAGTTATTTATTATTCATAAAAAGCCCGAGCTCTATGGCTCTCTTATTCTCTTCCTGTGCATCTTTTTCTCTCTTTCTTTGGCGTTTAAAAATTTAGAAATGAATTTAGGCTCCGCGCCCGAGCGACCAAAGAAAATTATATACTCGCTGGAGAAAAATACACTCTTGTGAAAAATAAAGCAATGCGTGTAATTTTAATGACATACTTTAAATTTTATAAATCACTTCAACTGACTTGTACACATACATACATGGACGAGCCCGCATACAAGTACGCGTAATTTCCGCGTAATGTATTACTTTGTGAACGAAATTTCGTAATTAAAAAAGTTTTGTACGCCCAAAAATAAGCCCTTCAGCCCTCGATTGCTTTTCTAAAGTTGTTTATTTTAATACTGCTTTGATTTAAATAATTACGAATTTGTAGCTGATTTAAAAATCCAACGATCGAAAATAATGAAAAAGAATGTCGTTGATACAGTTATCGCACGTAGTTTGTGATAAAAAATCAAATTCACTATCAAGCTCGAACGCAATCCGACGCAATTACGTGCTCGAAGCCTATAACAAAAGTGCCTATATAAGCGCGCGTATATCGAAAATCGAGAGCGAGACGTAAGCTATGCTTCGCACTTCTCACGGCTGCGGCATTAGTTCGTTGACTGTGACATTTTTTTCTTCTATTCAACTTTTTCCACGCGTCAAAAGTCAAAATGACCGAGTTATCGGCTTCTCCGAGTCCAGTCATCAAAATAGAGTAGTTTATTTCTCGAGTATGTCTATATATTATTTTCTTCCCCTTTTGCAGTCTCCCTCTCTCTCTCTCTCTCTCTCTCTCTCTTCTCCTGCACACTGCACACCGCAAAATAGGCCAACTAACGACGTTATAAACGTTATGTGTATCGTGCGCGCACACACGTAAATGCGAATATACTGAAAGAGAACGAGAGAGAGAGAGAGAGAACCACGTGTGCACACGTGTATAACATATACTGTAACAAATTAGGTCAACTTCTGCAACTGAACTTTACGTAATAATTTTCGGGCCGGTTTTCGATCAGCTTGAAATGTAATTATACATGCACGCGTGACCGAGACTTTATTACATGCGAATCGACGACGAGCTGACCGAGGTTTTTTTATCGATTGCTGCGACCGGGATAAATCTTCTACTTGTCGCGCCGGCGATGTATCCTTACTGCTTTCTTACGAGCTTAAAAATAAAGATCGGCCTTGATGTAAACACTCGTTGGAGTGAAAAATGGCAAATCTTGGATATAAACGCGTCTGCTTTTGTGTCTGTGTATGTGTGCGTATGAGTGTGCGCGCGCGACTGACGAGTGCCTGCCGTTGATGTGTATATAATGTTTGTATTTATAAATATAATAAGGGCGTCAACACCCCCTCGTGTGCTTATTCGTGCAGAACTCGTTCTTTTTTTTCCTCTCCTTCTTTTATTTTTTATTGCTACTCTTCGCGGTTTTTTGCTCTGCGAGCTCCAAGCCACTCGTGTACGTATGCACGAAAAAGGAGAGGAAAAAAAGACGTAAAAATTTCTCTCTTTTATTCCGCTGGGCACGTCGAGTGGCTTTTGCCATTTTTACAGCGATATAGCTTTCGATTATTATTCGAGAAAAAGTATTTAGCGCGCTCGCATAGGTCTGAAAATTTTAAAACGAGAATAATTTCCTTTCCTTGTCAAGCAGGCAGCTCAGCGAATTCGCTATGACGCACGATTCATCCGAGAACGAAAGAGTAATATTATATTCGTATGTAAAAAAAAAGTAAAATAAAAAAATAGAATAAAATAAAATCGAAAAAAGGAAAAAAAGGAACGCGAGCCGCAATAGATAGAGAATTAATCGTTGGAAATGCATCCTGCAGGCAACGAATCACTAGTAAATATATCCAGCTATGGAAAAAAGCTACGCGCGTACGCTCGCTCTCCGATGTAAGCAATCCCTTGAAAGCTTTGCAAGATTTTTCGGACAACATCTCTCTGGTGAGCTTTATAAAAGCTGCTGCTGCTGCCTTTACTGCTGAAGAGAGAGAGAGAGAGAGAGAGAGACGGAGTGGTATAAGCGATCGATGCGTATGTACCACACGACACGGAGGAGCGCTCACTCTCTCTCTCTCTCTCAGCGACTTGAGCGCCCTCACTGGGTTACGCGGCCGCCGTGTGGCTTTTATTATTATATGCAACGCGCTATCACCAGCCACTATACTAATACCCACCTATTGTGCGAGCGAGAGAAAGCTATCGTATACACTACGGCAAACTTATACTTGTTTTGCTTGAGCTTGCGCTTCGCGTATTTTTGCGAGCTTTTGCGCCAATTGTAAATCGTTTATTGATACCACTCGAGCGTGAGCTTTGAGCGCGCCTTGCTTCTTACACACGCACACACACACACCCTTACAATTGTACACTCATGCACGTTGCTATTATCGAGCAATTACAAAATCGTATATTTTTCCCTCTGTTCTTCTCGTACGCGCGATTAAATCTACCTCGCCTAAATTTGTATGTGTGCGCTTGTGTACTTGTGTGTGTGTGTGTGCGTTTCGTTGCAGTCGAGTACCCACTCTTGCCTTTATACGAATGAAAGAAAAGAATTTTGTCCTTTCCTTTTTTTTCATCTCTCTCCCTCTTGAGCTTACATCGTTTATTTGACAATTTTTTTTTGTTGACTAACTTGCGCACGCGTGTGCAGCGTCAATTTTTTATGCGACGAATAAAAAGAATCTCGTAAGACTCTATATGGCAAGTCAAACCATAAAAGCATCGCTAAAGCGTATTTGTATAAACTTCAGATGTGCTTTTTCTGTGGAAAGGAAAAAAAACTTTTTCGTGCGTGCGCACGCTACCATTGGGTTTTATACTTTCCACGGTTTCCTCCCACGGCTGGTGTTTTATTTCAACATCGGATTGGCGACTTATTTGAGCTGTTTTTCGAGCATCTTAATCGATTAATCCATCCTCTTGTTACAAATTTACATCATCGTTTGGTACATTCGATATAATTACCTGTACATCTGTACCCCATAGAGAGAGAGAGAGGCAGAGCTCGCGTGTGGGAATTAGGTCAGTTTATTGAAAATTTCATTAAGCTTTCTCGATTAAAAAAACATGCGAATAATTAGACCGTGAGAAAGCTCGGACGCGATCGTCGCCTATACTCAAAAATGAACGATAAAAGAAAAAAGAAGCATCCGATGTAATATTCTAGCTCGTCCATCAAATTATCTCACATATATCTATAAACGCCTATCACTTCCAATTCATCGTTTCTCTCTCATCGGTTGTTTCTATTCTCTTTCCTCTCTCTCTCTTGCCTGTTTCCCTTGAGCATTGCATCTCACTTGGTTTTGATGATGTATATAGGCAAGAGTGTTGAATGAAGCGCTCGACTGGCAGCCATTCATCGGCTTTCCTACCCTTTTAGAGTTGCCTTGGAGGCCGGCCAGGTTCGATTGGATTCTCTCGTGCACTTCCCCTCCCCCTCCTCCTCTTCCTCTTCCTCTCCTCTCTCTCTCTCTCTTACTCACGCCTTTATATATGTTGACAGGCCACATAACAGTCTGTTGCGCTGCTACTGCTGCTACTGCTGATGCTGTTTTTCTTTCTACTACTGGATGATAGGTATGCGACTGTAATATACGTTAACATCTACAGCGAGACAAGGATTTGATTGGTGTGCGAATCGAATTTACCCTCCCGTCTCCGCTCAACCTTTCGTTTATTGACTGTAAAATGAGTCTTTCGAGCTTCTCTCTCTCTTGCTCCATCCACGTCCCTTCGTTTTGCATTCACTTACTTCTATTGCACGTATTTTGCGAGTTATAGGCGAGAGGGAAGCATTTTTTATTTTTTTTAATTCGAAAAAGTACTCGACTAGGGCCTGGGCACGCTAACAAAGAATTCATTGAAATTCGCCGCAAAAAGTGTCGACGGGGTCATTAGGAAAGTAGGATCTTATAATTTACACATACTAGAGCTGCACAAGGGACGGAGGGCGAGTATGTGCCCAGCGAGCCGCTCTCCTGAAACGACCTATTAACGTGCACCCAGGTATATGAACGCCGCTGCACGTGAATAGAAGGAAGAAAAGATGGAAAGCTCCGTCTTCGTCGTCGTCTTCTTCTTTTATACTCTCTGCATTTTTCGCGTTGTTAAAGATAAAGAAAGAGTAAGGAAAAATAAAAAAAATTTTAGCAGCTAGCATCGCTCACTCGAGTGAGCCCTCGAGCGAGTTTTAATATAGCATGTATATAAGATACAAGGCTCGAGCCTAGAATAAAGAAGCCCCTAATTAAGGCACAGACACGGGCTATTCTCTCTGTGTGCGTATGAGAAACTTCCTGAAGAAAGACGGCTGATGGGCAAACATGACTCGTTTCGAGCTTTGCGAGAGACGAGAGAGAGAGAGAAAGAGCGAACTAGAGTCTGACAAAAATCATTCGTCGATGGCTCAAGGCAGCCACTCGTCTGTTCACAGGAAATACGAGAAGCTTGTACTCGAGGTTACGTCAGTTTCTTTAATTTACACTCGCTCATCTCTCTCTCTCTCTCTCTCTATCTCTTTGCATGCCAGGGGGATGACCTATGAGCTTTTTAGTTTTTTAGCTTTTTTGCTGTAGGTGTTATTAAAACGAGACATGTGAGAACGTCCTTGTGTATTGATTTTTTTGTCGCCGATAGTATTTTGATTTTCAACTTGAGCTTTCGCGTCTCTGTATTTTCAATATAAAAGAACAAATTTAATCCAATTAACGTCATTTCTCTGCGCGAAAGAGAGACAGGGTAAATTTTCAATTTACTCGAAAATAAAGTGAAAATATCACCGTAAGCTCCATTAGATATATAGAGGCGCGCGATCCTTTGCATTTGACAGACGATCTATACGTATATAAACTCGTGGTGGCATGACTTTTATATCCTTAAAAAAAAAGAGGAGCAATATAAGTGACGTCAGATGGAATTAAGCATCAGTGTCGTGATTGAATGTACATCGAGTGGCAGTTTGTTTTGTTTTTCACTTGGTTTTTTTTTCAGCTACAACAGCAACAAAAGCAAAACAACAACAAAAACAACAACAACTACTGCTCGAACAAGAACGAAGCTATCGATCTTTCAGGCCAGTCTGTTGTGTCTCCTCCTCTCTCTTTCTCTTTGGCGTGCCGTCTCTATAATTAAACCGTAGCTCGATGGTGTCTAGCACACGCGTTATACGTTGTATATAGGCACATACATACTTTCCCTCGTCGGCGTAAAAGCGAGAGCCGCGGCGAACAATGACAAACTTACCCTCGCAAATGTAGCCCTGCTGTATTATACCCCAGAGCATGTCCGTACATCCGTGGCAGTAGGTTGGCTTGTGAAAGGTCTTTTTGGCAAAAGTGTGGCCGTGTCCGGGCGGCTGGTCGCGCTGCAGCTCAGCTGACGAACCGCCGCCGCAGCCGCCACCGCCAGCACTCCCGCCGGTGGTCGTCGGCGTCTGGCCGCCCTGGCCCCCTACGACCGATTGCTGCTGCTGCTGCTGATAGCCGCTCGTCGATAAGCCCGAGAGTGAACCTGCCATGACCTGCAGCTGTTGGCTGCCGCTGCCGCTGCTGCGGCTGCCGCGTTCCCGCCAGATCCTCACTTTGAGCCACTATATGCCTACCTTGTTTTTGCCTTCAAACGCGATCCATGTCCTTGACGAGGCACATGTTACTTTTCTCTCTCGCTCTCTTTTCAAAATACACTCACAATATGCACTTTTTATTCATATTTCGCGGGGACAATTAATTACACAGTCCCTTTGGAGGATGAGAGGCGAGAGCTTTTGCGCGCACTGATACGTTGCCGAAGTTTCTTAGGCTCAGCTAGTAGCGTGTACGAGTCGCGAGGAAGGTCCTGCGTCCTCGTGGTCGTCGCGGCGCCCCGACGACTTTGGCCTGCTCGAGCGATCCTCGTCCTCGGCCATGCTTATACGCGTAAGATAAAAATGGAGCTTTCGAGCGAATCTGCCTCGTGCATCCAGTGGTCTCTCTCGAGCACCGATGCTATGTGATGGCGGTCGTGACGTAGGGTTGCATCGTCGCGAATGTCAATAGCTCGCTGTCGCCGTAAGCGCACGGGTAACAACCGTAAGGACGACGATGCCCGTCAACTGTGCTTTCGCCACTCATTCAGAACTGGCTTTGAGTTTTGGCTGGCTTCTTGCTCGCGTCGTCCTCGTCGTCGTCGTCCTCCTCGTCGTCGTCCTCGGCGTCATTGATTCGGACGTCGTTGGGGCTCGCTGCGCTGCTCGATTTCTGATGCTGCACCGTTATCAACGTACGAGTCGCTCTGGCAGAGTCGCGGACTCGCATCGAGCATAATTCAGCAGCTCGAGATTATAGGATGCACAATTGGCAGACAGGGACAGTGCACGCGGGAACAGTAGACGGCTCTCGAGCGCTCGAATCAATCGATCGACGAGCGAGATCTTCTCCTCGTTCTCTTGCAGCGACGAGTCACGCTGTCGCTGCTGCTTGTACTTTGGCTCGGTAGCTCCTCGCAGCAGCTACCTTTACCGAGCTTCATCGATACGCCGCCGCCGCTGCTACTCACGAATGACTGGAAGCTCGCTGACTGCTCGTCCGTCTGTCGTATTATCTAGCCCCGAAGCAGCATGACGCTTGGTTTTTGCACGCGCGATCGAGAGAGGCCTGTCTCTGGCACAGCAGCGCAGCTCTCGGCACTTTGAACGAGAGCGAGTGTAAGAGAGAGAGAGAGGAAAAAAAAGGCGACGACGACGACTACTGGCGACGATGGCCGATTCCGCCGCGCGAGGCTGTGCTACGCTGGCGATGCTTCTGTACTCGGGCTGCTACTGTGATGCACACAATAGCAGTAGCAGCAGCAGCAGCACAGGCTCCAGCAGCAGCAGCAGCAGCTGACGTAGATGCTCCATGCAAAACGACGGCGCCCGCGCAGCAGTAGCTTCTTTTGCAGAGACTCGCGCACCGAGTATAGCGACACAGCTGCACACCGACTCGTATCTTTCTCGCACACGCACACAAACACACTCACACAGAGCCACGGAGAGTCGAGCCAACGAGAGCTTGTGAGCTGCAAGCTCGCACTGGAACAGAGAGAACAAGACCAGTTGAGAAATATGCACACAGGCGCGCGAGCCACTGACACAGACACACACACTGCTCGATTTTGCTGGTCACTATATGTGTGCGCGATTAACGCTTTGGTGTTGGTGCCGTTGGTCTCTCTTTCTCGCGCGCGCAAGCGTATGAATCTAAAACTTAGCTGCGCCGGTCCGATATTTCGCTCCCGCACTATAGATATGTATACAGGGAGAAAGAGAGAGAGAGAGAGAGAGAACAGATGTATGTGTATAGATATATAAGTAAATAGCGCGCGGCACGGATGAAGCAGCGGATGAACTTGTGCGCGACTCGAAGGTGGTATAAGCGATAAAAGATTGAAAGAGAGTGGGAGGAAAGGGCGAGCCTCGATGCTGACTAGCTATACCATGTACGACTGGCTCGCGATCGCGCGATGACGACGATCACGTCGAGCATACGCGTATAGCTGCCTGATCCGAGCTGCCATCCTTTGCTATAGACGTCCAAAGGCCTGCGATCGACTATCGCTCCAACGATATATTTCTACCTTCACCCGCGCCTCCGATACTCGTATGCATTGGCTTCTTTCATCGCCGCTGGGGATGACCAGCTGCTATTCCTTCGTATCGCTCGAACCTAATCAAATTTTTCCAACATACGAATAGCTTGGCTTTTATCTTTGACTCTATCTAGTATCGATTTTTAATTCTACACCGGAATTTTTGACGCGAACGACGAAAAAACGCGCAAGTTTCATTAAGTTCGGAGTTTTCAAAGTCAGCGTACTTTGGAAGGATAAGGCGAGTCTGTGTAAGTGTGTGTGTGCGCGGGCGCGAAAGAGTTCGTGTACGATCGCCTGTAAAGCTCGCTTAAAGGGCTCTCTGCGCGAATTTCGTCTCGATTTCGATCTCGGCGACCCTTGATCACGCGTAATTCGACGATGGCTAATCCGTTGAAAAAGCTCAGGCGACTTTTCCTCTTCTGTATGTCTCTCAAACTGGCAAACTGGCCGAAATTCCAATGAAACAAGGGAAGGCGCGAGTGAAAAAGCTCTATAACCTCCGCGCTACGTGTGTAGCTCGTTCACAAGGTAGCTAGTCGCGTGCAGCTCAGCAAAGTTTAGGTATAATACACGGGTCGGCGGCGGCGGTGTGCGTGCGCGCGCTTACACACACGCTCTCCGCGACTATATCTCTCTTTCTTTCTCTCCCTCGCACTTCACTCACAATACAAATCAATAATGCTTAAAAGCGACGGAATTAGAATGGCGAAAATTTCGCAGCCGCGCGTGCTTGCACGATTATGTATCGTACACATGGGCTATATACGAGTGCGTGTTCGCATCGGCGCACACGTGTGTGCGTGCTGGATACGTACCGAGCCACGACACACACACACACATACAGACACGGAGGCTATGCCAGGCCACGTTCCTCGCTTACAGTCGCTCACAACGGCTCATAATGTGTACTTGCTTATAAATGCGAGGCGCGAATGTGTGTCGGCTGCGCTGCAAAAAAAAGTAGTGCCCCCCCTCGCACTCGTGCCTCGACGACCGTTTGGCATTTCGTCGATGCGCTTCGCATAGGCGGCGCCTATACACATCATGTGCGCGCGACTTTATAAAATAAGCTCGCATATTGTTGTAGCGCGCCGCGCGTCTATTTCAAGCGCGCGTATATTCGCCTGCGAATCGAGCGAATAATACGTGTGTGCGTACGGATGCGCGAGTCCGCGCGCTCGTGCGCACTTCGATACTCGCACTCGACGTCCAAAAATAAACAATTTCTTTTTTCGGACTTGGGCTACTTTGTGGCTTTGGATCTCGCCTCACGTGTTTCAGCTGCGCGCGACCGCGAGAGCACGTATACACACTTAAAAGTCGAATAAGGGCGTCGACTGGCACAAGCGTGTCGATGTAGCTGCTCTTCCAATGTGTACACGGACTGAGCATAAGTAGTAGCGGTAGTTGGACTGCAGTCAAAAAGATAGGCGCGCGACACACGAGTAACAACAGACGTATAATATGTACGCGTTTGAGGCACGAAACGACCGCAACGCGATGATCCCTAAAGCCCCAATGACACGATCTGATCACTTTTGCACTCAATCATCGCTACGCGTGTACATCTATACGTAGCGTGTATACGTTCTTCTCGTCTCTTGGTATTCTCGTATAGTCGAGCAACTATTGCAAAGACTCTTGCTTACCTCGAAGCGAAACGGCTCTCTGTGCCGCACAAGGGACACTTGCGTATACGAGCTTATGCGCACACGGACAGCGGGTAAATCGAGCTTTTCTCTCTCTCTCTCTCTCTCGCGCGCGCGCCTACTTATTATACAGCAACGATCGGTTATAAGATGCCTAGGCGGAGAAAAATTGTGTCGCCGATGCGTATAAGCGGCTCTCTGTGCGCACACACGTACTTGCGCGTATATTTTGAGAATGATACTGCCTGCGAAACGTAGTCTCACGCCGCGCGAATGATCGTGCGGCTTGGCCTGCCTCACGGTCTGCGGCCACGCTGCCGCTCGCGGATCAAGATACCTACCTATTACATACAACATTCGCTCCCTCTCCCTCTCTTTCCCATTTGCGCGTGCTTTGCAAATATAGCGGGATAAAAATAAAGTCCTATGTGCGCAGCGCGTATGCGTGCGTGCAATGTGGCGAGTGGTATACGCGCCGGCGCGATGACGTCACGAGCGCAAGCACGCGACACAGAAAGTGAAAAAGAGAGAACGAAAATACTGCTCTGCGTATGCGATAGGTACGTGGCTGCGAGCTCCAAAGTTTCCTGCATTCGTGTGCGAATGTGCCTCGGCGAGGGAAGCTCGTTCGCCCGCACACGCCTCTCCGTGATGCCCCTAACCGGAAGAAAATTACGCAGCTCTCGCGATTTTTCGATCGATTGCTAATTATCCGAGAGCTTTCGATCGCGCGATTAGATATGCCTATGCGCTCCACGGAGTTATCGCCTGTAGCTTTTTTCTACAGCCAAATCTATCGAGTATGGTTGACTCGTTGAGTTCGATCGATCGATTATAACGAGTGTAGCTGTGCCGCAACACATCCACCTATTCTGAGCTATAGAATCGAGTGTCCATCGTGTAGAACTGGCTTGTACCACTCGAAAGTACTCCTTTTTTGTGCTCGTACGGACTGACTAAGGTAGTGAAATTGATTTTGTTGGGTCAAAAATCCCTCGAAATGAAATTGCTGTTGGAGTAATTGCGGCAATTAAAACTCGCCCGTGTCATTTCAAGTTTTACCGCTCATACGCGTTTATCGGTACTTTTCAAATGTTCCTGCGACTCGTGAATTAATCATGTCTTCACTTATCAATCACAATCTTAACGAGGCCTGTAATCGAAAGTTTAACCAAATTATAAAATAATTGAAATTTATTCTAAAGTTGTATGGTGTATACTATAAAATCGATAAATAAACAGAGGTCGACACTTCCTACAATGCGCAGCGCGACGATTAGATAAGTGCTTTATCTTGCTGCTTCAGCTCGCGCGGACAGTCGAAATCGTTTAGTCGAATTTAGTGAGGATTCGTTTCTGCGCCACAGCGCACGCATCATGAAGATCATCATTTGCATCGTGTTCGTGGTCTTTTGTCGATCGATTCACGCTAGAGTCAACAATGACTACTGGAGCCAGAGGGCCAAATTACTGCAGAGCGAAAAGAAATCCATGTTCGGCCATGGCATAGTTCTCGATGCCAGCGAACAAGCTGTCAATGAGATACTGATGAAGGCGAAAAACGAGGAGATCGACAAAGGCAAGTCCATACCGCTAGTGAAGCGCGCTTAACATCGGCTCTCAATAATAAACAATTATACGCTCGATACAGGTTTCAAAGATCCGTCGAGTTTCCTGCCATCGCAAAATTTTTTGCGAGTTCACGATTCTGTGGACAATTCAACGGTTTTCCGAATGATACGGGACATGCCGAAAGGCGCAGCCCTGCACGTCCACGACACCGCCATCGTGTCTCTCGACTACGTCTACCATAATCTCACGTACCGTCCGAATCTCTACGTGAGCCAACAGGACGACTCGTTGAGGCTGCGATTTTTCGACAAGCCCAAAGACGATTCCTGGACGCTGTTGAGCGACGCGAGAAACGAGACTCTCGACGCGAGAATCAAGCGGCAATTGTCCTTGGAGGTTGACGCCGATCCCGACGTCGTCTACCCCAACGGCAATGCTGTTTGGAAAAAGTTCATATCGATTTTCGTCTTTGGGCGTGATCTCATCTGTTACAGGTGAGCAAACTATCCCTGCTTTCGCCAACGAGTACTTGAATTTTGCCTCGTTGTATATTTTCGCAGGCCAGTGTTCGAGGATTACACGTACCAGGGGCTGCTCGAGTTCTACCAGGACAACGTTTTGTACGTGGAGCTGCGCACGATACTGCCGACGCTCTACGAGCTCAACGGCACGGAGTACGGGCCGATCGAGGTCGCTCGAATCTATCAACGGGTCGCCGAGAGATTCGAGCGAGATCACCCGGACTTTGTCGGACTGAAGCTGATTTACGCGCCGAGTCGAAGGGTGAACGCGTCCAAAGTCCGCGAGTACGTGGCGACGGCTCGATCGCTCGTCGACGCTTTTCCAGGCTTCGTCGTCGGTTTCGATCTCGTGAGTCAGGAGGACATCGGCCTGCCGCTCGTCGAGGTGGCCGATCAACTGCTCGATCTCAACAACGAGCTGCCGTTCTTCTTCCACGCCGGCGAGACCAATTGGTACGGCAGCAGTAGCGACGAGAACCTCTTGGACGCCGTGCTGCTCAACACCAGGAGAATCGGCCACGGTTACGCCCTCGTCAAGCATCCCGAGCTGCTGGAGATGGTTCGTCGACGCAACATCGCCATCGAGCTTTGTCCCGTCTCCAATCAAGTGCTGGCTCTCGTGCGCGACCAAAGGAACCACCCGGCCAGTGTGCTCTTCGCCGCTGACTATCCTGTCGTCGTGTCCAGCGACGACCCCGGCCTCTGGGCTGCTCGCGGACTCAGTTACGATTTTTACGAGGCCTTCCTGGGCATCATGTCGAGGCGAGCGGATCTCAAGGTATTTAAAAAACTCGTCTACAATTCCATCCAATACTCCGCCATGAGTAAGGAAGACAAGTGGAAAGCACTCGATATTTGGCTCAACAAGTGGCAAGCATTCATAAATAAGTATTTGGGACGAGTTTCATAGAAAAATAACTCAACGTACATATTTGAGTATAAAATATTTTTATTTGATCATCTATTTGTCGATTCTTATTGTTACTTACATTTTTTATTTCTAAATTTTCTAACGTATTTGTATTTACATATTTTTTATACAATATATAAAAAAGGTTCGATGAGCTAATCGAAATTTCGCCAAATAATTCATTCTTACAAACTCTTACTTTTTCAATTACTACGTATTCATTGACGCATCAACGAAAACTGTCGAGTGATAATTTTATAGTATTACGAATTAAACTTTTCATTATCAGCTTTATGTTTGTGTAGCTGTAATTGCTTCATTGTCATTAATAAAGATGCATAAAAAAATATTTTTATAGTTATCTTGGCATTCAAAATGTACTTTAAAACCATACAAATGCACCGTGAGAATAAACATGTTAAATTGATATATCACACTACGTTTCTTATCAAAAAACTTGAATCATGAACGATTCCTACAGAACTAAAAATGTCATCTTGTCACGAAGAAGAATCGGTAAGATCGACGTAAGTTGGCGATTTTTCCCTATGGCTTTTTGCAGTAGAACGGCCTTTATGTGTATCCCACTGGCTACTACGGCCAATTTCTTTTTTTATTCTAGTTGTCCTAGCGGGCGATATCGAGTCTCTGTTCAATCTCTTACTAAATCGCGAACTGTTGCGTTTTGGCGATGGGGACGAAGATAGCGATATACTCTCAGGTGACCGTGCCTTTTTTCTAATTACAGATGGTGACGTGGCGTGCGATCGTTTTATGGCACATCGTCCTGATGGAGATGCATGTCTATTTGGGTAGTGTATTTTTGTCGTGCGTACTAGAGAACCAGAACGCGAACGTAGATTTTTTGGCGTCCGTGAACGAGAACGCCTGTATTTCAGGACAGGGGAGCGCGACCGCCTCGTTCTCGGTGAAGGCGAGCGTCGACCTCTTGAATTGAATCTGAACGATGGTGAATAACGCAAGCTGCTAAACTTTGTTGTCGGCGAATGTCGACGACCGCTGAAATTTGGTGAAGGGGAAAGTCGTCGGCTCCTGAATTTCGGTGATGGCGAACGTCGCCTACCAGTGAATCGAGGGGAAGACGAACGTCTACTTGAGTACCTTGGAGACACAGACCGTTTTCGATTCCGTATTATTTCTTCTTTTGGTGTTGGTGAACGTCTTCGCGTTGACGGCGATCTCTTGAAGGTGCGTCTACTCCTGTCATACATTCTTGGAGGCGAGGGTGGTGAAATAGATCTACTTTTTGTACGTATATTCTGTTTTAATTTCATTTCGTGCTCTAATTGCTTTTGCAAAATTTTCTTTTTCTCAATGAGATATCTCAGATCCCCATCTACACCTTTCCTTTTTTTGGAGGTATGTATTTCATCTTTATCTTTTACGTTTCTTTCTTTTACAGCAACGTTTTTCGATGCTAGTTGATTATCAACTACTTTGGTATTCAGATCCATTTTACCTTTAGTCGATAACATTTCTAAATACGAATGATCTGAGTGAATCTGGAATTGGAAGCCTTCAGTGTTAGTGAAGTCAGTAATTTTTTTTGAAGATTCCTGAAGATTCAAAGCTGCTGGAGTGATGACTGGTGTTTTCATGTGCTGCAAATCAAGCTCGTCAGTTTTATCCTTGAGCGATTCTGAATCTGTGCCGGGTTCCTTCTTGATCGAGACTGGCTTGGCTATGTATTTAATGGTTTGAACTGCTTCATCGTCGCTATCCGTTAGTACTTCACATTTAATCTCTTTTTTAGGAGGTAACGGCAGTATTTCAATTTCATCATCATTGGCAATATTCACAGTTTCTAATTGCTCAACACGTTCACCAGGTTCTTCATTTTCGCTGTCACTTATTTCACCGTCTTCACGCTCATCTGTCTTTTCTTTTTGCTTCAATTTCTTTACTTTCTTCAATTGTTTTTCTTGTTCTCGTTTTTCTTGTTTTTCTTGTTTTTCTTGTTTTTCTTGTTTTTCTCGTTTTTCTTGTTTTTCTCGTTTTTCTAGTTTTGATTTCGTTTTGAGAGATGAAGTTTTATTTTCACGGTTCATCAATGCAATGGCTTTATCAACGATTGAAGGAACACTACGAGATAAAAATTGTTCTGGTGTAGGTGATCTATACAATGATTCCCGTCGTGGACTCGGAGTATTCCATCCATCACGAGTAGGTGTAGATGATGAACGCTTTGAATGTCGCCGTGGAGTTGAAGTTTCCCGCCTTCCGCGCGTTGGAGTAGATGGACTTAAAATTTCTCGTTTAATGCGTGTTGGGGTAGATAATCGGTACGATGAATTTCGCCTTGGACTTGAAATTTCCCGTTTAATACGCGTTGGAGTCGTTGCACGATACGACGAACGCCTACGTGGACTCGGAGAGTTCCACCTATCTCGTGCGGAATAACGATGTTCTGGTGATCGCCTGCGAGGTGATGATAGTGAACTGCGATGGTAGGAAGATGATGTTTTCCTCGCCAGAAAATCACGAGAAGGACTGAGACTAGAACTTTTTCTGCTGCTGTCATACTCGTTGTAAGTTATTGGTTTAAAAAATGGAACATTTTGAGTATAGAATAGTGGAGACGATTTTGAAGAAGAATTCCAACAATCATCTTTTTCTTTTGGTGGTGGACTTGGAGTATCCCATCTCTCATTACTTTTTTTACTAGATGTTGAATTTCTTTTAGAAGATGGACTTGGAGTATCCCATTTACATGGTGGTAAACTCACAATTTCAGGCCATATTAATTTAAATTGTTGCTTATTACTTTGCTTTGAAGAATCAGTATTAGAACCTTGTTTAGAGGAGGATGATGCGCTATCATCATCTGTTTCCATAGGCAATAATGGACTATCGTAAGCAATACGTTTAATTTTGCGGTTATTAACCAATTTAACTGCATATGAAGATGTAGCAGGTATACGCTCCAATTTTGAATAATCATGCGGTTTGGATATTCTAAATGGATTATAATTTGGATCTTCCATCTGTTCTTTTGTAAGTTGCAAAGGTCCATATCTGGGAGATTTAGAAGAACTTGAATCAGATGGTTCGGATTTTATCTTAACAGACGTTTCTGAACAATCTGAAGAAACACTATTGATTCGTAAAGATTTCAATGCTTCCATTCTCTCATTTTCTAGTTTTATAACCTGTTCTCTTTCTTCCTGACGTTCTTCAGCAACTTTAGAAGATATTGGTGAATAAAAATCATACAATCTTTTCAAGTCTTTCTTTTTCAATGGTACATCTGCATCTAATTTTTTAATAGGGAGCCAATTTTTTGGCTTTACACGTTTAATTTCTGCAGTACCCTTAGAAGTATCTTCAAGACTAGAATTAAAAATTCTATGGCGACCCTTATTATGAGCTTCATCTCTGGCTGACCACAATGATTTATCAATATCAGTTCTGAATTCTCCAGTAATTGCATCAACAAGAGAGTGTCTTTCAAATAAAATTGCAATGTTAAATGCATCAACTTTGCTTGGAGATTTATCAATGATACAAGATTTCCTGGGTAAAAATTCATCTTTATATTTTCTTCCTGGAGATGTTAACATACTAAAGTACTTTGCATGTTCCTGAGTGTAAGGGCCATAAATGATGGCTCTTCCAATACTAGGCAAATCTCTCAATATTGCTATTGTTGAAGGATCTATAGTAGAAATTATAAAATTAAAAAAAAAATTTTTTTTTAAATTTTATAAAAAAAATATAAAAATTAGAATTGATCTTACATTTTCCATAAATTGAATTCAAATTGATAATTGCTACAGATAATGATTTACTAAGTTTTGAGCAACATTTGTCATATATTTCTTTAGGACCAGACTGGACAAATTCTACGTTTCGTATTGCATTATGATTTTTTATCTCCTCAGCAATTGCAAGTTCATCTTCTGATAAATTTAGGCCAATAACTTCTTTAGCTCTCTGCAAATAAAAAAAGGAATTAAATTGTTTCCAACTTCCTCAAAAATATTTTTCAATGTTACATTGAAGACTCACTTGTGAGAGAATCAAACTGAGGACTCCAATACCACAACCAATTTCAAGTACAGTTATCTCAGGATTAGGATCTAAATAATTACACAAAAAATTTCCCATAAGCTCTGTCTGTTTGGAGTTAAATGATTTCCATGATTTAGGATTATAAATCAGTTCTAAATTTGCAACTTTATCTATTAGCTGTAATGTTCCTGTTAAATATAAAGGAATGGAGTTCCCTCCTTTTTTCAATGATCTGAAGGAAGAAAATAAATTGATAAATTACTTTAAATATATCATGTATCAATATTAGACATACCTCTTTTGATTTATGTAGTACAATGATGTTACATTGCAAGCTTTTCCGGATCCAGTAGTGAAATATTTTTTTAAGGGTTTTATCAGCCCAGAAACACCCTTGCCACAAACTGTCAATTGAATTTCGTTGTTGTAATTGGATCTGATTGTGATGTATGTCCATATTGGTTTTTCATAAAAAGTGTCATATACTTCATCAGTTATTTCAAAATTTGGATCTCTTGTAGTTTTATATGCAAATTCTTGAAACATCTGATTAAAATGGTTAAATTAATAAATTTTCCTGATAGAATGAATTTATAGTTTAAGGTACTTACATTAACAGTTTCTATAATGAAATCTGGAAATTCACAATTTGCCGAACTTTTACTATTGATGACTGTATCAGTTTCACTGTGCACCATCATCAATTCTTCGCAATTAACATGTGCATGCTCTGGGGGAGGGTCTTTTCTATATTTACAACCAACTTCACCTGAATAAAAATTGTCATGTTAGAATTTTATTAAAAAAATAATAATTAAAAATATTTTTCAGCAATTTATCACCAAATATATTAGAAAAAAGTTTTCTATACTAACAAGTGAATTTCCAAAAATTGTTCCAAGGTAAATTTAATGGTATATGCCTGGGTATATCCATTTGACATAAAGGTGCATTGTGGTCTTGCTCCATACGAAGTATATAGGCTCTTGATATGTTGTCAACGCAACAAGCATGATTACTTACACATTCTAAACGTCTTTTGGCTTCTTTAATTTTGTCTTGTAACTAAAATTAATAATATTATTATTTTAGTTTCAAATATGATTTCAGTAGAACAATATTATACCTACCATTTTCTCATACCAATCAGGATTTTCTGTTAGTTCGCTATTATTATCTGCACTATTAACATCTTCAATTTTATTTATTCTCAAGTCCAAGTTATCATCTATTGTTTTTTCTTCTAAAATATTATTCTCTTTGTTATCTAAAGGGTCTGTTACGCCGTCTTCATCTTCTGGGACCAATGAATCTAACATATTATTAATTTCTTCATCGTAGTCTGAATCATAGCTTCCATCTGAGTGAGTTGAATTTTTGTCAAGCATGGAGCGATTATTGAAATTGCTCCTGCTATCTAAACTACCTTCTTTAAAATAATTCATTTCTTCACTGTGAATGTATGTAAATTTCAAGTACTGAAATTTTTCAAAATTACAATTTTCAGTAACACTTTCCAATTTTTCTATACTACAATCATTTGTCAAATGATGATTACTGTAAACATCTGTACAGTATTTTTCATTGAAACCTAAAAAAATTGTCAAATATAAATTTTTTTATCCACAAATACAACAAGGTTACAATTTGAAAAACTCAGGTTCAAAAGTGTATTTGATTAACTAAAGAGTTCAGCATTTCAGTAAAGATTATTCAACTCAGTTTCATCTTTCTTATTGTTTTTCTGTGAGACATAGCCTCATTGAAATGTCAAAAAAAGTTCAAAAAGTAAATAAGGGCAACGCATAATTTTTACAGTTACAGTTAAGTATTCTACAAAAAGTTAATTAAAACTTTTCAAAAATAACATGAACCAATTTCCATTGAATGTACAATAAAAGAACTAAATGAACAACAGCGTTTATGAGGGAACGACCAACACACAGTTCAGCAATATGGTTGCCCCTTTATGCACTATCAAAACAATAAAAGCAAGCGTGAAAGATGATAAAATATATTGAATTACACTTTACTTCGACAATATCAAAAAGAAAAGAAAAGAAGATAAAAGTACACATCCAGAGCGATTTTATTTATTTATTTTGAACCGATAGAACACGCAGAAAGGTTAATCTCAAAATATAACTTGCTAAAGTAAATTAAAATTTTTCGTAAAAAATTAAAGAAAATTTTTTACTTAAAACAGTACGTTTGAATGAGTGAACTATACATTACATTTAACACATAAAAACTGTTCACAGGTTGAAAAGATGAAATTAGATTTATTTCATTCTAATAAATGTTTTATATGCACGTTTGAGACGATGGAGAAGAAGCAATAGTAATTACATAGAACGACCACGCGATATTGGAACATATATACCTATACTTATAAGTAGACAAACATAAGTACAGGTCTTTCCTCAGCGGCACACTGTATGCAAGAAGTGAATCCTAACATGTCGAGTAGTTTTATCTCAAGCACGTGTGACAGAAACAATACACTTGAAGTTTCTCACGACAGTTAGCAGAAGGCATTTAATAAGCATGTTGTAAATATATATTTCATATTTACGAATATACGTGTATAGCAATAAAATTAGCTAACGCTTGAAGGCAACGAATTTAAATTTCCAAGAAAGTCAACGGTGTCAAATTTTTATGTTTCGTGGTTATGCGATGACAAATACAGAACAGACCGTTCTCACAGAAGAAACAAGATGGAAAGCACCGCGTAAATTGAAACGAGATAAAAACGACACTTTCGTGGAATGTCATTCTTATCTATGTTTTGTGTAATTTCAGAAGTCCCAGAGAAACTTAATTCGAAATATAGTCAACGTTGGTTATTTAATTTTGTTTTTTTTTTCAATTTGTTGACCTTGAGTAAATACAAGAATCAGTATATAAATGATTAATTAAATAATTACAACTATATTTTGAATAAAATATCTTAATGTAATAAACTTACTAAATCTGTCATTGCAATTATCATCTGCAGGTTCAACTTTTATTTTAAGAAAATCATTTTGTTGAGTACTTGTATTGCTGCTAAGCATATTTATGCAACTATGTTTAAAATCGTTACTAGAGCGTATATTAAATTTGTTTAAACTATTGTGACTAAAGTTTTTTTCTGAACAATTATTCTCATGAAAATTGTGAGAAACAAAATTGCTATTGACATTATTGCAATCATTTTTTGCGTCATCACTATTCTCAGTAAAGTAAATATTATGAACATCAGTGTTGCTCATATAGCTAGCATCTGCATTATTATGGTTTTTATTGAGATCAAAAGAATCATCAGCTTTTTCTTGACAATTGCTCAAAAATTTATCTGTTTCTTTGTTGTAATAACTGTTGCTGGATACAGCAAAATCTTTCCTTCTTTTGAATAAATTTTGTTCGTCAGCTTTTGACTTTTTCATCTGGTCGTAAACATCGAGGGCAATGCGCGAGGTATAAACGTTATCATAATCATCACTGTGGAAATCAATGTTTGGTTTGATATCAAAACAATCAGCGTCAATAGGAAACGAACTGTGCTCGCAGATATTGATTGTAGAAGTATTAGGATCATCGCAGCAAAAACGGGAATCGTAGCTGTTCAATAAATATCTTTTTGCGGGCTCATCATAATCAGGATTGAAACTTTGGGGGTCGTTGTTACCACTGGGGCCAAAAATATCAGGATCCTCGTAAAAACGAGGATCATAACTCTGGATCAAGTAATTTTTTGAGACTGGATTTTGATCGAATGTGCAGCTCGACTCGTCGTAACCGGCTACTATATTTGGTAGTATATCAAAGTTGTCGTACGCGCAAAATGTCTCGTTATCACCGAACGCCGTGTGCTCGTCATCTGCATCATAATAAAGTTGATTTGCGTTACTGCTCGCTGGTGAAATAGACATGTCGACGCAGGAATCGTCGGTGACATTGGACCCTTTGGACTTATCTTTGTTCTTGGAAGTTACGACGACTATCGAACAGTCGTGGTAGTCGCGCTCACAGCTACTACCACCCCGAGTTGAATCATCGCTCTTGTGGTGTTGCTCTGTCTGACCCCCTATGTCGGAAGAAATTTCCGAGATACTTGAGTCGGTAATTTCTTCATACTCGGGGTTGACAAGACTCTTAGAAGTCAACGACCGAATTTCTAATAGAGAATCGAAATTAACCTTTTAATTAGTTATTCATTAGTGATATAATTTAAACGTGTATTTACCAATCATAAGTTTTTTCTCTGCTTCTGTCCAAGGCATGTTTGCTTGGTTTACAAAAAATTCACTCGATATAACTTAAAATTAAGTGTTTCATTAAACACCCACACATAAGCACTGACCACTTAATTAAACTTTTTTCAGTACAAAAATTTACGAATAACGTTTAATACTTCCCTTTTGACTAACAAAAACCGTTGTTATAAGTACACGATCGCATCGCAACTCATAATGTATACATCTAAATCTGCTTCTCGATCGACAGTTGACTGGCGAGTGGCCGGTTCTAAGGCCGTCCGCCGTTGCCGCATGCCGTCGGCGATGCATGTTTATAGAGCAGTATCCGCAAAACATGTGCGAAGATGGCGCTGATTAATCGTCAATCTCAAAATTTTGTTTATGAATTATGACCTACATCGTATACAAATAAGTACACCGTAACATCCCTGACGTTTATTTACGTCTTATTTTCTCATGCAAAAAAATTACTGGGAGTACGAAAATCAATTTTATATACACTAAAATTAAATAAAATTCAATAAAATGAGTTGCGTGTGATGGGTTGAACAAAAATTATTATTTTGTACTTGGTAAAAAATTATTCATACAATAATATTAAGGCATTAATACATAATAACATGTAATATTTTACAGTAAGTCTATTTGTCTGTTTGTATTTTTTCTGTGTTAAATTTTGTCACTAAAAAGTACATAACAAAAAACATGTTATTCTTGCTTAATATCTATAACAATAGAAAGTTTGAAATGAGACAAAAGTGCAATGCACACAAATGATAAATTCTAATTTTAATAATATTTATCTGAAATAAATGCAAACATTCTTGCATCGTAATCAAATACTTCAAGTTTTGTAAATTTATGGTAACAATGGAATATTAAAATATAAAGCTTACAATACTGTAGTTACATAAATCTATCATTTGAATTATTAAATATTTTAGATTTCATTTATAAAAAATTTTAATATAGATTAGGAATTGAACCTAAAAAAGGTGCAGATTTATTCATTGAATCAGATGATGAGGATTCTAATTCATTAGAGTTTGATGGCTTTGGGCTTGTTGATGGCGATTCTCTTAATTGGTCAGTACTGTCATTCAATCCAGTCAAGTTTAAATGATAAGTGGGATTAAAATAACTCCTGACAGCTTCAGGAGAACCTTCTGAATTGCTGCATGATAAACGTGGTCTTTTAGCAGAATTGTCTATTGTTTGATTAGCTAGATTATCATTGGAGTTAAGATAAAACGCATCTTCAGTCAAAGAATCCTCATTATTTTCTTTTGCCGATCGCTTCCTATTGTTATTCAAATTTGTATCATTGGATAATTCAGGTTTTATCATATCTTTTAGAGCATTTATTTCTACTTCATTCTTAATTGTTAAGCCTTGTGAACTTTCATATTCTGATTTTAATGATGTTTTTGTCAAAAAGTATTCTGATTGATCCATTATTTTATGAGGGTTTGTTTCGCGTTCTGACATGAATGATGGTAGTAACTCATTTTCCACTTTTAAGCCAACTGAATCAAAATCAATTAGATTTAAATTATCTGACGTTTCAGTTAAGAAGTATTCTGTTTTTGTAAAGTGTGTCGTAGTTGGAAAATTTGTAAAATCTGAATTGACTAGATTTTGATTTGATTCTTCATTTGGCTCATTTTTCACTTTAACAGTAGTAAAGTTGCTTGCAATTCTTAAAGATAATGGCAAGCTTGTTAAATTCTGTTCACTATATTGAGTTACCACTTCAGTCGACTTGTTAATTTCTGAGTCCAATTTTGATTTAATTTCCATATTTGAATAAGGTTCCTGTTTTACAGTTGCTAATGGCGTCTGAGCCGATTCAGTTTTTTGTTCAATTTGGTTTTCTGAAACATGATCTGATTGTAATTGAATGTCAGTATCAGATTCTTGTTTTACAGTTACTGATGGCATCTGAGCTAGTTCAGTTTGCTGTTCAATTTGATTTACTGATTCATGGCCTAATTGTGATTGAATCTTGATATTAGATTCCTGTTCAGGTTCCTGTTTTACAGTTGTTATTCTTATTGGTGTCAGAGTTAATTCTGGTTGTTGTTGCATTTGGTTTGCTGAAGTATGGCCTATTTGGGTTGGCACTTGCGCTTCAAAACCATGTTCAGAGACAACGCTACTTTCATTTTTAAATGATTGCAGTAGCTCTTGAAATTTGAATGAAGATATTGTGTTTGATAAATCATTCAAGTAAGATGCTTTCGTTGTTAATTGCACACCATCAAGAGAACATGTTGTATCTTCTTTCTGAGATGATGTTGGTGGCACACGTTTTGGTGTTGCCATAGACCATAAATCTTCTTCATCAATTCCCAACTCTTCTGATGGCATATCAATAATCTAAAAATTAAAAAATACAATATAAGTTATTAGTAATAAAAATATTTCTTTTATGGTAGATTATTTTATGGTAAACACAAGATAGAAAAAAATGTCATTATTCTTTACCAGTTCATCGAAAAAATTTTTCATTTTCTTTGTCATCATATGAAGAACATTTTCTTCTTCGTTCATACAAGAAAAAACGTTTTGAAACATGATTTGGAAATCTTTTAAACATTCACTAGAACTCCAATAAAATTTGTTCTCCAGGCGCTTTTTAATTGTATTAAGATCCATATGTTCACTGACGATCTCTGAATAATTATTCAATTTAAACATTTTATTAGATAACATTGGTCCTTGGAAAGCCCATCCATATTTATGTTCCCATAACTTTTGTACAACTTCAAATAAAAATTTCAATTGATTAGTATTACGAGTTAATTTTTCGGGTAATGGCACAAAAAGAGATTGTTCATCAACTAATTCATCATTAGAGTCATGTGTGGAACTTTTGTCAGTTTTTGGAACTAATATATCTTCATCACTATCAGCAACATAAACTGGTTCTTTTTTCACTGGAGGTAATATTTCAATATCACTATCAGAGTATTCACATTTTTGATCTCCGATAGTTGTACTTGGTTCAGTTTTAATAACAACTGGGTTTGGTAAAAATTCTTGAATTGAATTACGATATGGGTTTTCCCTTTGATCCATATTTTCAATCTTTACTTTAAAAAGCTGACTTCCTTGACAAATGTTCATATTTTCATTATTATCAGTATTACCACTTTCAGGCTCAGTTTTGATAGATTTTAATTGTTCAATATGAGTAAGCAAAGAATTCAAATTTTGTTGCACAGGTGATGAACTTTTGTGACTAGAAGACCTGGATCTTTCTGATTTTTTTTTGTGTGATTTATGCTTATGATGTTTATGTGATTTATCTTTATGATGCTTTCTATCTTTTTTAGCATCTTTTTCAGTTTCCGAAGGCGGTGACTTATTACTCTGAACTGAACAAGAACTATGTGATGAACTGGAAGATGGTTTTTCTTTGTAACCTTTTTTAGACTTTTCATTTTGTGTTTGTAATGTACTTGTAGATGATTTTTCATGTGATTGTCGTGATTCACTTATAGATAATTTTTTCTCACGTACTTCCTTTAATTTTTCATTTGAAATTTGTGATCTACTAGTAGATGGCACTTCTTCATCTTTTTCACCCTTTTTCTTTTGATGTGATTCAAGTGAAGTACTATTGGTTGATTTTTTCTCATGCATCACATCCGGTTTTGTTTGTTTTTTTGACGTGGATCGAATAACCAATGATTTTTCTTTATCATTTCTATCCATTTTATTTTGATGTCTTTCTAATGAATCGCTTGTAGTTGATCTTACTTTATGCACTTCATCCCTATTTTTTTTAGAGTTATATTGACTATTTGATGATTTATCTTTGCAAACATCTTCTTTTTTGCTTGATGTACCTGTTGATCGATTCATGTGTGGCTCTTTTCCACTCGAATACTTCTCTAAATTGTTCAACTCAGAAGAATCAGACGATTTCGAACGATTTTTGTATTCATTCAAGCCTAACTTTACTTTATTTACATTAAGCCTAGGTTCATTGAGTGTGTTAGTACCTCTATTTTCAAATGTAAGATTTCGCGATTCTGTAGATTGGATCTCAGTAGTTCTCAATTTATTTCGTGGATCTCTTGAATTTCCTTGTCGATTAAAAGGATTTTCAACTCTCTTATCTTCACGCCTTCTCAACGTCTCTGATGCATTCTCTGGGTAACTATTCAAATTAAAACTTTGAGAAAGATTTTCATCAACTTGCTGATTATTTCTGAAATTATTGTTGTAAGGATTTTCCACTCTTGAATCTAAAGGAATAAATGACTCCACTACATTTCTGGAATGATTTTCCGAGTTAAAAGAAGAGTTTCCAACAGTTTGTTGAACTGTATAACGTGCGTTCAATTGATTTTTAAGTTCCAAGTGGCGTTGGTATCTAGCATCTATTTCCATATTTATAAAATTTGCAGGTATTTCTCGATATGTTTTAAAATACGGATTTTGAAAAGAAATTTTATGAAGTTTCCATTCTGAATCTGGAACAATACTCCCAATAAGATTAGGATTATTACAATGTATAGAAAACACTTCTCCATGAGTAACAGTAGTAAACAAGGGTATGTTAGGTTCTTGTGTGGGAATTCTAAAAATATTCACATTATCATTAATAGGTGCGACTTCATTTCGATGGTTATTCATAACTCCAGAATTAAGATTTTCTGATCCAACGTTCATAGTTGGAGCTTCTTTATAAGGTTTTGTTTTACCATCAACTAATGAAGATCTCTCGAGTAGTAGTACGATAATAAATTCATCTGTATTTGATGGTGACTTATCTAACACACAATATCTTATAGGTAAAAAAGGTTCACCTATTTCATCATTGGTGTTTGTCAATTTAGTGAAATATTTCACATAATCTGGTTTAAAACAACCGTAAATAACGAGTCTCCAAACTGTTGGTAATTTTCTGATATCATCATAGATTAATGGATCTGTAATTGAAAAAGCCAATGTAATTGATATTGCTGCACAAATGGTAGTAATCAAATATTCATATTGAAAAACATACATCTTCCATAAACTGAATTCAAATTAAGAATAACAACAGAACTACATGATGTTGTCAATGACAGAGATTTGGAATATACTTTATCTTTGTCACATTCCATGAACGTTGCTTTATTTATGTTATTTAATGATTTTATGGATTCTGCTAATTCCATTCCATGTCTAGAGTCAGTTAATCCAATAACTTTTGCACAGTTTTTCTTCAATTAAAAATTAAAATTTTTGATTATTTATTTTATGACTTAAATTGTTATATATGTTACTACTTACATTGCCCATCATACACCCTAACAATCCTATGGTGGACCCAATATCAATAATTGTTGTGTGACTTTCTGGATCGAGATATTCATGTATTACTTTGCCTAGTATATTAAATTCTACTGCATTAAACTGCATATTTGTTTTATGGTCATATTGGACACATACATTCCCAACTTTATCTAACATTGTAAGCTCTCCACAAAGATTTATAATGGGAAGTGTACTTTTATTCTTTACACCTCTAAAATATAAAGATATGAAAATATGTTTTTTTTTTTTTTTTTTGCAAACTTATCTAGTTAATACCTACTGTTTTAAATCTACGTATGAAATTGAGCAAATCTTTGTGGTTTTAAATAACCTATCTTCACAAAATTTTTTTAACTTAGAAATTATTGGTTTTATATATTGAGCTCCAATTACAACGAGCACTTCACACTTATAATTACTTCGAAGTTTAATCCATTTCCATTCAGGTTTGTTAACGTTTACTGTACTGTTACTTTCAATGGCTGTGTTAGTGAAATCTGTAATTTCCTATTAGAGTTTCAAGAAAAAGATCGTTAGAAACATTATTAATACAACAGTATACAATAAAAATACCTGAACAATTTCTGAAATATACTTGGGAATTTCATATGGTAAACTTTGTTGATTTGGATTTATGAGCGGTATAAAAGAATTTTTTTCACAATCTTTAGTGTGCACATGTCCTGGCACAAAACTACCACATATCACAGCTTGTCTACCTAAAAATGAAATGAAATATTAAAAATGTATACATGTGACTGGTTCAGTCAAAATTTTGAAAAAAAAATTTCAATCATTGTAAGATGATGAAATGTATGTATGAAATATTAAATGTTTACAATCAAATTTCCATGTATTGAACCAAGCTTGATCAATTTTTGGATGTCTAGGCTTATCCATTTTACATAAAGTACTTGAGTGATCGCTTTCCATTAGTTCAATTTGCTCTTTAACTTGGTCATCGCTCCAACAGACTCTATCTCTTACATTATTTATTCGACTTAGTGCAAGTTTTACTTTTACATCCAACTGCAAATTCAAGTAAATGCATTTTAATCTGCAGCAGCTTCATTTGCGTATGATTTTATAATTATTTAGCTGCATTAAATAATTACCTGCTTTTGGTACCATTCAGGAACTGGGCCATCTTCAGGGTATGAGAGAAAATCGTCATAATATATTTCATACTGCTCGGGATTACCATCTGGAATTTCAGTTTTTATATCTGAAATGTTGCCAGCCTCTAACTTGTCAACTTCCTCCAATAATTTTAAAGCTTCTTCCTCAGCATCTTCAGTATCGTTCAACGGCTCGTCAATTACTTCTCGAGGAGGAGATGGAATTGAATAGCCTCCCAACATGGGCTGCTGGGTAAAATCAGATTGACCACGAAACCACTCCGAAGCATAGTTAGATGATGAAGTTCTATTAGAGTTTTGTTGACCAACATGATTGAGCATAGAACTTGATCGTGAACTCTGCTCGCGATTTCTTGAACGATCATCATTCAAATCATTCGAACGTCGTTGCTTTTGTCTCGAAGAATTGGTATAATCAATCGACGGATATCTACGACCCGACCCATTACGATTGCGTCGTTCAGAATCATAATCTGATCGGTATCGATGATCGTTGACATCATCGTAATCCCTCTGACGCTGCGAACGCCGAGAATCATCATCGTAGTCACTACGCGGTTGACGTCCGTCCTCTCGATGGCTTCTGTGAGTACGTCGGTGATTGTCAGCATAGTCCCGTGAACGACGTTCGTTGTTCCAACTCATAATTGTTCACAAGTTATTAATACTGTTGATATTTTATTTCTCGTTGTGTATAGATGAGGAAAAATTTTTGCCAATCTGTCAAAACAAATTTATGATAGATTAAAATTACTTAGCGAATAATTTTGTCAAATATATTTGTAAAAAAATTGAAAGGACTATAAAAACATCTATTTAAACAATAAATACATGCATATAAATGAGTTATATCATATGATAGATAATGATTCAAAAAACGAAATTCACACTATTTATTGTACGTGGAAAAATCAAATTCCCAAAATTTGAGTCCTCTAGATCCCTTTCTCACATATCTTGAACTCTCTCACAATCTTGAAGTTGGGGAGAAATTCATGCATTTCTGCATTTCTACTTCGTTTTTTTAATTATTAACTGTATCAGACGGGTCTTAATCCTTATTCCAATTTTGAGAAATCTTAAAAGTTTCATTCATTACTCAATTTTCTGGCCATTGAGGTTTATCTTGTAGTTTAATCATAGAAAATCATTTGACTACCAAAAAGGACTTGACCATTTCTTTGGAATATAAATGATCATGGTAATCATCTCAAACGAAGTGATCAAATTCTTTGATTTTTTTCTTAAAAACAGTCAAGAAAACCTAGTAATATAATAAGTTTTTTGATTTTGACTGTTTGAAACGATACAAATTTACTTTTGATAAACGGTAATTTGAGAGCAAAGTTTTTTCTACGAATAAAGATAAGGCACGATCAAATAAAATTTCCGGTTTTAAATTTCTATCTAGACGATTGTAATGTATAAGAGAAAATAATGATTATAGCTATTCTTTGGATGTCATTTTTTTCGCTTTACGATTGGTAGATATAATATGCGAGGGCCTACTTTCAGCTCTGTTTTTTTTTCGTTGTAAGATTTGAGATCTGACACCAGTATAACGTTACACGAGCTATTTTATTAATGCAAAATCATTAAATGAGGTTATGGTCTCGAACTGAACGAAATTATCGATATTGAAAATAAAGTGACCGCTAAAAGTGGACTAAAGTGCAAACCATGGACAGGCAAAATTACTGAAGTCCATATTTTACGGTCTTTATTATCACTATGATATGCCTCTCGATTTGATAAGTACACAGGCCAAAAGTTACCTCGTAGTAGTTTAAAGTTTCGCAGTATCAGACCTCAAGTCGTCCGCGTTTAGTTATGCCCTCACATGCAACGTAAAACGCGTTTTTCTCGAAAACACGCAAAGTGGACTTGAGCCGTTTCGCCTTTCCACTACAAATATTTATCACAGGTTCGCTCGGTTTCAAATTATCGCCTTGCAGTACAACAAAAGCAAGAGATTGGTGTCCTCACTTTTTCTAACTTTAGAAAAGTTTTGCAATTTTTCTTTAATGGGAGGTATGTAGAATTTTCATAAAATTCTAATTATCAGTCGGTAAAAAACGAGGCTGCTACATTCACCTTAAAATCGGGTGAGCAGTTTGTCAGCGTTCTGATTGGTTAACAGAGTGGCACTGCGGAATGTTTTAGCTTATTGAGTCTATTCGTCGCATTCCGCGTATTTCGATTGAGTTCTCGATAGAAGACTTATAAACGAGTCGCGAAACAAAACTTATAGTACAAAAGGCGCGCGCCATAAAATGGCTATAATACAGAAAAAATGACGAAACGTATGAACGTTGATATTAAATATCAGTCTCAAAATTGTCAATTGAAGTAAGCATATCACTATGATAATTCACTTACAAAAAAAACAAACAGTGATTCAGATCTAAAATAACATTTTGAGGAGCTGTTCCGAGTACTGTTGAAAAAGCTTGATCGCACAAACTGCATTAGATGTTTTATAACACAAGAACTCAAAAGTAGCAGCAAAGTTGCGATTTTTAGGTAATACCATTCTCAATTTTTCTGATTTAAAAAAAAACTTACGTTGATTAAAGTATAAACTTGTCAGAGCTCCTTAATCCAACACAAAACACCCATTGAATAAACTTTTTCCTTAAAAACTGAGAGTAACAGACCTCTGCTAGTCTATCCAACAGCTACGGCAAACATTTTGGGTTGTCAACTTGAACAATTGAAAAACAACAAATGACTTTTCACGATTAAAATAAACTAACAAATTTAATGTTATAAAAAATGAATAAATATCGAAGAATTAAAATCGAGAGAAAGGTTTCAAGACATAAGATTACCAAAGAAGAAAATCAAAAGCTGCTGTACAGATGCGTTTCGACGGCACGGTCGCGGGCGATGTTAATCCAACGAGACGCTGAGCGAGAATGAACTGGCGCAGAGCACGTTTAGTTACAGGACAAGATCGTTCTGTGTGAGCATGTATACAGACATGGACAACGAAGTAGGTTGGAATATGTGTAGGCTATCGGTATATCAGGGAAGTCAGTATGTCACGTGATTTTTTTACGACGTCTGCTGAACTTGTAAATAGGTACTAAGTATTTATTAAATACGTGTGATATACAAAGTATTTATGGTTAAAGAAATCGAATGTTTGTTTGAAAAATTACCGAGACGTGAGACCAATTTCAACGCACAGAATTTGATTTTTACGTCATCATATAATGCCATAAAAATTTCTCCAATAGTAACAGCTCAAAGTATCTAACATTTTTTAAGTCAACACGTAATTCGATATTAAGATTGTATTGTTCTCTATAGATACATCTTCGAGGTGTTACGTTTACATAAGTAAAAGTTTGATATGGTTATCGAACGAAGTTGGGGCGATATTTTTACCTTCTCGTGTTCTATTGTTTTAGTGTCCCATCCATGTGGTATACACACAACAGGCCGCCCGTACTTCGCTGGTCTTACGTTTTCTGCTCTGTAACAGAATCAAACGTTCAATAAATGTACTATTTATGCGTAACGAATTTTGCATATTGCAAACTGAAAAAGTACCACATAATTAATTATAGAAAATGCATAAATTTATTTCTGTATTATATTATTGAACGAGTTATTTGCGTCTTTTCAAAAAAAGCATATGCGGATAATAGAAGAGCAATTTTAATAAAATATTTTCAGATTTTGATTTTTGCTTATAGCGCAGACATCACCGGCTATCACACACTTTACACAACTTATTACTGAGCACCCGTTTATTGAATTTATTTTTCATGTTTTATTTGAGTAAGATGAGCGAATTCAAAAATTCATTTACAAATATTCTCAAAGAATAGAGTATTAATAGCTATGGGTTGAAACGTACCATGAACTAAAATATAAAGAATTTATAAAATAAATACAATTTTTTGTAAAATTAAGAAATTGTTTTTTCCTGCTTTTAACTTAGTATTTTATTTCATACATTAGATATGTTTCTGTTTTTCTTCCTCATAAAATAATAACTTCACTAACTAACTTTCAGTAACTATTTAAGCAGTACCAATTTTTAAACCATTTTCAAATTTAAGATTGTTTACTGAATTTCTAACTGTAGTTGCTGCCAAAAATTATACTTTTGTCACATGTCTAGACTATTGTGAGTGTTTTAAATACTATTACTTTTTAACGCTATTAGTTTTGAAAAGATTAATTTTTAAAAATACATGCCATGACTTGATCATCTAATTAGTTTTTTAGGCATTGTACATCAAAAACTTAAAAAGTAATGTTAAAATTATTTCCAATATCATTATTAATATCATATTCAGTACAATTTGCAAAACGTGCGAATAATTTTCATTTTATGCTACTGAAATATAAATTGATGCTTTTTTTGTGAACTGAAATGAATAATTTCAAAATATGTAAAGATTATTTGGACAGTGTCGACACAAATACTCAAAACGACAATTACAACACAGCGATAACAGAAAATTTTTTATTTTCTTGTAACTTTGTGCAAGGTTTAGATGAAAAGTACTGAATTTTCGACAAATTAGAATCAACTTGTTAATCGACTTAAAAAGTTTGAAATTTCCAACAGTAATTTTTTGCTATCTGAAGCTTATATTCAAGTTACCTTACTCAATTTTTATTGTTGTTGTTATAAACTATACTCATGAATTTTTTTGCGCAAAATTGATTCTTGAAAAAATTCGTAAAACTTTGTGAATCAAAGTGCTCGTGCGCTTCGAGGAAGTTGATCTCGATTGCTATACTCATAGAAAAAATAAAAGGGGGCATAAAATTAATGAAACAGAATTTTTTTATTTTCATTTTCTCCATATATCTTATTCGCTTGCCTAGCATACATAAATTAAACGTGCATCGCAGAAGGTATACTTGTACAGTCAACAAAAAATCCATTGAAAATGGAACCAAGGTTGAGAAATAAAAGTTCACTTACTTGATCCGATATTCCTTTCATTAGATCTTAGATCAAACGATCGTGTCTTTGACCGAAGTGTAACTTTTAATATCTTCACGAGAAAAATCAGTTTTAATCGCTATATTACTTTTCGAGGAATTAAATGAATAAGTATACTTTATGATCACTCGTAAAAAAAACACGAAACGATGTTTCGTTTCCGTTCAAACCATTATGAAGAAAGCAACTAACATGCTATATACAGATTCATTTGAATATCAAAGTTTCCCGATCAATCACAAAGACCTATAACTTATAAAACGATTTCAAATGTTAGACGGCAAACAAGTGCGAAAAGATCCGCTGCGCCTGCATCACCGCATCCATCGAACTAAAGTGAGCTGCAGGACACGTTTATAGTAGATTGCGCGCAGAGGCCGTTTTATTTGCGCGCCGAGAAGCATGTATATGTATCTCTTGGTTTCTCTCCTTTGCGCGGCGTGCGCTGGGGGCCCCTGCGAGCAAGTATGCGCTTTAGGTCGAATCACGATCGGAGAAGTTGTCGGGCTCTCGCTCGGCGGTCGTTAGTTGGCTTTTCGCGATCGCCGCGACAAGAAGAAGAGAAACGCGCGGAGAGCACGCCGCGCTCTGTGCTCCATGCAACAGTTTGCTCGCGCTCTCCCTCCCCTTTCTTCGCTCGGTATTATTTACATACATACATATGTTGTACGGCAAATCAATGTGTTTCATTGAACGGGCGGGCTCGATTTTCCAATTTCATCTAGTGATTAGGACTCGCATGCGGTTGATAATGTCAATTGACGAGTGATCTAACACAGACGACTCGACACTGTTTTCCTATCCAGTAAGTTCAATAAATCGCCTATACATACACCCATACATGTACAGCTTACATATAGATGTTTATGTGGTTACGTGTGTATGCGGATATACGTGCAAAAGTTTTTAGTGCGCCGGCAACTACACTCACTTGTACTAGGTCGTCGCGCTTAACTACATACATACCTATCGTTATGAGTGTTTGTGCGTTTTTATATGTTTCTCTGTCGTTAGCTCGACGCTCCGTGAGTGCTGCGCATCTGTGTGTATTTTCGAAAGTTTATTTTCGACGGCCACTTCCCCAATAAAGACTGCTCTGTAAGTCGATTGGGAGAGTACTTTGGGGAAAAATCCATCGATAGTTCAAAGAAATAGTCTGCACACTCAGCGCACCAAGTGACATCTCGTCACGTATGGATAGTGCAGATACTTGTAACGAGACGGGTCAACGAGATGATAAGCGTATTCGCTAAACGATGCACCCCCCTGGGTCAGGCAGGCCAGTTTATATTTAGAAGACGCGCGTGAAAATTGTGTGCGCTCCGACACGAGATGCGTTCAACTTTTGTTTTGCGACTTGACGCGTCTCGTGATTCATGTGCGAATAAATCGTGCGCGCCGCAATTGGCTACGCAGTCGTGTGTGTGTGTACTACGCGCAGCATATGACATACATGGAACGTAATTATGCTGCTACAGCAGCAGAAGCAGCTTCGCTTTTATTATGTTTAACACGCGAACCACGTGCTCTCTTTTGTATACTTGATTGTTCGGACCTGCAAGAGCATTTGCAAGAGCACGCGAGATAATGCCTGACGCGCTACAGCCGCGTAGACGCTCGAGTTTTACGTATGCGCAGATATTTACGTATTAGTGAGTATTCAGTAATAGTCACTCGCTAATGAAAATAATAGACTCATTTTTCCGGAAACGATAAGATGAAAAAAATAATAGAAATTATCGTAGAACGTCATTGCTAGAACTGAGCGATGCTGAATTTGACCAAGGCGCAACGGACTCGAAGCGAAATTAGTTCCTCAACGCGTCTAATAGAATAATCGTCTTGTTTGGTTCATAGTATCACTCATACAATTCACGCATAAGCGCGACATTCGTTACACGCGCAGCCAAATCGCATTAAACTGCACAAACAAAGCCTGAAGTCTGCAACCAGATGACATTTTCATGAGATAAGTACGTCTTATCGTTTTGAGCGCGAAAACACATTGCGCCGAGAATCAAAATGCATAAACTCAATTTCCGAGCATGCCGAAGGATCGAACGCAAGAGGATGCTTATCACGCAAAACCGGAGTTTAAGAAATCGTTTCGCAGGAAATTCCATAAATTATGCATACGCGCGATCGACCGGCCATCCGACCGGCCGATGTTTGCACGCCCACGATCGATGGAAATAGATCTTGTTACGCGTATTTGCATTGCGGTACGAGACTCGAGACTCATTTCTCTTTTTCTTTTTCGAGCGTCAGGAAAACAGAAAGAAAAAATAGTCGCCCAAGTCTGAGCCTCGCCAAAGAGCCACATTATGGGATCTCGTTATCTCGCTATTAGCTTGCCACGTGCAGTACTTGTTCAATCATTCTGTCGAATGAATTTTTTTTAGTTACTTTTTTTTTATTCAAGAGCTGCTTATTCGAATGCTCGTGTCTTTTATATATATATATAAATAGAGCCGCGTGTATCGAGTCCCGATGTCAATAGCACCTGATTAGCTTGTGCCACGTTATTATTAGAATATCGCGCGCTTGCCTCGTGCCGCGCCAATACTTGGACCGAATTTGTTTGTTTATTTACTTTTTCGCGCTTTTGAGCGGTAAATATTTGCCGGCAAAGGTGGACACCTAGACTGTAAGTAATGACTATCGACAAAAGCAAATGTATACAAGCTTTATTAAGTAAACTGCGCGCGGCAACGACGGTACTGACCGTCGACAAAATTTACCAACAACGGTGCGTGTACATCGATTCGTAATGTTCATATAATAAGCTCTATTTTTACATTCAATTCAAATTTTCTTTTTATTTTTCGCTGTCTTTAAAGATTAAGTGTATTTTTCGTCTTTGCAACCTGTTTGACTGCAGTATGCCGCTCGAGCATCCGCAGCTGTTCAAATGTACATACGTGCTTATGGAATGAGCTCTCGCAGACGTAATATATTTTTATCGCGAGTGCGGAAAAAATTAATTCCTCTTGCAATTTAATTTTTTCTGATCACATCATCGAATCAAGCCACAATAAACTTATGATACCAAAAATTATATAAATAATATTAATGTTTTTATTTTTTAATTTTTAGACTCTAAATCCTGCAGACTGTCAATCGTGCTGCTAAACATGCCACTACTCATCCGCATATTCTTCATAAATCTCCTGCTCGTAGTCGTTTGTTCGGGGGTCTGCCGGTACAATGATCCAAACATCAACGAATATTTTCAAATTTTCTGCACAAAATCAAAGGGCCACGTCACCAAATTAGTCTGTACGAATCCAGAATCGCCGGAAACATGGTCGAACTTACCAAGGTTAAATGTGACTGGAGTCAAATTGAGTATGGATCGATGCCGTCTGCCAACCGATCTGCAGCTGGCCGATCTATTTCGCAGCATGCAACTCGGAGAAGTAGTGACATTTCAGTTGACCAACTCGTCGACTATCCCTACTAGAACGAATTTTCAAGACTTGATCATCGATACGATCGAATTGGAAAATTGCCCACTGGAGGATTTGCCGAGCGACCTGCTCCACGATACTCAACCTCGTTCTTTTTACCTCGTCAAGACTATGCTGCGTGCTGTGCCTCATAACTTCTTTTCGAATTCGAACACGATTTTTAAGGTTGAAATTGTCAATTCTCGATTGGAAAAGTTGAAAAGAGACGATTTCAAAGGTCTAATTAACGTGCATACGTTACTGCTCTTTGGCAACGTTATCGACGAAATAGAAGCTGGTACTTTCGATACTCTCCTTAATCTGAAAAGTCTTGATCTTTCTCGAAATAGATTGAAGACCCTACCAGGTGGTCTCTTTCAAAATATCCCAGCTCTCGAGATTATCAATATCGGTGCGAATCAATTTGATGAATTGCCTGGCGATTTGTTTAGGAAAAATGATAGTCGGCTACGAAAGTTTCGAATGAGCTTAAATGAAGGAACACTTAAATCTCTACCGGCGGGCCTATTCAGAGATTTAAGGCATATCCAGCAAGTCGAGGCATTATCCAACAGGTTTGAATCAATACCAGCTGATGTTTTCTCCGATTCGACTATGCAATCGCTCAATATCAGTGAAAATCACCTTACCGAACTACCAGCGACATTATTTAGTGGGAATTACCAATTGAAAGAGGTATGGATTATGGCAAATAATTTAACTGCTTTGCCGGATGGTTTGTTTGATGATACAATCTTGGAAGTCTTGCAACTGAGTAACAATCTACTGACCAACATTACCAGGTAAAATTAATATTAATCAATACATCGATGTCGTATTAATCGCTTCATTTGTTTCACAGTGGTGCTATGAGAGGTTTGAGTGCTTTGAAAAGACTTTATTTATCATCGAATCGTCTAAGATACATCGATCCTAACATTTGCAATGAATATCAGAATCATCTCGAACAAGTTGAGGTGGTCGATGTGTCGCGCAATCAATTAACTTTGGAGCGTATGACCGGCACGGCCTTGGATTACGTCTTTCAAAATTGTATCTCGATCAGGGAACTCTATGCTAGTAACAATAATGTGCCCAGATTGTTTCACGAGTGGCTGACAAATACTAATTTACAACGAATCGATTTCGAGGGAAATAACATCACTCATTTATCAGTAAGTCTTATGATAAAAGTAGTATATCAAAGCGTTTGTTAAAAATGTTAATTTTTTTTCAGACACAGGATCTAAATTTATTGAATCACGAAGCGTGGTTGAATCTAAAACGCAATCCAATTAAAAGTATTGAGTTGGATGATATCGAAGAAGTGGCTACAGATTATGTCAAAAATAACCATAAACCTAAATCTATAGTGATTGAAGTTTCACAGTATCCATTGAATTGTGATTGTCGCGTTTTAGAGTTTGTACGTTACTCCAAGGGGTTGCTCAATAGAGCAGCACGAAAATTTGTTAGCTTCAATCAAATAGAAGAAATCAAATGTTCGAGCCCGCCTCATTTAGCGAATATATCGTTATTGAACATCGATATGAACGAACTAAAGTGTCCATACGAACCGGAGATCAGATACGATGTTTGTGGCGATATTTGCACTTGTTGGGATTATCCAAACAGAAATGCTTACGCTGTAAACTGTTCTTCAAAAAAGATCGAAGAAATTCCGTTTGGCATTAACCACGTAAAGGGCAAGCTCATCACGTGTGCGAGTCCACCTCGTTTAGCGAATATATCATTATCAAATATCGATCCAAACAACTTTATGTGTCCATTTCAACCCGAGATCAGATTCGATGTTTGTAAAGATTTTTGCTCTTGTTGGCACTATCCAAACAAAAATGCTATCGTCATAGACTGTTCTTCGAAAAATTTGGAGGAATTTCCATTCGGCATTAATTACGTGAAAGACAAGGACATCGAGCTGAATCTTAGCCATAACAAATTCAATCAAGTTGATAAATCCTCATTCACTCGCCTTCTTCCGTCTAATGTTGTTTCGATCGACATGTCGTCCAATAACATTTCTCGTTTCGATATTGACTTCAGCAATGTAAAAAATATTAAGCTGCTTAAACTTCATCGAAACAACTTGACTCATTTGAGCTCAAACGTTTTATTAAAATTACAAAATCAGTCATTAAAGAATATAACTCTGCACGAAAATCCCTGGGCATGTAATTGTGATACGCTAGAATTTCTCGAATATATACAAACAAATTTTATTGAATTCCACCTGCAGGAAGTCAGATGTGCTTCCACTGGACTAAACTTTACATCTTTGACTGCTAACAATCTTTGCGCCAATCATGTAAATTTAATCATAGGAGGAAGCCTCAGCATGGCAATTCTGGGAGTCATTTTTGGATACTCAATAGCATTGTACTTCAAATACAATAAGGAGATAAAAATTTGGTTGTACTCGAAACGGTTCTTTCGATGGTTCATTACAGAAGACGATCTGGATAAGGATAGGAAGTACGACGTATTCATCAGTTTTGCGAATGAAGACCACATGTTTGTCGCGACTGAACTAGTACCCAGACTAGAAAGCGGTGCTAACCCTTATAAGCTGTGTTTGCATTACCGCGATTGGCGTTGTGGCGAATTAATACAAAAACAAATCGTCGAATCAGTCGAAGAGTCGCGAAGAACTATAATAGTTTTGTCAACGAACTTCATAAATAGTCAATGGAGTAAAGAGGAATTTCGAACTGCTCATTTTTTTGATATGCTAGAAAAGAGAATTCGTCTCATAATTATAATATACGGTACTATTAAAATAGAAGAGATTACTGATACTACAATTAAAGCCTATCTCTCGACCAATACCTATATAAAATGGGGTGACCCATGGTTTTGGGAAAAACTATACTATGCTCTGCCCCATAAAGACGAATTACCAGGACAATCTGGAACGAACTCAAAAATTAATGAATTGGTGCTGCAGTCAATAATGGAACATAAGAACTTCGCGGCCGTTAATAATAAAGATTCTCCGGTTAAGAATTTGGATACTTCGGTAGCTGTCGACACGGATTCTACGGCAACAGATGCAAAGAAGTTGCTCGACGCTCCGGACTCCGATTACGAGGCTAGATCAACGACAACAATTTGTTAAGACTGAGGTGAGCAAAAAAACATTGAAAAACATTTACTTGCGCCTGCAATAATGACACTAGACACGCAGCTACGAAGGTGGATCAGTATGTTTCTTCGCGTCGCATGATCTTGCTATTCGTTTCATGCGCGTCCCCTCCGCCATCGCGTTATATTCATTGATCATTATGGCATTTTTAGTGCGCGAGTTCGTGCCGGCCACGTCGCTGTCTGTTCCTTTTTCTTTCATATTCAATTTCTCTTTCTTTGCAGCATCTTTCGGTGGCGTTGCAAAAATTGCAAATAACGCGTGTCGCAAGTACTTTTTAGTATAGAAAAAAAACAAAAGAAAAGTTACAAATAAGCGATATGAGTGAGTGATTATTAAACAACATAAACTGGAAATCCCTGTGTGTTGGGTTATTTTGGTTTGTGTTGTGCATAAATTGTTTGCTCACATTTATATCACATACATACATACATGCATATGTGTGTATATACATAGATATAGATGTATGTGTAGTGAATGCATACCTACATATATGTTAATGTATGTCAGCTACCATCGGGCTATGAAGTTGTCCTGACGAAATTTAATCAATCACATATTTTATTCGTTTAAAGTGAGTAAATTTTTTGAGTTAATGATTGTATTCTTTGAGTCCTATGCATAATGATTCATGCGCAGTCGATCTGCGGTAGACTGATAATAACCGTGATGATTCGTAACGCGCCAATTTTTATAACTTTATCGTTGATAAATTGTAGCAGCAAAACTCATTGTTATTTGTAATTGAGCCTTGTTCGCCATTCTTCGATCAAAAGCTCGCGGGCGAAAAATTACATTTAAGTTGAAAAATTGAAGTATTCGCTTTATTATTGTTGTTATTATTATTATTATTATTGTTAATTATTATAATTATTATTATTATAATTTCTTTTTTTTTTTAAATGACAACTTTATAAATTCATAACGAGTATATACACTCTGGGAATCTTAAGTAGTAATCGAAAAAAGACAAAATTATTGTTAAGAAATATTTATTAGAAATCAAAAAAAATAAAAATGTTGGCTAAGTATATAAACAATTTTAAACGGCTCGAAGAACCGGCATTAATTAACTGACAGAAACTGAGAACAAAATAAGACGTAAAAGTAAATACGATTAACAATTATCGTTTAGCAGTGTTCATTATCTAATCGGAAAATAAATACATGCGAGATATTTTTTATTCGACGGAGAGAGAGAGAGAGAGAGAGTGAGAGAGAACACGCACACCGGCATGTAAGAGTGTGTAGTCTTTACGATGTAAGAAGTAGGCATGTAGCTCCGAATCGTGAGAGCACAAAAAGCGAGGGTATAAATATATATATATTCGGCCTTGTACATCTCGAAAAAGCTTGTTTATAGGCGTCCTTCATTGATCCAAAATATAACAGATCCGAGAGTCTGGCGAAAAATTTGCCTCAGATAATGGAACGACCGCTCGAAAATTTTTTATAAATGAAATTAGAACATCGAAAAGTAGCCAAAAAATTCGAGTTGAATAATTTGAATGTGTAATCACGAGCGCTCGTTATCGAAATAGCGTCGCGTTGACGGAGGCCTTGTCGAGTCAATGACATCGCTTGTACGATGCCCAGATGTGCAGATCTTTTTCCTTGTCTCGCGTTCGGCACTTTATTCCATCTGCTTGTGCACAATTCTCACGAGTTTCTATTTTTGATTCGCAGGTGGATCCTGTGATGCACCACGATGTCAAGCCAACATCATAGACATCATTTCTTCATTTTTTCCCTGTGGAGTGTCGTTCTCGTCGCATGCTTTACCAGTGGCGTCGATGGATTCTGCAAGGAAACAGTAGAGACTACCGACTTCAAAGTTTCTTGCGAAAAAAAGTACAGTAACCAGTTCTCCCTCATAGTCGACTGTTTGAACAATGATCCCGCAGCGTGGCAACGATTGACCAAAAATCAATGGAATATCACTCACACCAAATTATTTTTACGCGGTTGCTACATACCAGAATCCCTGAATATATACGACCTCGCTAACTCCATGGGGATTGAAAATGTGATCATACTCATTTTAAAAGACGTTAAATCGGTGCTACATAGTAGCATGTTTAAAAATCTGCCAACTCCTAGGATAGAGTTGACCGACAGTGACTTTACCAAATTGCCAAGTGATTTGTTGTACTACTCGAAACCTCAGCATTTTCTCATCACACAGACGCAGCTCAAAGAGGTGCCTCGCAACTTTTTTATTCTAAATCCTGAAATACAGGTCGTTGAGATTTCAGAAAATTTTCAATTAACTCGGTTGAAGAAGCAGGACTTCATAGGATTGGAAAATGCCACGGATTTGCTGCTGTGGAGCAATAACATCGAGACTATTGAACCAGGCACATTCGACCATATGATAAACCTTCAAACGCTTGAACTGATGAATAATTCATTAAGAATTTTACCCCCTGGTATGCTCAAATATGCTGTAAATCTACAGGTTCTTAATCTCAGCATTAATAAAATTGATGAACTGGAGGCCGACCTGTTGCACTCAGCTAATAAAACGATGCAACGATTTCGTATGAATCACAATGAAGGAGCTCTTACGTCTATACCTGAAGGTTTTTTTCAGAATTTAACAAAACTTTGGTATGTCGAAATGGTGGGGAGTGGATTGACTAGTATACCTGCAAGTTCGTTTGAAAATACCTATGGCTTACAGTCGCTCAATATCAGTAATAATAGCATAGGTGAACTGTCAGATGGTCTGTTCAAACGTAATAACGCCTTGGTTGAATTGTGGGTTGCCAAAAATAACTTGACTACCTTACCTGATGGTTTGTTTAGCGATTCAAATCTAGAGCGAATTTACTTGGATGACAATTACTTGACTGAACTAACCGAGTGAGTAAAAAATATTAATTAACCATGGAATTCAATCAAACAATTCTTAATTTTGATTTTGTTTTATTAGGGGTATGCTGATGGGATTGGAAAATTTAAAGGTATTAGACGTTTCCAACAACTTCCTCAAGTTTATTTACTATGATGCTTACAAACTATTGAAAAAAATCGAATATATAGACGTGTCATATAATCAACTTACATTGGAATCGACGCGTTATGACGGCATTTCTGTACTGTTTAACTTGGTGCATCTAAAAAGTCTTGATGCAAAGTATAATAACATTACTCAAGTGTTTGATCATTGGACACAGCTGTCACATCTCGAAAACGTAGATCTCGAAGGAAATCTAATTCAAAAAATTACGGTATTTATTTATAGTCAATAGTAATATAAATACAATACGCGTTGAAAAAATTGATTCATAATAATATTTTTACTTTAGGAGAGAAATTTGAGATTTTTGAATAACAGGACTACTTTGAATTTAAGAAAAAATCAGATTACCACAATCGACATAAGCGGGTTAAATACTGAAAACTACAGAGGATCAAAAGTTTACGCAACTGAAAATCCGCTTGTTTGTGACTGTCATCTTCTTGAATTGATAAAATACACACAGAAGAATCTTACCCAAGATATTTATGATTACGTAAATTTTGTAGCCATAGATACCGTAAAATGCACGTCTCCAGCCCATCTGAAAGGTAAAACCTTAAAAGAGGTGCATTGGCCTGATTTGAGATGTGAGATAAAATTGGAGAACAGTGTTTGCAATGGCACTTGTACTTGCTGGGAATATTCTGGAAGACAAGTTGTAGCTGTAGATTGTACATCAAGGAGTTTTCATACTTTTCCTGAAACAATCAAAAATCTGGAAGGAAAATTCATTGAAGTTTATATGACTTACAACAGTCTCACGGAAATACCTCCTGTCAATCTTCTGCCTCAAAATATCTCAGTACTTGATTTATCTTTCAATAATATTTCTATTTTAAGTGAAGAAATTTTCATGATCGACAGTTTGCAACAGCTCAAATTGCATAATAATAGGTTGACTCGTTTAGATAATAATGTACTTTCGCGATTGCAAGATCATAAAAGTTTAACAAGCCTCTCTCTTCATAGCAATCCTTGGCTGTGTGATTGTAATACAAGAGACTTTTTAAGTTTTGTGCAAAAAAATTTAGTTCAACTGGAGCTTCATGGCATTAGCTGTGCCGAAACAGGAGAAAATTTTTCAACGGTAACTGCTAATGAGATATGTTCCAATGCATCAACTATCACCTTGACAGTTTGTGCAGTAGTCGTCGTATTTGCCGTTTTGGCTGCTTGGATTACCGCCATGTGTATCAAATACAAAAAACATGTAAAAATCTGGTTGTATTCGAAACAGTTATGCCTTAGATTTGTCACAGAAGAAGAGTTGGATAAAGATAAACAATACGATGCTTTTATCAGTTACTCTCACTTGGATGAGGATTTCGTTTTGAAGGACCTAGTACCTGAACTCGAAAGTGGCTCCAAACCGTACCAGCTGTGCTTACACTACAGAGATTGGGTTATTGGTGAGTAGAAATTAAAACAAAAAATAATAATAATAATGAAATTGTAATAATCTGAGAAATATAAATGACCAAATATTTTATTTTCAAGGTGAATGGATTCCAGCTCAAATAGCACATTCTGTCGAAGAGTCACGTAGAACAATTATTGTGCTATCTCCAAATTTTTTGGAAAGTGTGTGGGGAAAAATCGAATTTCAAACAGCTCATCGCCAGGTAAAAATTTTACACTCATTTTTTATCAATAAAAAAATTATCTCGTTAATTTTTTTAGGCATTAAATGAAGGCAGAGCACGAGTAATTGTCATTTTATATGGAGACGTGGGAAATATACAAAATCTCGATCCTGACTTGAAAGCTTATTTATCAATGAACACTTACATCAAGTGGGGAGATCCTTGGTTTTGGGATAGATTGAGATATGCTTTACCTCATAGACGCGAACTTTCTAGAACTCTGAAGCGTACATCTAATGCTCAAATCATTGGTAATTATTTATCGACTCTTCAAGAAAGTGATAACGCCGCAAATTCAAATTCAGAGTCTGATAGCAAGTGCGTGGAAGTGGCGCCAATTCAAGAAGCAGAAACACTTTTAAATGTAAGACACAAAGATGCCCTAATGGCATGAAGGTGAATTTGAAATTTTTTAAATTTGACTAATAACGTTAAAATCTAAAAAGCTTTATGTAAAGTGAAAATTGTCTGAATGGCTTAATCAAGCCAAAATATACTGCTACGAACAAAATTAACAAAGTAAGATTTTACTTTAAATGAAACAGTGCCGTATTTCTGCATTTTTTTGTTAATAGATATTACAACAAAGCTAAAATTTTGATGTAAGAATAAATGTTATTTCATTGTTTTAATTTTGTAAATTGTGGTTACTTCTAAGTGTAAATATAATTTATTAACAAAATGAAATTAAAAACAGAACGTCGATGTGAATGAATTTCAAAGAAAATTATGAATAGATTGTGTGCTCATTTATCATAATTTTTTACAGATAATTTATGGTTGAAAAACTATATTTATATTTTTACTATAAAAATATAAATCTATTTTCAAGTATAAAAATGTATTATAAAATGTAATCAGATGAATGTAAGAATGTGATTTTTAATGGGTCAATGAAAATGAAGATCATCAAGACATTGTAGCTACAAGCGAATTTCAACTTGTACTGAGATTAAAAAAAAAATGTGCTTAAGACTAAAAATAAGTTTTACTGACAATAAATTGTAAATATATAAAAATGTAAATAGTTTAAGTAAGAAATAGTGATCAAATAAATGTGGAGATTTTATAAAAGATAATTCCGATTGTTAAAAGGAACAAGATGATACTGTGATACAGTAGAAAATCTTTGCGTTTTTATAATGTACTAAGTCAGCTCTATAAGTTTTTTGCATTTGTTTTAAGAGACTTAGAGAATTATTGCAGACAGATGAGTGTAATGTCTAACTAATTCAAGAAATACTTGTGTATAAAATGAAGGTGGTTTTTTCACCTATTTTTATTGAAATAAATGTATTTTTTTCAAGCTTTATGCAGAAATATTTTATTTTCAAGGTGAATGAATTCCATCTCAAATTCTATTAATAATCTAAATTGAACTTTTAAAGTTAAGTTTAAATTAGAGTTGTCTGATTTACAATGATGACTTCCCACTGCTTTTCACAAACTTTTTACAAATGCATAGAATATTTTATTTATGCTAAATAACAATGGATGTTATCTAAGCTTTTTAAAACATTTTCATACTTTCAAACATTTTAAATTACGATAAAAAATATTTATTTCAGGAAAATGTAATTATTATGTACAAGTTTTCTCGGTTACATGTCTAATGTATTTGCACCATTGAAGACTTTAATAACAGTTGTACTTACAATGAAAAAACTTTTCTTTTGCAAAGGTTACTGGAAGGAAAAACATTTTGACTTGCATAACTAAAAGACCTAACTTTTCCATGCTTGCAATCTATTCAAGCTCGTTGCCTCGGCGAACAATCTATGAGACAGATAGTGGCAGGCCATCTAATGGCAAAGTGCTTCCTCCTGATTTTAAATATTAAAGCTAATGAAAATTTAGCTCATATTTAGGAATCAAAATTATAACAAACCGTATTATTTTATTAGTCAATAAACTCTCACAAACAAAAACCTAATTTTCAAAACTATATAAAATCGTAACTTTTTAATGCCTCCATGAACCCTTCAATAAGTTTTTGATGTTTCATACAACACACAAAACCTTTAATAAAAGCCAAACCGCATCTAAATACGTGCCTTCATTCAAAAGTTATAAATTCCATACGCTAAAAACAAAAAAATGTAATTTCTTGAATAAGTTTTTGACGCTTCTTGCGATTTACAAATCCTTCAAAACAAATCATACCGCGTCTAAATACGATAATACGTGCCTACATTTCAAAGTTACACTGGTTTCAAACCACCGGACGTACAACCACATACATATAGACATTTTTTGGAAATTCAACGTAGCTTCCAAGTATGTGAACCAAATTGTTCTACAACTTCATTTTGACGCTTATCACAAAGCTTCCTCTATGAGAAAACAAAATATTTTGTATCATTAGCGAATAATTTAAAAGATGATGAATACACCTTTTAATTGCATTATTTTACGTTAAAAATAATTTTTGCAATGTCTATTCGACTAAATGAGATACTTAAATTACGTTTGTTTCAAATTTTTTGGCAATATATTTTTACTAATAATACCTGAATTCATCTTATTTTGAATTTTTTAAAAACCTGAATCATATTTTATATACAAAGTAAAATTTTCATCGTTTTAAGATTGTTTTTTTAAATAAATATCAAGTTAAAAATTTACAGCAGATTTTGTTCAATTTTTCATTGAGAAGTTTGAAAAATGCGCCATTCATCAGTTGCGCTAACGAGCATTATAAGTTACCAAATTCACTGCGTTCGCTTCAGCATGTGAAGCGAACATAGCCTAGATTTCTTTCTTCGTGTGCTCTCCAGCCGCATGTTGAGTTCTCTTAAACTTCTCTACTCACTGTAGTAAAACTAAAATCAAAATGGTATGTAGCGTTAATCCAATAAACTTTCAACAATCCTCTGCAAAATGGAGCAACGTTTATTCGACATAACCAATTTAAACATTCAATTTTGTTTAACTGAAAATATTTTCTTTTTATTCAATAACTTCTCTATGAAAATATGTACTGGTTAAAAGTGATTTCACATGTTGCCGCTAATTCAACGCAGGATTTAATTTAATTGTTTTTAAAAAGTGGTTCTTGAAATGTCAAAGCCTTAGAATTATGTTTACTAAGTTGTTGAATGTTGACTCCAGTTCATACTATAATTTAAGGAAATTATTAACTTATCAAATATATCCCTCTAGTGAACATAACCTCTAATGTAATACAATTGTATATATTTTCACAGGCCGAGTGCACAATTAGAACTCGCAAGTTCATGACCAACAGACTGCTCTGCCGCAAGCAGATGGTAAGTTTGAGCTTTATTTATATCAATTTGATTCATATCATTCTTACAATTGATATTTATATGATTATGTAGGTTGTCGATGTCCTCCATGCAGGACAACCTTCAGTGAGAAAAACTGAAATCCGCGAGAAACTCGCGAAGATGTATAAGGTGACACCCGACGTGGTGTTTGTATTTGGTTTTGCCACAAACTTCGGTGGTGGCAAATCCACAGGATTTGCTCTCGTCTATGATACCTTAGACTATGCCAAGAAATTCGAGCCTAAATACAGGCTACAGCGACATGGTCTGTATGAGAAACAGAAGCAGACCAGAAAGCAGAGGAAGGAAAGGAAGAATAGGATGAAGAAGGTCAGAGGAACCAAAAAGAGCAAAGTAGGAGCTGCTTCAAAGAAGGTACATCATATTTGTAATATTTCTCTATTGCACCTAAACTTGATTATGCATCTCTTTTGGTTATGGTCTTATTTTATTAAATTATTATTAATGGATTTTATATAGTTATCATTTTCATTTAAATAATTCTTTTACTTATAACTTGAACGCAAATCTTAGTATAAATGTCTAATGCACAAAATATATTTGAAGTTCAAATGAATGTCATGATACATGATTGCCTAGGTCTTATTTCTATATAAGTTACGCTTTTCTATCAATATTTCTAGGGAAAGAAGTAATATTCTCTATCTATCTACATTCATTCTTCTTTCAACAAAGGATGGTCATCTTCATTTGTGTTGATTCGTCATCAGCATGTCACTTTTTATTTCACTTTTATATTTAAATTCATAGTGCTTGATACAACTACGATATTTCTTCATTTAGTTTGTTAAATGATTTAGTGTATTCATTATCCATTATATTCTTTAAGGTTTTAATTTCAAAAATATTAATGTAAATTGGTGTTGGTAAATGTCATTATAATTTTAATATGGCTTGAATTTATATAATTTTTAATTACCATAAATCCATCAATCCATTTATTTCAAAAATCATCATTGTTACTGTATTATTTGTCTTCGATAGTGCAAAATTAATTTTTTTTTTTCTAATTATTGTGAATGGTAATGGTTTTAGGTATTTCATTATGTTCATCACATTCTTCATGCTTATCTATCTGAAAACTTCACATTTCCAAAATTTAAAAAATAAATTTGTATTAATTTAATAAATTCTTTTATTTCAGTAAATCCTACTCTCAGATTGAGACATGAAGCTGGTGAATTACGCACGTATTTGTATTATTATCTTTTAATAAATTTCATGTCTTAACGACAACATTTAAATGTACTTATTAAAACCCTTTCACACTTGAACATTTTTTTAGCAAATAGTTATTCTTTAATTTACGAATTACCAAATTACGAGAACTTGAATTTTGAACTCTTAATTTAAAATGTTAATAAAATATAAGATGCCTAAATTATTTATTATTGTGCTTATTCGGAAGTTGTGACTTGAGTTGATGTGTTCGCAACTATTACATTATCATTTGCAATGTCATTACGTTCATTCGTCTCTGTATCGATCTCTTTGATCGTTGAAGTTACCATCTCTTTGGTGGCAATTTCAAGTGATGTAGAAGAATGACTTGTTGCGTAAGAATTGACTTCTACAGGTTTTCTCGTTGAAATACCCCACAAAGTCATATCATCGTCGCTTATTAGATCGTCCCAATTAATCCATTCTTCGAGATTTTTGCGTGACGATTCCTCTCCTGGCTCGAACTTGCGGATCAGATACCAATTGCCGAGGCGAAAGCCCCAATCTTTGCTCGGGTCAAATTTTACGTTGGCTGATAAGAGATAATGAGAATGAGTACAAGAGGCCGCAAACTTTAGTTCATGGATTTTATACTCTTATTTCATACTATACATAATACTCACAAAGATCAATAGATATACTTCCTGGGCGCATCATTTTCATCATGCGCTCCACCATATCGTTGGCCATTCCTGATTTTAGTGGATTTGAATTCAGATCCAATCCCATGCCCATCACGCCTGCTCCAGAATTCATCGAATCCTTGATGAGCATTTTACCTCTCATGTTTTTAAACAAATCTCGAACGCCATCGCCGATTGGTAAGTTTCGGTTTTCTAAATTTTTGATAAATCCAGAATTACTCACTGCTCTAATCCAAAAGGGCGAATTAACGTTCGGACGTAGAATCAAACCTGTGTGTGGAAAGTCTGGAGTAGGGCTGCAATGGAAGACGTTGAAAGAAAACGCGAGCAATAGAAACGCTAGCCGAAACATCTTGACGACGACTGGCAGGTATGCATTCGTTATTTTTTAAATTTGCTACCTAATTGTATCGCATGTTACAACGTATGCACTGAATCAGTCTTACGTGATATTTTTTTGAAGTAATGATGTCTTGGAAAATCAGCTAAATTCCTAGCACGTGCGATGTTCTGCATCGAATTTGGAGTCGTTCAAAATTTATTGCCCAATAAAGCGACACACATCCTTAAATTAAATTGACTATGAATTTCAAAGGATTCGATGAAGTTGAAACTGCATCGATGAGGATTTTCGAAACCTTAAAATATAGTTGTGTTATGAGAAGTATTTGTCTATCTATAAAAAAGCTTCTCATTGAATCGACGAACAAAAAGCAAGTTGCACATTAAATAATCGATTCATCAATTACGAAGTTTGAAAAATTTGACACTTATTGGTCACACATATATTTAAAAGTACTGGCCTGACACTGTCTGTCTCATAGACTGTTCGCCGAGGCAACGAGCTTGAATAGATTGCCAGCATGGAAAAGTAAGGTCTTTGGGTTACGCAAATCGAAATGTTTTTTGTAACATTAATCTACAATGAAAAAATGTAGAAGATGTGCAAAGGCCACGGTAAATCCGAAGACAAGAAACAGCACCATTGGCGAAATTGAATGAAAATAATGGCAAGCATTTAGCGTAGGTGAGTTGGCGCGGTTTGTCGATTTTCCACCTCTTATACATCATAAGCTATGCTATCAGCCTCTTTAAATAGCTTTTGTCTCTCATCTTTGTGAGGCTGTTCACCCACTGCCGTGATCAGGCGTGAGCCGCTGTAATAGACGTTGTACGTCATTTTTGTATGACTATATACAATACACATGAAGGCACAGCGCTGTCTACCGAATACATAGGTGTAAGTGCCAAGGATTCCACCACCGACATCGTTCGTTTCTCACATCTTGCCAGCTCAATCGATAGCCTCTGGCATTATTTTCCCGATAAAATTCGACGTTACGTCCATATTTGGGCTGATAGCAGTATAGAGCTCAAGTGACATCTACTACGCTGCGTTTTATCTCGGCAAAGTGCTCGGACTTCGGATTCGACCTGCCGGTGTGCGTATCCTGCCTCGCGGGGGGAGCAAATATATTTCCCTGAAGATAAAACGCGCATCTATATAGTGGTCCGAGGTAGTTGGATGGATTTGTTCATCTTCTCAGTCGACGCGCTCTCCATCATGTATATATCGCACTTATAGCATGTACTTTCACGGGTAGCTGTCCGACAAATATATGAGCTCCGCGCGAACGCCACGCCGTTGTAGCAATGCAGACTGCTCCATTGGCTTTCCAAGTCGCACAAAATGGACTCTTCCATCGCGTCTCTTATTCGGAGCGTTCCGTATGATTTAAATACCTTTTAGAATAACTGGAAAGTCAAAGATGGACCGTTAAATCTTAACGTTGTACTGATATCATTAGCCTAGCCCATACTTCCATATTTTTCTCAACATGTTGGAGTCTTTAAAAACTTTATTCAAGTCCAATTCTCATAATTCCTTCATACGTACTCCGAACGTTACTCCAGTAAAATTGCTATAATTACTACAAATTAATCCTATCCTTGACTGGATTTAATCCAAGCATAATGTCATCGTCATAGTCAAGTTTCAAATACTTCTCAGTATATAAAAATCAAAGATTTAATTAATTTCTAAATTAAATTCAATTCGATATATTTGCCAAAAGTTATGATTAAGCCCCAACGAAAAATTATTTATGGACCTTGAAATCATCATAGAGAATTGAATTAATTTTTGAAACTTTTCATCCTTCTCGATGCTCCGTAAATGTTCTGCGTGAGAAGTGGTTCATAAAGCCACTCCTGCAGACTTACACCAATAAAATTTCATGATGTATGCATGTGTAAAAATTGAAGGCCTCTTAATGAAGATTCTGCAGCATAGCCAAGCATAAGGGAGTTGATTTAGTTTCCTTTTGAGGTAAGCCAAGAGTCCATAAGTGAATTTAAAGAAATTCCAACAACGTGCGTGACAGTTATAAAATTCGCTAGTTCACTCCGCCATGTTGAGAGTGAGAAAACAACTCGACTTGAGTCTGTGAGCTCAGAAAGTAATAAAGTTCATTAGGCAGTCTGTCAGGCCCGTTGTCCAACGAGCGACTTGCACACTCCACGCGCAAGTACGTCAATATTATTCCAATAGTCCGATAAGGCCAATATATTCCGTGAAAACTGAAATTGGTCTCGTTAGTATTGGATTCAGTAAGATGCGAATTCAGTCTTTCTCGATGTTTCATTGACACGAAGCGCAGGCCCTCGTCACACAATTGAGAACTAAACGATACCCATGCGCCCCCTGGTGGATCGGTGGGGAATTGAGGCAGATGAGTAAATTTTAAAAAATAACATGTAAAAATGGGAAAAACTGTAAATAAAAAATGCTAGCGATAACAATGTTGATGTTTATCATTCTTAAAACGAAGATCAGACCCTCACATAATATTAGAAACAATAAAATTCTTGAAAAGTTTGATCTGCGTGTCTTAAATAGTAAAATGAATGTAGCAAAATTTCGCGGGAGTTGCCGCCGCCACCGCAAGTTGATTGATATTTGCGATTCTTTTGTTTTTTATTTATCCATTATTCTGCTACGTTGTGTTCATGCTCATCGTATCATAAATATATTATTGATATATAAGCTAAAGATGAGTAATATAGAATTAGAAATAAGTGTTGAAGATATTTATACGATATTAGGGGATTCAAAGCGGCCTATAGTCGAAGGTATAGCCGTTTTATTGGCCGATCACATTTTATTGTGCGGTTGCACGTTACGTGATACTAATAAAGCTTCTATATTATCATACGTCTTGTCATCGTCAAAGATTAATGATGATCCTTATAAAGTGGAAATTGAGGTATTGATTGATTCGAATAAAAAAACTATAAAATGTGATTGTGATTGTGTCGCTGGCGAGAGCGGCAAATGTAAACATACTTTTGCGACTCTTTTATTCGTAAATAGGTAAGTCTAAATTTTTAATCAAAGATAAAAACATATATTTATTGTTATTTAAAATTTCACAGACAAGGGATCTTCAATTTAGAACAAATTAGCTGCACCGATACCCCACAGAAATGGGGTAAAGTGAAAAAAAATTTAAGTCTTCCATATCAAAATGTCATACCGATCGACAAATATTGTCATTTTGAAAAAGCCGATGCATACGTTGATTATGGCATGGTCGACGAAGAAACAAATAATTTATTTTTCCACAAACTCATTGATAGTGAGTGAAAGTCAAAAAAATCTTTAATAAATAATATAAATAATAAATATAATAATTTTGAATAAAACTATATTTGTTTATTTATAAATTGACGTTCCAGGTAATCCTGATAGTGAAGCTGCCATTCATTTTTCTCGACAAAGGAGAACAAAAAAAAATGTTAAAACGATACCATACAGTCAAGAGTACATTCTCAACTTATCTCTAGTTCATAGTTTGCTGCAGAGGGATGAAAATTTAAAATTTGAATCAGTAGATGTATGTAATAATTATAGTAATTTCTATGAAAAACATGTGCAAATTTCCCACTGCGAGTCAGTTGAGTTATTTATGAAGACTTTGGGCCAAATGAATGATTTATGGAAAAAGGCACGAAAATTAAGAATTACCGGCAGCATATGCTATGAGATTTATACTTACAGTGATAATAAAAAAGCTGATTGGAAGAAGAAATACAAAAATGTATTTTTATCTGATTTTGAAGGAAACGCAAGTACAAATCATGGTATAATCAATGAAGATAATGCGTTAAAAAAATATGAGCAGGTTTTTAAAGTAAAAATAGAAAAAACTGGACTCCTAGTACGCCCATCCTGCGCATGGATGGGATACAGTGCTGATGGTGTGGTCTGGACTTCTAAAGTTTTAATTGAAGTAAAGTGTCCTGTCGATGGAAAAGATAAGACAATTTCAGAAATTTTATCCAAGTTATCTTATCTTGAACTTGTCAATGGAGTGTACATATTCAAAGAAAAACACAAGTATTATGCTCAAGTTCAACTTGGAATGATGCTTCTTGGATTTGAAAAATGTCACTTCATCATCTATTCTTCTTTTGATGATTCTTTTGTTGTTTTTGAAGTTTCTTACAATTCAAAATTTTCTGAAAATATGTTTAATGTTTTAAAATGTACTTATTTTAATCATATTTTACCATGTATACAAGAAAACCAAAAAACGAATTAGTTATAAATATTTTATAAAATATTTATTGAAAGCGTATATACATAGATGTGTTTATATTATGTTAAGTATTATTGTTTGCCAAAGTAAATAAAAAAGATTTATTAACAATCATTGATTAGTATTGAGCTCTGAATTTATCTTCACTTAAAATTGGTGAGCATAAGTTACTATAGGCACAAATCACTTTTGTTATTATGTTAATATAAGGCACAATTTCTGTTGATAGGGGACCTTGCATAATAACAAATTCTCGTATACGTTTTATTCTCCTTTCAACGTGTACCCTTGCAGATGAAATATCAGCTCCTGAAGTAGCTTCATTGGCAGAAAATTTTTTTTTCTTTCTTAAAAAGGGTGGCCTGATTATTTTAATACCAAATTCAGCACATTCTCTCTCGATCAAGAATCCTCTGTCAATCATTATTTGATCTACACCTCTAATCATTCTATCTAATAAGTGAGATCTTTTGAAAATGGCCTTGTCTGATACTCGACCACCATACGCCTTGCTGACATATGATATCATACCTGATGGAGTTACACCAAGCATAATTTTCACTGTATGTCTTCCTTTGTAATTAGAGTAAGTGGGAATTCTGCATTTCAGACATTTGGATTGTCTGATTGGTATTTCTAAGCAATCCAGTACAATCCTAGTTCCTTTATATTTATCAAAACACTTTGGCATATTATTTAGAATTTCTTCTTTACTCGGCCATCTCAATAAACACTTCAACACCAAGGCGAGTTCTTTTAGAGTGTTTATAAAACATTTTTTTGCCATAACATGACTGATTCCGAATAGAACACCCAGTGCATTGTATGGTAGATTTTGTTTTAGTTTTACAAATGTTAGTAAAATACAATCTCTTAGGGAAAGAATTATAATGCGTTTTTTTTTACCAATTTTCCTTAATTCACTTATGCACTCCTCTAATGTGAGTAAAATCTTGAATGACAGTACACCAGTAAATATTTTAAGATTTTCTTCACTGTTAAACGCATCAGTCAACTTGAACGTTGAGCCAGACAAATCAGTTTGAGTACTTTTAACAATCACATCACAGGTTGCTTGAACACCACTATCTTTATGAGTTATATCTTCTATTAGTTCTGCGTCATAAGCTACACCATTGTCAGAGTCTATTAAATTAATATGAGGAACATCACTTTCTAAGAGCTGAACATTAGAATCTTGTACATTCTCGTTGACTGCTTGGTTTTCTTCATCCAGCTTTCTAGATATTAATTATAGTTGATTCATTATATATCATTTTTAGTTAAAGATTAAAATGACAGCAAATCAAACTTACATTTTTTTTAGATTTCTTTTTTCTATTCTTTCCTTTCTTTTTTTTGGCAAATTAGGATCTCTGGTAATTGTTGTTATCAAAGAAACAGGAACATTTAGAGAGGGAACTGCTTCTGGTTTAAGCTGCTTTTTACCTGGTACTAGAAAAATAATTATGCAAATGTTAATTAGATATTAGTTAATTAGATAAGCATTTAATGATTGATCTTCAAAAAGGAGTTGATACAAACCTGGTAAAAAATCTTCAGGTAAAAAGTGATGATTACATATACGAGCATGCACTGATAAATTTTTTACTTTCAGAGCCAGTAGCCACTTATTAAAAACTGAACGATCTTTTGGTGGTTTATGGAAACTAATACAGTCTTCGTGTGCCTTTTTTTTTTTTTTACATCCCTGTACACTGCAATACACTGGTCTTTTAAGTTTATCCATGTCAAATATGAAAAAATTTAGTGAATCTTGGCAATGTCAACAAACGAACGGCAAATGCTCAGCAGACGCCAGTAGGGTGCTACTTATGCTGTTTTCGAAACTGCTGTCAGTCGTGACTTTTAATTTATGTTATTTTAAAAATGTGACAATTTTTCAAGAATGTTATTGTTTCTAAAATTATGTGAGGGTCTGATCTTCGTTTTAAGAATGATAAACATCAACATTGTTATCGCTGGCATTTTTTATTCAGAGTTTTTCCCATTTTTACATGTTATTTTTTAAAATTTACTCATCTGCCTCAATTCCCCACCGATCCACCAGGGGGCGCATGGGTATCGTTTAGTTCTCAATATTCGAGCCAGACATGGTCGTGGGGAGAGAGTCAGTCTCTGCATAGTCTCAGTGTATAGTTACTTATATTACTTGTAGGGTATTCTGCGAATATACGGCGGACTCTTCGACCTAGCAGTTAGTCAGGCTACGCTGCGCAGCTAGCTTGGTGTGTCTGCGTTATCAAAGCGCATAACCTTTAAGTTTGCAAATAAACTGCGCACGCCGAGGGACATTATTGTTGTTGTTTTGTGATATTGTTGTTGCTGCATGCCGAGTGCAGAGGTACATAACGTATAAAACCCAAATAATGGATCAAGTGGGTCGTGCAAATCTGATGAGCGCTGAAAGTGCGCCCAACTTCGTCTCGACTACGGACTTTAACGATGATATTGTTATTAAACAAGAACCTCAGGACCCTATTCCTGATGGCCCGTTTCTTAACGTTGCCCTTCACGAGAATGAAGGAGTTATGGATTATTCCGAAATGGACGAAGAAGAATTACCTCCGGAAAAACATTATCAAGAAGTTGATGAGAGCATTTTGTGTCGAGCTGTTTCACCACCTGCTTACAATGTAAATCTCACTTCACGATTAAAACTTTCATTTTTATATAATTTAACTTTTTTATCAATACTTTTAATATTTCTAACTTTTTAGGAGGATGAATTAATGGCACTGTATAAGAATAAATACAACTTGAAAAATGTCTACGTTAAGCTTGAAAAATGTGATCGAATTTGGGAAACATTGAAAATCATCAAAAGGTGTAAAGGATCTGATACAAGTGTCAGAAGTTCAATTCATAGTGAAAGTTCAATGCTCTCATCAATACCTTCATCTGATGAAATTGCAGTATATGAAAGAAAAAAAGGTAGAAAAATGAATAATTCAGTTCCTGATTTTAGATACACACAGAAAGGACATACAAAATTGTTTCATTGTGTAACATGTGACAAAAACTTTCAAAGTCCAGAATTACTGCATGATCATGCACAAAAGATGCATGGAGTATATGTGGTTCCCAAAAGAAGATATGATCTTAACCCAAGAGAATCTGGATTACAAGAAAATAAAACTCAAGTCAATGAAAATGAGGAAGAGGAAGATAATGTTATGAAACTTGGACTAGGTTTACGCAAAGTAACTGCCGCAAATGTGCTACCATCTAGCACATCAAACAGTAATTTAAAAAAAATTAAAGAAACCTCTAATGATAAAGTAATTTCTCGTGGCAAACCAAGAATTAAATGTGTACTATGCAAAAGAATAACTACTGACATTTTGAATCACATGAAAGGCTATCATAAAGTTGGATGTCTTAGTTCAATAATAGCCCAGTGCGAAACTTTAGATGACACTCCTGTTGAAGAAACACCAACTGAAATACAAACTGAAACTCAAAGTATAAATCCAAATTCTAGTACATCACAACCCATTAAAAAAAGGAAGCGAAATTTTACTAATTGGACAGTGCAAAAGAAAAAGCGAGGTTTAGAAAACCGCTTTACACAGTTAAACAACTTTGACCGTTTTAAACCCAAATTAACGATGTCTAGAACTTTCAACAATACTAATTTGTTAAGGAATACATTGAAAACATCATTGACGTGTAATGTCTGTCATGGAGTTTATAAAACCAGGAAAACTCTCAACTATCATAAATCTTTACATAGAAAACGCGGTGAAACTCCTGAAAGTTTTGATCCATCAAGATGTCGATTTTTAAATTCACCATTACGTAAAGCAAAAACTTCCGAACCCAGTACCTTATTGGTATCAAACAACATTTTTAAACCTAAAGTTAAAATTGATCAAAACAAAACCAATGATGTAAATCTAATTGAAAATGATACGCAAAATACTGTCTGTGTATGTGGAAGGACTTTCAGAAACAGTCATACATTGCGGATGCATAAAGTCACTTGTAAAAGTAGTGGTAATGATTCTGATTTAGCCAATGGAATAAATATTAAAATAAAAAAAAATAAACATGATTCTTATGTAGTTGTGCCAAGTTCGTCTTCAACGCCAGTGGATGAAATTCTTAAGGAATCTAGAACTTCAAAAGATAGCGATGCATCATCAAATGATTCAGGAATGGCTTCAGTGGAAGAATATCAAAAGTCTAAATCCCAAAAAGTTATAGTTATGAAACAGACAGAAGATGACGAAGAAATTGATATTGAAGACGTTGAGGTCGATTCAAATTATAGTAATTTAACTGACAGTAAAGAATCAAATTCTAAAACTTTAGGAGGTAAAATTGAGGATAATTCTTCTGTACCAACTTTGAGCAATTTGTGCAAGTAAGTATTTATTTTAAAATGATTCACAAGTTAATGTTTCAAATTTTTATAACATTACAAAAAAAATCACTTTCTCTCTTAAAATACATTCTAATCCTTATGATAATCACATTATATTTGAAAAAAATTACCTATTTAATAAAACATTTTTTCTTTTTCAGGAAAATTCTGTCTTCTGAAAAAGGAGTGGAACATGATTTAGCTTATTTGAGAAGCATAATTAAAAGCATTTGCCCATGCGGTAAAAAATTCAAAAATTTCAAATATTTTAATATTCACGTAAAAAAGTTCCATCCTCTTTTGCCAAAATGTGGTTATTGCGATACTAATTTTGATAAAATTGAAAAATACATTTATCATAGGTGTATAGTGATGCAAGGGAAACCATTTATTGAACCGATCATACAAACTGTATGTTTAAAATGTGAAGCATCTGTTGATATTGAAGAACCATTTGATAAACACATGAAAACCCATTCTAATGATCCAATTTATTTTTGTTTTAAATGTGAATTAACATTTGAAAATATAAATGAAAGAAAGTTGCATTTTGACAAGGAGCATGGATTTGCTTTATGTCGGATTTGTCATAAACTTTTACATATTGATTACTTATCAAGTCATGAGGCTTATCATGATGGGATGGGGTATCCTTGTCACATTTGTAAAAAAACTTTTTCAGAAAAAGCATTGCTCCAAAAGCATAATAAACACAGCCATGACCCCAGTGTACAACAGGTTGTACAATGTGTATTTTGTCAGAAAAGCTTAAATTTGAGATATCTCAAGAAACACTTGGGCTATCACTTACACTCTGAAATGTGTAAAAAATGCAACAAGTGTTATAAAATGTACGATAGAAAAGATATAGATGAAAATGCTCTGCAACAAAGTATTGAATGTCAATCAATAGAATGTAATAATAGTGACCAGGCACCAGTGCAAATTAAACAAGAAAATTCGGAAGATATTATTAAAATAAGAATCAATGAAACTACAGTTTCTGAGAACAAAAGTGAAAATAACATCACGGAAAATATTAGTAAATCAACTTCCGATGCAAGTTTAGTTTCTGAACTTCAGGCACCAGATACTTCTGAGAATAAAAATGGTAAATCGACTGTTTTCGAAAGCGTTGCGTCCAAAATAATTGAGAAAGATAAATTAGAAGATGATCATCGTGGATTGAATGTCACTGAGTCTTTAAACCCGCAAAAAGTTTGCATAGATTCATTAGGAAATTCTTGTAAATCGACCATCAATGAGCCTGCATATGCTATGGATATAGATCAGAAACATACGAACGAAAATGTTTTTAAAGTACCAGAAGTCACAGATTCAATCAACACTGATTTTAATGTTCCTATGGATATCAACCAAGAGCAATCAGAGGAAGACTTTTGTCAACCTCTTGATGTCGAGTCTGTAGTTTCAGGAAATATGATGCAAAATCATTTTGAACTAGTGAGTTGTGGATCTGTTAACGAAACCGATATGGATGCTGAAGCTGTCGTTTTGGATAATTTATTGGATGAATTTGTCGACGCTGATTTTGATCATTCAATTAACAATTCTGTAAATGCTTCTATTGAAAATATTCACATCGAAAATGTTCGTGGTTTGAATAATCAGTAATTTATTGTAAACAGTTTTCTTTGTAATTCAAAATTTAATTTTCTAATTTGTTCACGATCTTCGGTAATTATTTTTAGAATGATAATTGATAATTTATATAGTAATAGAGTAGCAACAAGTTTCATCGTAAGTTATTATTTAATTGATAATAATGTCACGCTTATGTTTGAAATCTTAAACGTTGTTTATGCTAAATTAGAATTTACCCAGGTGTAAATAAGTTTGAATTTGAGAATACCTTTTTTTTGTAGATATAAGCCATACATCACGTATATTCATGACTTTGTAATTATTATAATGACGTTGTTTCGAAATGCTGGCTAGTTAATGAGATATTCAATTGACAATGTACGACATGAGTATAACTTGAAAATATAAGGATGTTTATATGTAAATAAGTAGGTAGGGGTACGTATTATTGAAAAGAAAAAAAAAGAAAAATGAAAAAAAATCCAAACTAATGAAGTCGTAATTGTATTTACAATTCAATTCACGTGAGTTAATAAATCCTCGTGCGTATAATGCAAATCCCTTTTAATTGGACTTGCAAATCATGAATAAATGAAAAAATTGGTTTGAAAATTGAAAGTTTGAACTTGCAAGTTTGAAACTTGATTAATACATTGTACATAAAATAGTACGTTTTTAATAAAAATCATGAAACTCAAAGTTTACTCATTTTAGTTTTTATATTCTATGAAAATTGCTATCTCATGGCAAATTATTATATCTTAAAGTTCCTAATGCCGACGTAGAAGAAATAGATGTTTCAGATAAAAAATTAACGGCAAACTTGGTGCGTCAGTGCGCCGTCAGATGTCACTCGATAGGCCATCGGAAACCCCTGCGGGCGGCTCGACGATCTGTACGGGGCGGTTCTCATCGGAGCAAGTTTTCGCACAAGCTTGTGTGCGTGTGTCGGTGTTTGCGCGCGCAGAGAGGGGAAACGGCTATACTCGTACACAGTTCACACACACACACACACACACACACACACACACACACACACAGATTGATAGGTAAGTTGAAAGCAAAAGGCGCGCGGCGAAGGGAGCTGCTGCTGCGCGAAAAAGAGTCGAGCTGCCTAAGCTCGATTCACAGCTTAGTTCGGCTGGAGTGGCCGGTGTCTGTGGACTGCGTTCGCCACACGCGTGTGCCGCTGGAAAGTGCGTGCGTGCAGTGCGTGTGTTTGTCGCCCAGTGCCTGCTGTAGAATTTACCCCATGCAGCGCTTAAACCGTGCTATTTAATACGTGACACGAAAAAAAATCGTAGCTAGTCGCAAAAACTACCCCTGGACTCGAGCGAGTTTCTTCAGTAAAATTAGCTACGACGAGAAAATTGATATTATTGCTCGGCTCAACCCCTTGCGTCTCTCTTCTATGCGTATTTACATGAATTTTCGAAGGAAGCAGCATCGAAGCTCGAATCTTTGGTGCAATCTATTTGGCTGATCCAACGAGAAACAGAAGATATAAAATTTCGAGATCAAGGTGTACGCAAAGGCAAAGTGGTGCAAAAGTGTCGAATCGAGTGCACAATGCACATAGGTATGATAGCTGGCGAGGGGTGCGGTTTTCTTTCTATATAACTAGCGTATACGCATAGACTGTTGGCGTGTCTGCGCGTATCGTGTATGTGCAGCATCTATGCACACAGATGCGTGGGCGTTGGGATATAATGACAAACACTCGGCTCTCATCGGCAAAACGTCAAAGTCCGGCGTGAAGGATCTGTCGTCCGTCTCGCTTGGCCCAGTCATAGGCGCATCGATCGCTGCGACAGGTAATAGCGAGAGCGAGAAAAAGAGGAGCAGTACCACACATAAAGGCGCTCGCGCGCAAGAGGATTCACAAACAATACACAGGGCACAGACTCGCGCATAAAAGGGAGCGGGCCGGGAATCATCGCGGGGGTGACTGCTCATAAGGCGCAAGCATGACGGGCGAAGACAAGAAGGGCGGCTCGGCTGCCAAAGCCAACAACACCACCACTACCACCACTACCACCGACCTAACCTGCGACAACAATGTAACGACAACGACAACGGCGGCGTGCAACAACAATATGAGCAACGGCGACGCCAGCAGCAACAATCACAACAACCATCACAACCACCAGAACGGCAACGTCGACAAGACAGCGCCGGTGGCACCGGGGACTAACGTCGAGACGTTGCCACGCACCGGCAAGCAGGTACGACGAGTAATTTCATTTTTCTGCACCCTTTCCAGCCATCGCGTCGGAATTGGATAAGAACGATCGTGCGATCGAGTCGACGATTCATCGCTCGAAAAGTCCAGCTTTTCCCTCGCCCATTCGCAATTCGGTCTCATTATCCCCGAGGCACTTTGAGGAAAAAGCCTTCGCGCGAAACACGTCGCAGCAAAGTTCAAGGCCTGCCGCCAGGCAAGTATGTACGCGTGCTCTAGCTGCAGTTTCGCTGCATCTGCGCTCGAATAATTATGATAGCTGCGTGCTCGGCGATTTTCGTGCGCGTGGATCAATATCGCGTAACGCAGTAAGTAAGAAGTGAAGAGGCTGCGCTCGTTGCGGCGAGCTGTCACGGGAAAGAGTCTCTTATCTCTGCACTATATACCTACGACGGCTGCTCCAGTTTCGTCAAGACAACGGCGCGAGGCTCGCGTGTGTCGCGGGAGCAGGTGCACGTATACCGCTTTCGGCCGTACGTCAAATGATTCGCACAGAGAATAGAACGAAGTTTGCTCGATCGAGCTCGTTATCCGTTGAAACTTTTTCCGCTTATTCGAGAGCATCGACGGACGAATCGTTCGCGCCTTGCCGACTCCCGAGCCAGTGAGCGTGCGAATCGATCGCGGGCCGTGATATATAAACTATAGCTATAGCAGCCCGACGCGGCTGCACTTTATTTACCCGCACATGACTCGGAGCTCGGGATGGGATCGCGATATAGCTACAACGCGCGCAAACTTCTGAGCCAGCGAGATTTTTCGATATTTGGGTCAGAAGATGCCGGAAGAGCCCGTATAGGCTCTTTCGATGATCTCCGCGGGCCATTTGCTCCGGAATCGCCGAGAGTCAATGACTCTTCTAGAATGCCTAAAACAGATCTAATTATAAATCTCGACGATCCGAGTCGAACAATAAATAAAGCGGCCGTGCGTTGAGATGCGCATGCGCTTCTCTATAGGGCCTCTTGCAGAATACACACATGCACACTGGCAAAAGCTACACTGGCACTGCTTAGAGCAATAATAAATCGCTTTGTTTATAATGAAAGGGCTGAGAATTCCTCGAGCGAAGCCGCTTACCCGGAGCGCGTGCGAACCTGGGAAATTGGAGCGTTCCCCGATAAGTACGCGTGCGAACTCTTGCAACTCGTCGAAAAATCTCTGCAGCTGCTGCTGCTCGCATCGCAATTATGTCGCGCGAAAAACTCGCTCCATTTTTACCCGACCAGCTGTTATCGTCTGACTTTTTTTCTTTCCTACCTACCTACATACGTGTCTGGCAATCATGTAGCCACCAAAGGCCCCTGACGCGGGGAGACATTTAACCGGGACAAATAAAATTCCCTTCGACTTCTAAAGCCTGCGCTAGTTATATTCGGGCCGTCTCTCTATGCGCGTGAATGTGTAATATATATGTAGCCTACTCGGCAAACGGCGCAGCCAGGTATGCATGTGCAGCCTACCTACCTCCTGTATACGTACGTACAACTACGTGTGTAAGGCCAGCTCGCTCGGCGGTGCGGCTTTTTTGGCGGAATCACGCTTTAACGAGTTCGCAAGGGTTCTCGGCGTGTGTGCGTGCTCTGCGCCTCAGTTCGCCTGTTTCCGAAGCGACGCGTTTACACAATAAAACATACACAGTTTCTGCCCAATGGCCAATCACGCAAGATTGTATTTTAAATCTTTAAATGCTTTTTCGATGCATGCGCTTACTGCTGCCTAACTCTCCAAGTGTGTTTACGAACTTATTATTTGCTCGGCGTATTACGCACTGTAAATTGCTCTTTCTCTCTCTCTCTCTCTATCTTTCTCGAGGACTCGTTATACGCGTTGGCAAACATAGCACACGCACGCACATACACACACGTACAATACCGTACAATGAGCGGCGTCGGGTCGCCTACGAATGTATACGTTTCGGAGCACGTGTGGGCTATATTTATGGCTAGAGAGGTGACGTTATTGCTGACTTTTGAGATCGCAACGGTTTTTCATAAAAAAAACATAAATTAACGTAAATACGATAATTAGAGAATCTATCGGTGCAGTGTCTTCGTGCTCGCGAATCAATTTATTCCTTTAATATAGTTCGAACGAGACGCTATATCCGCACAATTAATCTTAATTGCTTCGCACGCGAGACCGTAAGAATTTACGCTGCTGTAAAATTTTTCGTCTACCGTTATAATACGCAGACCTGCGCATTTACCTGCGTTGGCTAGAAAATTACTTTTAAAACTCGAGTACGAAGAATTTCATCTCTCGAATCATTCCCGAAAAAAGGAGGGGAAAAGGGCAAGATAAAAAAGCTTATTTGGAGCAATGCCAAGTGGATTTATAAGTCGTCCTTCGATGTTCAGAAAACGCACTGCAGCAGCAGCAGCAGCAACAGTGGCGATCAACGTTACTAATATCTAGCTTTTTCCCCTTTTTTCTTACTTTCTTTCCCTTGGCTTTGCGAGAAATTGCACGTTTGAGACGATCTTGCACGCTTCTAGATATCCAATATTATGACGATCGTTAAAATAGACTAATGATGTCATTATTGGGTTTGAAAATGTACACGCGCGCCACGTGGTATTCCACGAAACGTCTGCATTCCTCGATGAAAAACCTTCAAGGCGAAGGTATAATGTACGCTGAATGAATACTTCATGAGCGAATATAAATCCATATAAACGACGAGGAAAAAAAATTGCAGCTGCAAACTACGAGATGACGCAGTCAAACCGTGTTTTAGATGTATCGTAAAATACCCATCAGCAGCGAATCCGTGCTTTTAAGCTGAAATATCGGATTCACGCACTCGGTCAAAATAGAATGCGAAGGTTTTTGTCGCGACGCGCATTACGCACAAAGTAAGCATCAATGCAATATTTTCCGTTTGAATTATTGATAGGTCATGGGCGACGTATGTATATTGACGCACTCATAATTAGGGCACTCTGTTAGTGGACAAAGTTCGGACGAAAACATGGTTAATTTGAAAATAAATGAAGGTGTACGTGGGATACGTGACGCGTATTTCGCTTACTCATATAGCCTAAGCGAGACGTAGCGTAAAGTGGCACGCGCAGTATGTAAGGGTATTTTCATCCGGAGACGTCGGCCGGTGTCCCCCTAGTTTATATATAGCCCTTTTTTAGGCTGAGATTAATTATTTCGTGGATTTTTAGATAAAAATATCAATTTTTTTGCTTAATCCCATCAAACATCATGACTTTACTCGTACGAAATCACGGTGAATTTGAGAATTAGAAATTACGGCTTTTGCACACGATCGTATCTAGTGGGTACAAGAATACACCTTGATATACATGCGTCTATTATGCATTGCATACAACTAACCGTGTAGAGCTAGAATAATTGAATTTGTTGACAAACAACTGTATGTCTATTAAAATCACGATAAACACAGCTTTAGTCGAAACTCGTGAACGTGAACATATGATTCACAGCTTCTTAAAATATATATAATCTCAATGTGCAAACAGCGCTGGATCGAGGTAAAAATTTGGAAAAACACGTCCGCTGGCATCTCGAGCGCGTCTGAACTTGGAAACACAACAAGTCGGTAGCGAAGTGACACGTCGCTCGGTAAAAAGCCTTAACCGCGACGATGGTAATCTCATCTCGTTTGCCTACATCTAGGAGAGCTTTTTTCACAGCGTTTCGTCCGCAAAACCGCACGAAACTTTTTCTTTTACACCTCTAACTGTAAACGATGATGCAGATCGTCGTGTAACCCTTTCCTTTGAGGTGGAAGAGTAAGTGCATTTACATCGGTTTGAAAAAAAAAAATTAATAAATAAAAAAATTGAAATGAAGAAGTAGCTGTCTAGCAGACGAGAAAATTGACGGACGCGATCAGCCGTGCTACGATCGTCTCGGCGTGTAAAACCTCCATGAGGTCGAGAGAACGCGCCTCTCGCTGTATCTCGCAGCATAAACACTTGACTTCCTCCGTGTACTCGGCCGCGAAGCGATTTTCCTTTGCCAAATTACCTATAGGGCGCGTAATATAATACGCGCGTACACGCGGCGCTTGCATAAGCTTTGCAAAGCTTCATGCTTAAGCTGTGCGTGCTCGGATGGATCGTTGCCGCACGCGCGGCAGAGTACGCTGCGGTTATTTTCTCCACGGCATACGAGCTAAAAATAATCGTCGGACAGAAGAGTCGCTGCGCAAGCGATGGAAGAGCAAAAGAGAAAGAGAGAGAGAGAGAGAGAGAGAGAGCGTAAGTAAAGAGAAAAAAGCGAGGGAATTAGTTTTGCAGTGCGGTATATATACGTGTGTACAACTCGGCCTCGGGAAAAGGGTGAATTGCCTCCGAGTCTTCTCGCTCTTTGTGATGTAACAGGGTATCGAACGCGTGAAAATATGTCATATCTCGGGATTGCAAGTGCACTGCGGTGTCGCCGAGGAGAGCTCGTGAAGCGTGGAGAAAAAAGCTCATTACCAAGCGTAAGGCCTCGGAAGTCCAAAGAGCTCCCAATGAATAAGCTAGAAGCAGCAACCTAAATACCGTTCAATTTATCGGCTTGCATAATCTGCGATCGATGAAATATGAAAAATTAGATTCTCTTGGTGCGTTTATTACTTGCCATGGAATTACCAATAATAATTAATTAGCTTTCGCGTGCGCCAACATTAGCTCGTGTTGTTCTATCGCGAACACACGATAGCTCCTGCACGCGGTTAATTACAAAGAAAGGCTCTACTTTTCTCGCTGCAGCTTTTCGAGCTCGCACAGCTAATTAGATCACAAGGCAAATTAGAAACCTGCGGACAACTACGCTTTGCGCGTACACGTACTCGTGCGCTTCTATATGAACGTGTACATGTGGGTGTGGGTGCGTGGACACGACAGAAAGAGAATGCGTATTACGATTGAGCCTCACTTTTTTGTACTTTGTAATTTCATATTTGTGCATAAAGCCAGCTCGAATTATCTGCACGCAGCGCAACGCGTTTTAATTAAA